CCCCTGAAAGAAATGCTCAAGTCAATAAAAGACCAAGCATCTGCTTTAATATGTGTTGAGAAGATGTTGGACATTCGACTACTGGTGGGAAGGAAAGTGGGACAGGTTAAATGAATGGTTACATTTTTAATGTGGCGGTACATGGTGAAAGTAATTAAACAATGGAGCAGAAATTATGAATGTACTCCAGTTGTCAAATCAATTTTGTAATACACTAGGTAAAACAGAGAGAAATTGCAAATAGTATTAACAAATAATAAATCAATATTTTAATTCCACACTGATAAAAAATATATACTAGCATTTAATGGAAGTAAAAGCTTTATAATGTGAAATAATTTCTGTGATTAATATGAAGCTGCTGAAATCAAATAAAAGAACATATTCTGATAAATGTACAGGACAGTACGTATTTATGTGGGTCTGAAGATTATTGGTCATTGATAATTTTTTAGCAAACAAACTATTACAAATCTACTCGGTCCAATTCACAAATGCCAAAATGTAACAAAACCAATCAAGAATGGGACAGCATTAAAAAAAAAAATCTTGTTTGTTAAAGTAATTTTCATGAATAGTATTAGATATCATCAGTGTTGGTTCTGTCTTGTGTTCTTTTTTAATTGAAATGGTGTATAATATATTCTGTTTCACACCCTTTTAACAAAATCAACAAGGGAATCGATCTGTGTTCCTTTTTATGCTGCAGTCATCTAGTGACATCCCTACTTAATGCCTAGTTCTTAGTCTGCCCAGCACCTTGCACACTTCTGTATGATTAATAAGGTGGTCTGTCTCAACATAGAATTGAGACATCCACCATGCTGAGATACATACAAGGCTTTTTTTAAATTTATTTAAAGGGACACTGTAGGCACCCAGACCATTTCAGCTCATTGAAATGGTCTGGGTGCAGTGCCCAATGCCCTTTAACCCTGCAATTGTAATTATTGCAGTTATTGAGAAACTTGTGGCTGCACGAGGACCTCCAGCATCAGATTTTTCCCCATAGGAAAGCATTGGATAATACTTTCCTATGAGGAAATTGAGATGTGAGCTTGGCCATTGCCGTGCTCATGCGCATTTGGTCTCCCCCACCAGCTGATGTCGGCGGAAATGGATCGTGGGTGAAGCTTGACCCAATGATAGTTGAAGCAATTATATATTCCGGGGGAATGATATGGGACCTTTCTTGCTCTTGTATAGACTCAGTATCAAACTGTCTGGATAAGGCATCAGCCTTGACATTTTTAGAACCAGGTCTTTAAGTAATAAGAAAATTAAAGCGAGAAAGGAACAGAAACCACCTAGCTTGTCTAGAAGACAATCGTTTAGCATCTCCTATGTAAGCCAGGTTTTTGTGATCAGTAATGATCAAAAGGGGGTCCTTGGAACCCTCTAAAAGATGTCACCACTCCTTGAGAGCTAGAATAATGGCCAACAATTCCCTATTGCCAGCATAATAATTGCGCTCGGCAGGAGACAACTTTCTAGAGAAGTAACCACAAGGATGCAATGGAGTATCCTGGCTCTCCTTCTGGGAGAGAACTGCTACCCCTGTCTCTGATGCATCAACTTCCAGTATGAAAGGTTTACTGGTGTCAGGATGTATCAATATGTCGGCGGAGGCAAACCGCTGTTTAAGAGTTTCAAAGGCTTCTATAGCCTTCTTAGACCATATCGTACTGCTAACCCCTTTGCGTGTCATATTGGTGATGGGGGCTATTAATGAAGAAAATCCCTTTATAAATCTTCTGTAATAGTTGGCAAAACCAATGAACCTTTGAATGGCTTTCAACCCAGTGGGTAAAGGCCATTGTAGAACTGATTCCAGCTTTTTAGGAGCCATCTGAAACCCTGAGGCAGAGATATTAGATCCCTAAAACTGTACTTCAGATTAGTCAAAGATGCATTTTTCTAATTTACAATAAAGTTGATTCTTTAACAAGGTCTGCAGAACTTGTCTAACGTGATCGTGGCGAGTCTGAATGTCAGCAGAATAAATAAGGATATCATCCAGATAGACCAAGACAAACGAGTAAATGTAATCCCTGAGTACATAATTTATGAAATATTGGAAAACTGCTGGAGCATTGCATAACCCGAATGGCATCACTAGATATTCATAGTGCCCACTTCTGGTATTAAATGCAGTCTTTTACTCGTGGTATTAAACTCCTGGTAATTGTGTGCCACACTCCTATTACTCTCCCATAATGGATTGGCCCAAGCTAAAGCTTTACCTTTTAATTGATTCATCAGGTAACCGATTTTAGCTCTGTCTGTGGGAAAAGATCCAGGCCTCAAAATGACACTCTATTTGGTTAAGGAATCCCTGGCATTCTTGGAAATTACCATCAAAATGCAGAGGAGAAGATAGAGAGATAGTTGGTGCCTTGTATACTATAGGCGGAGGTACACAAGGCGGAGGTGAGACAGTAGGAGCAGCCGCAGGTTGCAGATGCGCTGTACGAGTAAGAAGCATACTGAAAGCCTGGGCAAATTGATCCAAGCGGTGATAATTCTCCTCTAGTTTCCTTTCGCAAGCAGCTATGTGCTTACACAATTCTACAGGATCTATGGCCATGTCGTAATGTCAGGATTACAGAATGATCCAGCGCGTAGAATTGTATAACACAGAGGACTGATAGGTAACAGATACTGGACCTTAGAATGGCCGGACTAACGTACCAAAGAATAGTCAGGAATAGCTGAGGTCAAGGAAAACAGAAAGAGACACAATGATAAGGAAAAGCCAGGAGTCAGGGATGCCAGAAAACAGGGAAGTCAGAAACAATGGCAAAGTCAAATAACCAGAAATTACCAGAATAAATAACGCGCTCTCTGACAACCACAAGGAAAACCACGACAGGGCACTGAGCAGGATGAGAACTGGGCCTAAATACCCCATCTCTAGATCTGGTAGGCTGTAACTGGCCTTTGACCCTAAAGCAGTTACCAGGTTCCCATTTGCATAATTGCTGCTCAGCATTAACCCTTCTGTGGATTTGGTTGCTGCTCGGCACAACTTTTCCTGTGTGGACAGTAAATGTCATTAACCACATTTTTATAAGCAGATGAATACGTGACATTACCCCCCACCTGAAGAACGCCCACCGGGTGGGCAGGACCAGGCTTGAGAGGAAATTTGGCGTGAAAATAGTGAATCTTGCGTCCAGCATGTATATCAGATGCCGGAACCCAAGAACGATCGGCTGGTCCATAACCTTTCCAATCCACCAAGTACTGTAAAGTGCCCCGAGAAAACCTGAAATCAATTATGGAAGAGACCTCATACTCTTCCTGTCCAGAAACAACTAAGGGAGGAGGAGGGACACTTGAGACAGTATATTTATTGCAAACAAGAGGCAAAACTTTTCCTGTGTGGACAGTAAATGTCATTAAAGGACCACTATAGTGCCAGGAAAACATACTCGTTTTCTTGGCACTATAGTGCCCTGAGGGTGCCCCCACCCTCTAGCTAGCTCAAATCAATAAGGTCACACAACTAGGTATTTGTTAATCATGGAATTTTTTAATTATCCAGAGGGACTAGTAGTACAGTTAAGGAGAAATGTTTTTTTGAACCTGATAGACAATAATTTAATGTTTTATTTATAAGAAGTGCAAACTAGAAGAGATGCTTGCCTGGATCTTGTCATAAGTAATGTTAACTTATTTTTAGAACATTCAAGTTAGGGAGCACTTGGGAAATAGTGAACATAATATCATAATATCATAATATGTACACAAAAAAAACCAATACATATGTATTGGCTGTACAAAAACACTTAATTTTAAAAAGACTAAAGGGCATCTTTACAACTAATTGACTGGCAGAAAATATTCACTGGGAAAAGCATTAATGGATAAATGGAAGGTCTTTAAACAAATTCTACAAAAGTACATCTATCAATACATACCATTAGGAAACAAATATAAAAGAAGCAAACTAAAACCAATGTGGCCTAGTACAAGGACAGTCAAATTATAAAATTGTTGAATTTTGAATACCCTAAAAACTGGGCATTTAAAACATTTAAATCTGAGGGGTCAATTGCATTTTATAAAAATATAAGCATGCCAATAGAGTTTGCAAAAAGGTAATTAGATGGACTAAACTTAGAAATGAAAAGCTCACAGCCAAAGAGAGCAAGACCAACCACAAAAAGTGTTTAAGTACGTTAATACTAAAAAAGGTTAAGATTACATTTGTTGGTTCATTGGGAAGTGAGATGGGTAAGTTCGTCAAAGAGGATCAGGAAAAGGTAGACATTTTCAATAATTATTTTTTTCAGTATATAGGGAAGAAGAATATATGACTGTAGTTTTGCAAACCCCTGTTATAAAAGCATTACAGCAAAGAGGTGATTGGTTAACACAGGATAAAGTGCTTCAGAAATTAAATACATTTAATGTAAACAAAGCCCCGAGGCCAAATAGTATTTACCCAAATGTGCTTAGGTAGCTTAGTGTAGAAATATCCATACCACTGGTTTTAATTTTTAGAAATCTTTTCTTTCAGGATTTGTACCAGAAGATTTGAGAAAAGCACATGTGGTGCCTATGTTTCAAAATGTATCGAAAGTTCAACCCAGATATTACCAACCTGTGAAATTAACATCTGTTGTTGGGAAATTATTTGAAGGGCTTATAAGGGATAATATCCAATAATTATTTTTGAACAACAATATCATTAAATCAATATGGTTTCATGAAAGACAGCACATGCCAAACTAGCAAGGGAAATCAAAAATTTGGACAAAAGAGATAATTGGAGTGCCTTAGGGTTCTGTCCTGTGTCCACTTCTCTTTAATCTGTTTATAAATGATCTTGAAGGGTCATTGAAAGTAATTTGTCTGTGTTTGCAGAGGACACCAAACTAGGCACGAAAATACAGTCTGAACATGACATAACTTCTCTACAGAGGGATTTGGATAAATTGGGGGACTTGGCAATATTGGAATCCAAACTTAAAGATTGCAGTTTATTGATGAGCCTTCTATGTGGAACAGTGTCAAAAGCCTTAATGAAATCTAGGTAAGCAATGTCTACTGCACCACTCTGATCTATTATTTTAGTTACCCAATCAAAAAAATCAATGAGATTAGTTTGGCATGATCTCCATGAAATAAACCCATGTTGCCTCTGATCTTGAAATCCATGTGATTTTAGATGTTCAACAATCCTAAACCTTTAACATGGTTTCCATTACTTTCCCCCTACTGAAGTAAGGCTTACTGGCCTGTAGTTGCCCGACTCCTCCCTACTACCTTTCTTATGAATGGGTACAACATTCGCTAATTTCCAATTTTCTGGGGCTACTCCTGTTAACAATGATTGGTTAAATAAATCTGTTAATGGTTTTGCTAGTACACCACTAAGTTCTTTTAATAACCAGGGCCGGACTGGCCCACCGGGATACCGGGAAATTTCCCGGTGGGCCGCGGCACCTGGGGGCCGGCCGCATTCCTGGCTGGAGCCGCCGGGCCGGGTGGCAGCTTCCCCGGTCCGGCAGCACTCCTCTCACTGCTGTGGCTGATGGAGGAGGAGCATGTCTCTGTACCATGCTCCCTCGCGGTTCCCGGCACAGGAACCGTGAGGGAGTATGGTACAGAGACATGCTCCTCCTCCATCAGCCACAGCAGTGACAGGGGCAGGGCCGCTGGACCAGGGAAGCTGCCACCCGGCCCAGCGGCTCCAGCCAGGAACGAGGCCGGCCCCCTGACTTCTCCAGGTAAAGGGGGGGGAGAGGGGAATAGAGGGAGGAGGGAGAGACACAGGGAAAGGGGAGGGAGAGGAATGGGGGGAGACACAGGGAAAGGGGGGAGGGAGAGAGATGGGAGAGACAGGGAAAGGAGGGAGGGAGGGAGATGGGAGAGACAGGGAAAGGAAGGAGGGAGGGAGGGAGAGAGATGGGAGAGACAGGGAAAGGAGGGAGGGAGGGAGATGGGAGAGACAGGGAAAGGAGGGAGGGAGGGAGATGGGAGAGACAGGGAAAGGAGGGAGGGAGAGAGATGGGAGAGACAGGGAAAGGAGGGAGGGAGAGAGATGGGAGAGACAGGGAAAGGAGGGAGGGAGAGAGATGGGGAGGAGGGAGACACACGGAAGGGGAGGGAGAGATGGGGATGAGGGGAGAGACACAGGGGAAGGGGGAGGGAGAGAGATGGGGAGGAGGGAGAGACACAGGGAAAGGGGGGAGGAAGAGACAGGGAAAGGGGGTGAAAGAGGCAGAGGGGGAAGAGAGAGACAAAGGGAGAAATGAGAGAGAGACACACAAGGGGAGGGGAAGAAAGAGGCAGAGGTGGAAGAGAGAGACTGGGAAGGAGAGTGGAGACATTGACACAGAGGAGCAGTGAGGGGGAGAAAGAAACATACAGAGTGACTGGGGGAGACAAAAAGGCACACAGAGGGGCTGGAGATAAAGAGACACACATAGGGGCAGTATATATCACTGGTGGATGGGGGGGCAACGGGCCCCCCCCCAAGGCTTTCCCCTGCCGTTCCACAGGTACCGTGCAGCCAGTCGGCAGGGGAGGAAGAGAGGACCTGGGGCAACGCTGCGGCTCTCATGAGGGTGAACTCTAGCCCTGGAGCTACGGGCTAGAGTTCACTCTCACCACTTCCTGGTAGTCCCAGTAGTAGGAGTGAACTCTAGCCCCATACACACACTGCCCCACACACACACACACCATACACATTCACACACTGCCCCCACACACACACACCATACACATTTACACACTGAACCTTTCACACACCTTGCACCACTGCTCCTATACCCTACTACAGCCCCATATCCCAGCAGACTCCAGGTAAGTTGTCAAACTGTTCTTAAACGGTTTGACGACTTACTCTGGGAGGGGGTGCCGACGCTCCTGGCACCATAACCACTACACAGAGGAGTAGTGGTTATTGTGCATGGAATGTTTCTTTAAATAATCTACAAGTGCCCCTCTCAGGCTCAGGCTCTGGATCCGCCACTAGTATATGACATGTATATTAATGTGTGTATTAGTTATATATATATATATATATATACCTATTATATTTACACATATTAATGTACATTTATAAATGCATAATACACAGAGAAATTTCATTAATATGTACCATATGTAATGAGCAGATATTGGCCCAGTCTTATTGCTAGGTGCATACTCCAGCACAATAACATATTTAACATATTTAAAGTGAAGAGCACACCTCCACATACTGGTCTCTGTTTGGACTAATGCAGAAGCAATGATTAGACAACAGTGATTGAATGAAAGTGTTAGCATTCGCTCTTAGCTTATCACTGGCCGCTAATTGCACACAAATATCCATACATTTCTATCACTGACTAATGATGGGTGGGCAGTGATAGGCTGAGTGCGTCATGTGATGCTTTCAGCCAATCACTGCTGCCTCCTCATTGCTTGCACTAATGTGTCCACATTAGATGGATTTAATTACAATTCCAATGCAACTACTTATGGACAAGACTTAAGTTGACAAAAGGCGAAGCTCTGCTTTCAACTTTTGTCCAGTCCGTCAAATCACAAGCGACGTGTGTGCGATTCAGGCATTGATTTAAAGAGGTTCCTATGGTCTTACGGGACACTCTTGCAAGGGTCAGGTTAAGCTAAATAAATCCCACCTTCCCTGCACACTGCGGCCACTGCACCCTGACCAGGTCTGTCATTTTGGGGGGGTTTAGCAAAATATGCAAAGTGAGAAATTCGTTTTAAGCCATATTCAGGGCTTGGGCAGCTGTGGTAGCCTAGCTTGGCATCACACCAAAAAGTGTCTCCATCTGTGCTCTGGTAAACTGCTGTGGAATCACTCCACCACATGGGAGTAATGTACGCCCCCTAAAGCACTTTAGCTTGCTGTAATACTTTATGTGTTCTCTTTTTTATTTTAAATAAAGCGCAGATTTAAGTAGAAATAGGCAATTTTATAAATTAACCTTGTTACACCCCCCCATATTGATAACGAGTCCAGGAAAGATGTTAAACAAGTTTGTTTCAGTTTCATCTGTGTTACTTTGGTAGCTTCCCCACCTTCCTTCTTGATGCCCATTGCAGTGATTTTTTTTCTGTATTATTTTGTTTGTCCCTGGGCATGCCATGTTCTAAGTGTTTTTATAAATTTGCATTGTAAGGAATTTTTTTTCTATGGATTAATTTCACAAGCTCTTCTGAATGTCATGTTGTTAGAAAATGCTTGTTAATCCCCCTGGCTCATTAAGCTGAATTGAGAAGTCTATGATTGGACAGCCACAGAAGGTCTGGGTGGGATTAGAAGGGGATTAGAAGGGGAGGTCTTGCAAAGAAAGTAGTCAAGAGAGCTACAGTGATGGTGATACTTATCAGATTCTGTGCCCTGTGGGAGCTGCCAACTTCTTTCTTCTGCTCATGAGGCTTTGTTCAGATCATTTCATAAAGATTTTATCGATATGAAATGCTAAAAAAAAATATGACGACCGAACAAATTACTTGAAACATATCTATTTAGGAAAACTTAAAGGAACAATTTTGCGTAAGGAATAAAAATATACCTAACACTATAGTGCCCTGGTGGCCATTTAGGTGACTAGCCCTCACCTGTAGTAAGAGAAAAAAAGTTTCTGCAATTGACCCGGTCTTCTTGGCTGAGATCATCGAGATTGATGATCTCAGCCAATCAAATGCTTTCCCCTAGTAACACACTGGGAGGCTAGTTCGCATGTGCAGCATCATGCATCATGAGACCATCTGAAAGAAATAGCAGATGTTTACTCTGCTCTTTCAGAGAAAGTACCACCAGAGGCATTTAAACCCTGCAATAAGAACATTTGCCATTCTGCGGAATTGAAATCTTCATCTTCGCATAAATCAATAAAATCTTCGCATTCAGCTCCACTCAGAAGCTCGATGGAGAAGGAGAGGTCAGCAGTGCCGAGGGAGAATGGCACTGGATTAAAGTAAGCAAATAAATGGTTCATTAACCATTTATTTGCTGCAGAACGGGGCCCTAGTCACCTAAACACGTTAGAAAATACATATTTGCATTCCTAACGCTATAGTGTTCCTTTAAATATAATGAAGTCTTTCTTTTTAGAAAACACGTATACATAAAGTGAATAGATCAAAAAGTGTTGAAGAGTGATAAAAACTAAGAGCTTTAAGAGGCAATCCTAGATGGGTCTAACCTCACTACTCTAATTTTTTTGGCCTATTGGTTCCCTTACTTGTAACCACACTTTATCCCTTTTTTATTTTCAACACTTTTTGATCTATTCACTTTATGTAAATATGTTTTGTGTCTCCTCGTCTGTAGTGATCAGGAAGGTTTGCCTTGACTGACGCTCTCAGCTTATCACTGCCCTCCTATAGTGAGTATACCACTGACATCACTGCCAACCTGCATGTTGAACATGGGGCATCCTGGATCAGGGGTTTCAGGCAGTTCATACCAGTTTCTGACCATACTTTCTGCAAGTCACATTACAGAATACTGTTGAGACCAGGAAAATCTTCCACTGTTTTTTCCCTCACATTTGGCATTCTTGAACCATGTAACCTCATCATCGACATTAGCTGACAAGAGCTCTTCAGTTGTAAAAATTGCATATTCCCCTATGCTGTTTGACACAACTCTGTATGTATCGTTAGTTGATAATTGCACATTCTGCTGGTCACATATCATTCACCATGGTCTGCCAGTAGGTATGGCTATTACTATTATTATCTTATTGTCATGATTATTATTGACACCTATGTATTTCCTACTTAGTCCATAGCGCTTTGACCTATGCTAATATCTGAGTCATTATGTTAACAAGGACTTTGATCAAGCAAGATTACAATCTTTCCTCTACATCTTACCTGTGGCAAACCTCGCCACTTATAGACTATTGCATATGTGGATATCATAAGGTTTGCTGGCTGTAAGAACTAAGTGTAATGTGGTATGGGGCGTTCATGCGAACGAGAGCGTTCGTATGCTTGTAATGCGTAATACCCAGCATTGCCTATGCAGTTTCACGAACAGTGAGTTTAAACACTGTTCGTAAAACGAATGAACTACCGAATGGTCGACCACACACAGGAGGTCGTGTGGCGCCCATTAACCGATTGCAACATTGTTGCAATCGGTAGTTAAAGACTTCCCTAGGTGGCCGTCGTTCGGCTACCGACCACGCGGCGTCAGCCATCTTGATTCCTTTGTTAGCCCAGCGGGGTTTTGCCGTCGAGCGCCTGGAACTAAAAACGGCTACTCGACGGCGCGAACACCGCTGGACTTCCAGGCCGTTCGGTAGTTTGTTCCCCTAATATCAATCGCTATTTTAACAGTATGTTGGAAATAATGTGTGTTTCGTGCGGCGTTCGGTTAGTTAGACTGGGAGCTGAGCGGTATTTCCACGAACTATGCGCTCAGCCTCCAGCTATCTACCGAATGTCCATTCTTGTAAAACAAGTGAATATTATTAAAGTTATGTATTTTAATGTAGAATGTAAGTTCTGCTGCACGGAGGGATAATCCCATTAACTGTATATTCCAGTGGGAGTATCCCTCTCGACCAGCAGTGCATGATGGGAGAAATGTGTGTGTTGGTCAGTTCCCCATGTAGTCCCCTACTGTACCCCCCTGGAATGTCAGTAGGGAAACCCCTTGCATGGGGAATCCCATAAATACCGTGACCTGTGAATAAAACCTCAGTTGACTCCCAGCCTATGTGTCGTCTAGTTCTTGTGAAGGAAGGATTATTACAACGCTACCGGGATTATTGTATGCTGTGCTTATTCCCCTGGATTATTTTATGCTGTTCCTTTTACCCAGCGGAGATATTGTGGATTATACTACCTCTCCGCTACATTACCCCTACTCAATTAATTAAACAATGTACTCACAAATTTCTTACCTCTGTATTACCGGATTGTTTTATATACAGGATAATGGTTTACTAAAGGTTCCATCTACATGATTGACATCAGGTCACCTACGGACTATGCATGTTTTATCCATGTGAAGTCAGCTTGATGTTCACTTTATTAACTTTTTGAAGTGTCTGGACCTCAAGTAGGTCCTTTTGCTGCAAACTGTGTTTTACTACAGAGAGGAGAGTCCCTTTACATATTTATGATGTAGAAGGCAGGTTCTAAGTGGGTTTTACTATGTTTAGTCACATATGCATGCTCCACCATAGGTGCGTCAGACATCCTGTGTAAAGTTTCTCCTATTATGTTCGCTCTAGTTTATGCTGTCTAGGTTTAGCCATAGGCACGTTGGCTGCACATGTTTATTCATGGCTGTTAATCTACAGCTGCTACATAGATGTCAGTTCTGTGTAATGTTTGTCCTATGATTTCAGGTCATGATATTCATGAAATGCGTTATTCAGAGCAGCTGGCTTTGGGTACGGTTACTTTATATATGCTAATACAAACAAAGCATGGTTCACTTCAGGGGAAGACAGTTACCAAACACGTGCTTTGGCCTTGTGTATGTTTAATTACTGTCAGTATGATTTTTATAAATAGCATCAATCACTCAGTGCATGTTTTCCAATTCATATTTCATCATGTTAGATGCTTGGCTTTGATATGGCAATGTAGGGTTGCCAGAGGCACAAATTCCTTGCTTCTGTGCCTGATTTGTTGACATGAATGTCAGTTAGTTGGTACTTTGTCTGGTCTGTATAGGCTCATGATAGCATTAGAAAGAACACTATATTATGGGTAGCTCACATAACCATCATCTTATATGGAAAATACCCATTGTCAAATCACTGCTGTCGAGGTCACACTAGAAGTGTGTTATCTCACACTGTCAGGTATTTACACTTTTTAGTGTTCATCATCGCATTATCCACATTTTATAGCTGTAAGTTTGGTTCTCTTACAATGCTCACAGTATTTCACTATTGGAATGTCCTTCTACTCTAAGCAATGTTTTGTATAGAAATGTCTAATTATTTTTTACTTTTTGTCCATTTGCATCTCATTTAACCACTTACAGTGTTCGCTACATATGTGGCTGGCCACTTCATAGTCGGCCTATTTTAACACATCCATCCAAGTTATTCTTTGTGGTAGTTTAGTCTACACTTCGTTAGTACTCCTCGTTCACGCTGTTTATGGCTTATCCATGTCCAATATACACCAAGTGTCTATTATATCCATTAGCTTGCATATACCCCAATTTTCTATTACTATGGTTACACGTATCACTATATGACTGTCGAATAATCCTGTGCTTGTATTAGCTACCCACCTTACTTGCAATGAAAAATAGTTAGCAAGCTTTACCAATCATAGATGATATGCTATTATGGTTAATCACCATGCATTACTTTTCACAGTGTTAGGGGGTTCACACTATATTGCAAAGTTCGCCTCAGGTCAAAATCCAATTATGGGTATAGGGATTACCTAATCCTGCCACACGATTGCATACTTCTGTTGGAGTCGGTTATATTTACTGTAGTTTCCCAAGCCTTCTAGTTCACACACTTAAAGTTACTTGTTACTTCAATCACTAAGCTCACAGTGTTATCTAGTAAAACTGGCATATTTATTGGGTTCCAATGACAGAGTGACATGCATTAGTGCTTGTAACGGATCGCCTGGCACCCCGACTGGGTACCTCCGTTGAAGGATGCTCCTAGCGCTTCCTGAGGACTCCAAGCACTCTGGCAGACACCACAATCACCGAACCGGAGAAACAAATAAATTCTCCCAAGCATATGAATGCTGTAGACAGTTGAATATCAACCATACAAATAGGTTTACTCTCCTATCAGTCAAACTGGAACAGCATACAATAAATCCTTCCCCCAATAATGAGACGACACTTCACTTTGAGGGTTAAAACAGGAACTCAGGTGCTGGCACACCCAGCCTGGTTTTTATTACAGTCTTTGCAAATACAGGACCGCCCACAGGGAGGTATAAAACAACCAATCACATATCAGTTACCTGGCTGGCAGCATGGCTATCTGGCCCAAACTGGTTTCAGAGTCTTCTATCCTGGAGATAATTAAGAAGTAATGCAATTATCTCCAAGGACAGAGGCAAAACTCCATTAGCCACATGGCAGACAAAGGACAACAAAAGACATAAAAATACATACTGTTACATTTATCACATAGAACCTACACATTTACAATTTACCGAACACATAATAGCATATATAATATTGCAGACCGCCTGAATGCAATCTGCTACACAGTCTTAAAGGGACATTGTTCCTAAAAGTCATAATCTGTCCAGGGATGGTTTTTAAAGGGCCAGCAGCAGCACCATGCAAATCCAATATGCCCAAATATTGTACTTGAAGGGCCAAATAACCCAGGGCCATAGTCATGAGGCAATAGGCTGGCAATCAGGCTCCTCCAACAGACAGGGGAAAATCCGGTGACAAAAGGCGTTTCGTCACACATATCACCTTTGGGGGGGAGACTAACCAGGCACTGAGTTAGTCGATAAACCCACCCACAGTGAACAAGTACATGAGTAGCCCACCCGCAACACACATTTACTGCACCTGGGTATTCCTCTGAGGTCACTGGGTAACACGCTTTGGGTGCTTGGGGGGCAGAGGCCAACTGCGCTCTGCCCCGATGCCAGCGCTTCGGCTGGGGCAGCTGGGTTAGGCCTTGGCTGGGGAGGGGAAATAGTACTTACCCCCTCCTCCTGGTGTCCCTGCAAGGGTAGTTGGGGATCTGGACAGGCTGTCCAACATCCCTGTAAGTCGGGTGCAGAGACCACGGTCCCATCTGCATAGTTGTGGGGCTTAACATCTCCCCTTGGTGGGTTAGGCTGCCGCTGGAGAGAGGGTGTAACAAGCTCCTCTCTCTGAACTGTAGACTGCCGCTGGGGAGAGGGGGTAACCTGACACTCTCTTTGCTGGTGGAGAGGGGGACCAACTGCCTCCCCTTTCAATATTTTGTCCTGTGGCTGGGGTGCGAGACAGACGGTCTCTGCTTCCTGGGGTACACACTCCCGCTGGGGAGGAAGGACAGCACCTTCAGCTCCCTGGGGTACACACTGCCGCTGGGGAGGAAGGACGACACCTTTGGCTCCCTGGGATACACACTGCCGCTGGAGAGGAAGGACGGCACCTTCTGCTCCCTGGGGTACACACTGCCGCTGGGGAGGAAGGACGACACCTTCAGCTCCCTGGGATACACACTGCCGCTGGGGAGGAAGGACGGCACCTTCTGCTCCCTGTTGTACACACTGCCGCTGGGGAGGAAGGATGACACCTTCAGCTCCCTGGGACTCACACTGCCGCTGGGGAGGAAGGACGGCACCTTCAGCTCCCTGGGATACACACTGCTGCTGGGGATGAAGGACGGCACCTTCAGCTCCCTGGGACACACACTGCCGCTGGGGAGGAAGGACGACACCTTCAGCTCCCTGGGATACACACTGCCGCTGGGGAGGAAGGACGACACCTTTGGCTTCCTGGGACTTACACTGCCGCTGGGGAGGAAGGACGACACCTTTGGATCCCTGGGACTCCTTTTTGGCCAAATCTACTAGAGATTGCAGGTATTCTCCTACTAGTTTCCTGGCGAGCTGCACGGCTCTCTCTGGGGGGTTGGGTCCAAAGTTAGACAACACCTCATTAACCTCTCTGTCAAACTCCTCCTGAGTGTAGTCATACGCCATGCTTGCTCTGCTGAAGTTAGTTCTTTTGTAGATAGGGTCGCTGTACGGATACTAGCGTTGCCTTCCCTTTGTAACTCCAAACGAACTGTGTCTCTGAGCTGCTTTACCTCGCACTAGGATGCCATCCCACCGCTTGCCACCAATGTAACGGATCGCCTGGCACCCCGACTGGGTACCTCCGTTGAAGGATGCTCCTAGCGCTTCCTGAGGACTCCAAGCACTCTGGCAGACACCACAATCACCGAACCGGAGAAACAAATAAATTCTCCCAAGCATATGAATGCTGTAGACAGTTGAATAGGAACCATACGAATAGGTTTACTCTCCTAGCAGTCAAACTGGAACAGCATACAATAAATCCTTCCCCCAATAATGAGACGACACTTCACTTTGAGGGTTAAAACAGGAACTCAGGTGCTGGCACACCCATCCTGGTTTTTATTACAGTCTTTGCAAATACAGGACCGCCCACAGGGAGGTATAAAACAACCAATCACATATCAGTTACATCCCACATATTCCCTCCACTTATCCTGAGAAGAAACTCAATTACACATACAGTTAAAACATACTTTTTACCCAACTTTCATAACTCTAAAACTATACATCACATTCACATAAAATTACATATTCACAATCAATCCATTCAGGGGAACAACATATTAAAAAAAAATGGCATGAATCAGACCAGGGGTTCAGAAGTTAGCACAAGTATCTTTTATGGCCTGGCTGGCAGCATGGCTATCTGACCCAAACTTGTTTCAGAGTCTTCTATCCTGGAGATAATTAAGAAGTAATGCAATTATCTCCAAGGACAGAGGCAAAACTCCATTAGCCACATGGCAGACAAAGGACAACAAAAGACATAAAAATACATACTGTTACATTTATCACATAGAACCTACACATTTACAATTTACCGAACACATAATAGCATATATAATATTGCAGACCGCCTGAATGCAATCTGCTACACAGTCTTAAAGGGACATTGTTCCTAAAAGTCATAATCTGTCCAGGGATGGTTTTTAAAGGGCCAGCAGCAGCACCATACAAATCCAATATGCCCAAATATTGTACTTGAAGGGCCAAATAACCCAGGGCCATAGTCATGAGGCAATAGGCTGGCAATCAGGCTCCTCCAACAGACAGGGGAAAATCCGGTGACAAAAGGCGTTTCGTCACAGTGCTGTCACCACACAAATGACTCACTTATCCTATCCCTCCCTAGCACGTGCTTTATGGTAGCATGGGGTACTGACAGGAAATTATACTTAGTTTGTTCTGGCTGTTAGGTAGCACTTTGGCCTTGGGTAGCATTTTGGCTTCTTGTTTCACTAGATAGCAGTCCCGCAAGACCAACTACCATCCTCAAGCATGGAGCTATTCACCCCCTTTCTCAAATCATAGCTAGTGCCTCACTACTCCATCCTCTTCACAAAAAATATGGGGTCTCACCTGTCAAGGACAATCTATCTTTAACCATGTAAATGTCACCAAAAGACCAACTCCCTGCAACAGCAATTGGTGGCATACGTCCAACACAGCCCAACTCATATGTAGTGCCAAGCATTGCTGTATGGCAACTGGTAAGGCCTTCCCAGTCACCAATCCTAATTTAATTTCTTCACTGCTTGGCATAAGTTAGATCAGCCTGTATATGTGTGAATAATGCAGTTTTGGTTTACAGTACAGGGTCTTTGTGTCATGAGATTACTCAGGACAATGGTTTGTTGTTTTTCTATCTTCTTCCTCTGTTTCTGGTATTTTAAGACACCCACAACACCACCTTACTACTAGTAACCTGTCACAATTCTTTTTCTACTGACACAAGTTAGGGCCAAACCAAGGAAGCGGTAACTAGGGGTGGTGACAATGATCATGTACAGTTATGTTTTACAAGTCTAGTTCAGATAATTTGTCAAGACACATGCCCAACCAGGGGTGTATTTACACCGATGCAAACAAGGCATGTGTCTTGATGAATTATCTGAACTAGACTTGTAAAACAAGGCTGTCAGCGGCGGCACTTTCCGGGCGGGCAGCGAGGGAGCACTAATCCTCCTGTTCAGCTCCCTCGCGCGCACCACAGTGATGTTGGAGCCGGAATATGACGTAATTTTGGCTCCGGCATCACTACGTGGTGCGCGAAAGAGCTGAACAGGAGGATTCGTGCTCCCTCACCGACTGCAGTAACCGTCCGTCCGTCCAGCAGCTCCACTGGACCCCAGGGAAAGTGATAATCCACCCCAGCATTCCCAAAGGAAAGGAGGCTGGGGGGATTGAATTTAAAAAAAAGTGTGTTAATGTGTAGTTATACATTGTAGTACCAATTGAGTACATTCTGTCAGTTTTTTGGGAAAAGTAACATAATCAAAAGAGTAGTTAATAACAAAACGAAAGTGTAACATAATGGCTCTGCGATTCCAGAGGGTATTCGTTATGTCCCCTAAGTGGAGATGTCAGGTGCTTGTGTGAGTGGAGTTATGTGTGTAGTTGGGTGTCTAGTGCAGACTCTAGTATTGCTCCCACAATTCCCATACTTTGGTAAAAGTGGGGATGGTGTTTCAGACCTGTACGGTTAACTTGTCCATGAGATAATTGTCTCTAATTTTCGTGAGAACTAGGGTCTTGTGCGGTAGGTCCGGGCTATCCCATTTTTGCGAGAGTGCTCTTCGTGCCGCCAAGTACAGCATGTTAAGCAATTTCTGTTTGTGGCGATTAAGTCCCTCAGTGGGTCTGGACAACAGACATCCCCATGGGTCTAGTTCTAATTTTCTCTGGAGTACCTGGGAGTTAAGGTCTACCACCTTTTCTCAATAGTCCTTTACTTTCGGACACTGCCACCACATGTGTATGTAGCTGCCTTTGTCACCACATTGGTGCCAGCAGATGTCTGTGGGGCTTAGCTTAATGTGGTATTGTTTTACTGGTGTCATGTACCACCTAGAGAGTGTCTTATAGCTTTGTTCTTGGAGCGTGACACACATAGACACTTTGGTGCATGCCTCCCATATCTCCTGCCAGTCTATTCCCTCAAGAGCCTCTCCCAGATCAGCTTTCCATTGACCAGTGTATCTGAGGGTTCCCCACTCCCCTGATTCCGAGCTAATGTGTTGGTATAATAGCGTGATATGTTTGGTCTGGGTCGTTTCTTCATAGCATAGTTTTTCAAAGAACGTTAAGGTTTGTTTTGCAGCTACTCGGATCTCCGTTGTGTGGGCAAAGTCCCTGATCTGTTGGTAGCGGAAGTAGTCCCTAGTCTGGAGTGGGGCTTTAGTTTTTAGGTGATCGTATGTGACAACGTCATTGTCAATAAATAAGTGAATGTATTGTTGTAGCCCTGTGGCTTCTATGCCCCTGAAGTCCCTAGCTCTGAGTCCTGGGGGGAATGCGCGATTGCTGAGAACTGGAGTTAGTGGGAACGTGTCGTTCCCTAGTGAGTATTTACGCTTAACTTGATCCCATATTTGTAGAGAGTTAAGGATGGCCGGGCAGGTGCTTCTTAAGATGGGTCTCTGTGTTTTGGGGACCCATAGATAGAATTGTGGCAGGTCCGCTCCTGTCAGTAGCGACTCTATGTCCACCCATTTTCTACAGTCCGGGGGTGAGTGCCAGTGAATTATCTGGGCTAATTCAGCTGCTAGATAGTAGTGGTATAAGTGGGGGAGGCCTAGGCCCAATCTGTCCTTGGGTCGGTATAATAGGTTACGAGCTAGTCTAGGCCGTTTATTCTGCCAGATAAAGGAGAATACAAACTAACTTTCAAAGTGCCAACATGGCAATTAAACCTGAATAATGAGGTTTAAGTTTAGAAAAAAAAACTCATACAGTTGTCCGAACTAATTAACATCTTTTGTTTTAAAAGAAGAACACAACAACAGAGAGTTCAATGATACAAACTGGATTTTATTGAACATTAACTGGCTACTTAGACACACACATACTCACAGATACACACTGACACTCACAGATGCACATACACTCGCATATACACACTGACACTCACAGATACACACACACACACACACACATGGGCAAACACACAAATTGCAATTTACATTTGTTAACCATCCTCTGCTCCCATACCTTTTGCTTGCAGGGAGGTTAATTCCTGGGGCTGGCTGATGATGATGGGAGTCTGAAGGAGAAGCTGCAGAGTACTCTCTCCTGCCGCCTCCTCCTATCTTAGTTGCTTTTTCAGTTTCCTGTCACCCCGCACGGTCTGTATGCTGGGAGGAAGTAACAGTCACTTCCTTCCAGTACTCTCTGCAACATTACAGGGGCCTGGTCTGCCAAAGGGCTGCAGCACCCGACCGAGCCCCTGACGAGGTATTTCCACTATGGGAGCTGCACTAATTTCTCGGGAGGAACAATTGCCCTGTTGCACCACCCACCCCCCACCCGGATCCGCCACTGCAGCTGTGGCGCAGCTTAGCTCATTCCGGGACAGCTGCGTGCCAACAGAGAGCGCTCGGCGTGCCTGTTGTGGCACGCGTGCCATAGGTTCGCCATTGCTGTACTAGACTGTTGAGCCACAACTGAAACACCAAACTTCCCAACACTTCCAATGTTTCACAGTCTGCATTCAGGAGATATTTTCAGAAGCTCTACAAGTCCCCAAACTATTCATGGCCACTGCTATATAGGGTTCCCCTTATTACAGTAAGGTGCATTGCCTAATGGTCCCTTTAAGCCTTGCTTTTATTATAGACGCATACTTAGCAGCCTGTAGTAACCATGTTTCGTGTATAGATTAAGAAGTTGGTCTGATTAATTCAGTAGCGTATATAAAACAGGTACCACAACTGTGGAAAAAGACAGGCCACTAAAGTTGACTATAGCAATTGTTGCATTTTGACCAATAACAGATGAGATTGACAATAAATGTATGCTCTCTTTATCTATGTCTACCCGTTGCTGGGTTTTGGCATACCACAAATGACTGGTTTTACTCATATGGCTCTAACCAAATTAATTTCTTCTTATTATTATTTATATAGCGCCATCAGATTCTGTATCGCTGTACAATGGGTGGACTAACAGACACATAATTGTAACCAGACAACTGGACGTACAAGAACAGAGGGGGTGGTGGGCCCTGCTCAATAAGCTTACATTCTTACGAGTTGTATTCCCAAACCGCAAATGTGAAGGCAGCATGTCTGGGTTATCCAGCCTTTATCACCACTCCTCCACCCCAGCTACCTCCTGGCATTCCATCAGTTTTCAAACCCCACCCACCACTCCCTTTAATTATTCTTTCATTAGGTGGGCATTCTATTTATTTAGGCCTACATGATAGCAGGTTTTGACACACTACAACTGACTGTGGCTCCAAATTTTATTTTTACTATTTTTACAAGAATACAAATAACTTACCTAAAAACTTTGGTACACTTTGTAGAAATTAATGCATGTATAAGTTTGGACATGAAAAAGCAATTAAACTGAAGAATATATACATATATATATATATCTACATACCTTCATATACATGTGCACACAAACATATGTTTTGAATAATACACTTTACAAAGAGAAAATGCCATATAAAGTTGTAAAATAAAAATAATAATCAGTGTGATATTTTCAAGTTAAACAACTGAGAGCAAGCGATCACAGACTGATAATGTTTTACACCGTGTTTTCTATTTACTTTTTTTTTTTCCTTCACAATATTTTTTTCTTCTTTTTTTAGAGAGCGAATGTTAGTGTATGTGTCCGTGTGCCCCCCCCCCCCTCTCTGTCTGCTCCTTGTGGCTGAGAGAGAGAGAGAGACTCATGCTGCTCTCTCTTTCTCTTTCTCTCTCTCTCTCTCTCTCTCTCCTCTCTCTCCACTGCCAGCCCCTGATGTGATGGCGAAGAAACCCCGTTGACAAGGCACTGCTTTTTCATGACGGTGAGTTTCCCTTTGAGTGTATTATAATTTTGTGATAAAAATTTCAAGGAAAAAAAAACACACAACCTCCTTCCTCCCTTCCTTCGGGGAGAGGGAAAAAAAAGGAAAAGAAAAAAAAGAGAGAGAGACGGGGGAAATCTATCTGCAGACAGACAAGAAAAAAAAAAAAAAAAAAAAGAGGAGCAAGGAGGATTTTTTTTAAATTTTTTTTTTTTTTTTTAAACCCAGATGCCAAAACCAGGATATTAGGTTTCAACCCAAAGAGCTATTGGCTCTTCCTCTCCTTTTTCCCCCCTCTTCCTCCTCTCTCTCTCTCTCTCTTTTTTTTAATTTGGCAGATACAAAAAAAAAAAAAGAGAGAGAAAGGGCTGTAGAGAAATAATAAAATATTTATTGATGGCAAGATCTTATTGTTGTGCAGAGAGGGGGTTGTTGTTGGTGTGGAGAGGGGAGGGTTTGTTGTTTTTTTTAGTTTTAGCTGGAGGTGGTGGTAAAGTAAAGTACATAGTATCCTTTCCCTTTTTTTTTTTAATGAAATGAGGTGGCAGCTTTTAGGGAGGGTGGTATATATTCCCCCCTTTTCTTTCTTTTTTTAGCTGATGCAAATTGAAGAAGGGGAGGAAAACAAACTCTTCTTTCTTTCTTTCAATGACTCATTGATTTGAGCCGGTTTAAAATTAGGTTTTTTTTTTTCTTTCCCTCCCACCTCCCACCCTGGATCACCATCGGGGAGGAAAAAATAGAAAAAGAAAAATAATCTTTAGCAATCCCCTCCCCTCTTCTCTCTCACTACTGTTCGTGTGGCTATAAGCTCTTTGGATCCGGGCTGCGGTGACTCTGTGTACAGACAGCGATATTATGGGAAGACATCGGTCAGCGCCGGGGGCTCGATTTTACACTCAGCCCGGGAATGGGCGCCTGGCCGCCGGCCTGTGTGCAGGAAGCCGCCGGAGGGCCCTGTGTGGATGGTGCTCGGAGGGGAGGATTAGTCTGAGCTATTTTGCTGCGCTGGATTGTTATTACTAATGATCACCGATGGCGGACAGTCTGGGGGGAGATTTGTCTTGTTTATTTATCTGTGAAATGTCCGCTCCAGGCCTGGCGGTCGGTCGGTCAGCCTGAGACCTGCCGGACTTACCTCACACACCGACCGTTTACACGGCTCGCGAGCTGCCGCGGCTTGTTTGCACATTTTTATTAAACTGATTTATCCGGCTAAGTCACCTCATAGCTTTATTAGTCTCCACTGTTAATAATAAGCCGCCATTACTGTAACGGCCTCGCTCGCCCTCTGTATATAGTGTGTGTATAATATAATATGTTCGGCGGCCTGCCCGCCCTCCCGCTCACTGTGTTTTCTGATAAACCTTATAATAATAATAATAATAATAAAGCTATTTCGGAGCGCGGTGTGTGATGTCGAGGTGCGCTGTTTTTATCTCTGTATTTAGTGCTAGATGCCCCCTGGGTGGGCAGTTTGACGAGGTCGGGGTGGAGGGAAGATGGCGGCGGCTGCTGGCGCTGGGCCAGGCGGGATGGCGCACTTTGTATCGGCCTCCATTTTAGCCCCTGTGTCTGTGTCTCTCTAACACACACAGTCCTGCTAACTAAGTACGTGGATAGCCTTTATCAAAACTTCCTTTCACAATCTTTATATTTTAATCTGTTTACAGAGTGATTCAGTAAACCAAGAGTCTTTTGTAAGCTGTATTTATATACATTGTTTTAATTTGGGTTATTCACCTAAAAATGTGGGGTAAATGCTTATTTGACTGATTTAATCGTTTAACTCCGAATTGTACCAAATCAAAATCTGAATGACAAATGTAAGACCAAAATAGCTCACTTAAATATGCCCCAACTCCACAAGAGACAAAACTTCATACATTATTATTTTTTTTTTTTTTTTAGTCATTCAGATTGTAATCTGCTACAATTAGGGTTTTAGTGAATCTTGGCCCCCCCCTTTTCCCCCCTATGGCTACTTGTTAAATCTAAAAAAAAAAAAAAGTGAAAATTACTTTAAATTCCTGCTTAAGTTAAGATTATTGTCCATTTGTGTACTTGTTTCAGTGAATACTTTGTACCACCTTTTCTAATGTGTATATACTTACTGTTGATATATGTACTTTGCAGAGTATTTCAGTAAAATCTCTTGAACAATGTATATTTTTTCCTGTTTTATTAATGTTTGTTTACATGTCTCTTAAGTTGTGTAAACATGTCTTTGTAATAGTATTATATTGTAGCATTCTACACCATAAAGATCATTTTGCGATGAGTTTAGTTATATTTGATTGTATAAAGACTTAAACCAGTCAGTAAGTGCACTCAGTTAAATGTATTTCTAAATAAAATTGGGGGACCATGGGTTGCCAAAGTATACTGACAGCCATGGATTTGGATAACTGAATTAGTACAAATGTCCTGATCATAGTGGGTGCTGTGGTGTACAAAATGAAGATATGAATTAATGCATTTAGCTATTTTATATGTAATGGAAACTTATTTGAATAAAATAGCATGGCTTGAAGTATTTGAGTTTAGAGTCTCTAGACCAGTAGTTCCCAAATTTTTCAGGTTCAAGGCGCCCTTAATATTTTTAATATTTCTCCAAAGCGCCTCAAGTCCAAATTTTTTTTTTATTAAAGTTTTATATATGCACAGCGCAGCAGCATATACTGGGCCCTTGTTTGGCAGCAATGCTTGCGTTCAAGCGCAAATTTAGAACCTAACCTTGAGAGGGGCAGTGGTAGAATTTTAAAGAAAAAATCCAGGCACAATAACCACTACAGCACTTTCTAGTGGTAATGGTGCCAGCAGTCCCTGCCAGAGTAAGTAGTAAAACTGTTTAAGAACTGTAGAAGGGTATTTGGGTACAGTGTGTGCGTATATGGGAGGAGTTATTGTGTGGGGGTGGGAGGGCAAATTCATGTGTGTATAATTTTTTATTAAAAATTTCATATAATCCCTGGTGGTCCCAGTGGTGAGAGTGAACTCTAGCAGCCTCCGGAGCTACTAGAGTTCGCTCTCCTGAGTTTCGTAGCGTTGCCAGGGTAACCACGGCAACGCGCCAAGCACGCAAGAGGAGAACCCAGTGGAGTTGCAGGTTAGAGCTTCCCTGGGGTCCTCTCTCCCTCCCCTGCCTGCTGCAGCATTACACTGCTAGCAGGCCAGAGAGGGAGATCTCTGATCTCCCCTCTGGTCCTGCAGAACCGGCAGGGGAGAGGGAGGCACAGTTCCCAGTGCTATGATCATAGCACCAGGAAAATATCTCGCGGCTCCCCTGTGTGCTCCTTGTGGCGCCCCAGCACACATTTTTGCTCTAGTCACATAGAGCCAGAATTTATTTTGATAGACACCCACCCACATACTATAAATAAGAACTCTCAATGATGGGAGTCTTGGATTCTTTGCAGGACCCTCTCATTGGGTTATGTCTGTCTGAATTGTTGAGTGAGGATTGGGGGTAAGGTAGGTAGGGTGTAAGATATTTGTATATAGCCCAAGTACAAAATGGGGGTCTAAGGAAGAACATGTGGGACTCTCCATGAGCAGGGCCGGTGCAAGGATTTTTGCCGCACTAGGCAAACAAAAATTAGGCGCCCCCTCATATGCTATGCCCACCATGTGATATCACAATGCTCCACCCATACGATCTGCCATAAGAGCCAACACCAGTGCTGCACACAGTGTCTTTTCTCTGAAAAGGCAGTGTGTTTACATTAAAAAAGCCTCAGGGACAGGCTATAGACACCAGAACCACTCCATTAAGCTGTAGTGGTTCTGGTGACTATAGTGTCCCTTTAATGTGAGGTAAATTTGAGATTAGTGCCACTAATATTATACTGGATTGCCTACTTACCAACAGATGAGAACAAGAGGATGATGGGCTCAGGCTGCAGTCTGGCTCCACTGGTCTGGTGTTAAAACAGGCTCTCTGAAGGCAGTGCTCGCAAAAATAAACAGGAAGCAGCTCCATTTTTTGGGGCTCTTATACAGATCACGGTCTGGGCCCCCAGAGCCTGAATGTGAGTATGCCTACAAGCCCCGCCCATAAGCCTTATGCCTACAAGACCCACCCATGAGTTCGCTCACGTGGAGTGGAGTGTATGTGTGTAGGGGATGTTATTGTAGAGGATGTTAGGTGTGTGTGCTTATGGAATGTAGTGTATAGGGGATGCGTTGTGTGAATCTGTGTTTGTATGTGTATGTAATGTAATGCAGTGTGTGTGTCTAATGGGTGCATTTAGTGTGTGAAAGAGATGCATTAAGAGAATCAGTGTGTGTAATGGAGGCATGATGTGTTTGTGTGAGTGTAGGAGGCATTGTATGTTTCAGTGTGTCTGTATGTGCATATGGATGCATTGTATGTTTCTGTGTGTGTGTGTAGTGTCTTGGTGTTGTCCCATCCCCTCCTGCCCCTTAGTGCTTCCCCATCTGTTAGTGATCTCCCCTGCCCCCTCCCCGTTCTCATAGTGCTCTCCCTCCTGCCCCTTAGTGCTTCCCCATCTCCCGTGCCTCCCCTCCCCTCCTGTCCCTTAGTGCACTCCTCTGCCCCCTCCCCGTTCTCATAGTGCTCTCCCTTCAGTCACTTAGAGTTCTCCCCCCTCTTGGTCTCTCCAGCCCCCCATCTTTCCCTTGGTGGTCTCTCCCTCCCTCCCCCCCCCATCTTCCCCTTAGTGGTCCCTCTTCCCCATTTTTTTCCTTAGTGGTGTCTCCCTCCCCCTTAGTCTCTTAGTGGTCTCTACCCCCCCTTCCACCCCTTAGTGGTATCTCTTATATCTCCCTTTGTTGCGTCTCCTCTCCCTTCCCTGTTGTGCCTCCTACCTCAGTATAGCTTGGCTGGGCGGCGCGGACCGCGGTACAGGTGCTTGTGTTTTCTGTACCCGGCCGGACTGATAGGAAGTGCTCACTGAGACAGCACTTCCTTTCAGTTTGACCGGGTATAGGAAACGCCAGCTCCTGTATCATGGTCTGCGCTGCCCGGCCACGCTACAGATAGTGACGGGCAGGAGACAGCGCTGTGCACCTCCCTCCTGCCGGTTCACTCGAAACCTGCGCCCCCCGGGCCTGTGTGCCCTAGGCAATGGCCTATAGGACGCGCCAGCCCTGTCCATGAGCAATGGTACATGTGTGAAGTAAGATTCTGTAGATATCTATTGTACTTCCTGTTAGGAAATCTGCCACAAATGATAGCTGATAGGTTCCACCCCACCACATATTGCCATTTCCCATCTTATACCTACTCCGTTCTTTGTCTTGTATAATCTGTTTTAGAATTTTAATTTGAATTCCAACAATCTTTGAGATTTCAATCTATCTAATAAAGATTTTATCTATTTGAAAAACAATACACTCTAAACCGTGCCATTTTAAAGAAATAGAGATGTATACAAAAAATATGCGTAGTTATTTACAAAAGGAAGAAAATCTAGTAAACCGTTATCAAAACCTAAATGTATGTAGAAGCAATGGAGGCGTATTCCGCTGAAAGGGGAATCAATGTGTGAGAATTAAAACCAGAGTGGACACCAACATGTAATGTACAGAATAATACAAACCATATATACCTAAATAACAAGGGGAAACCCGAAAACAAATCAGCAGCAGCAACTCACTTAACAATGGGTGCAATCAGATCCTGGATGCACCTAAAGGAATCATTGCCACTCAAGCTTTTCATTCAGACAATGTGGCAACACTGTCCAGCAGATACATCCACTGGACCTCTTTTTGTAAAAGTACCATGTCCTTATTGCCACCCCTTGTGATCATGCTCCACTCTGCAACACTTTTGTATCTTAAAAGTGGCTGTGTCACTTCAAACTTGGTTCTCCTATTGTTTCCTTTTTTCAGAATCTGTTCTTTTGTAATTTCTGATCTATTCATCTTTAAAACATAAGACCAAGTACTTTGTATTTTTTCCTATATTTAACAATCGTGAAAAAAGAGTGAAGCTTGTCTTAATGGAAATAAAACACAATTATAAATCAGCGCTTGTGAAAAATGATTACAATCCATTGACAGCTAGAACACCAAGTATGATAAAAACTGGGTGGTGCAACGCCTAAGTAGTCCTTATTTGGGGGTATGTAACGCCAAGAAGAAAAAAACAAAAGAAACTAATAGTTTAGTATGTAAAACATAAGTTTGTGTGTGTATGTATGTATATGTGTGTGTGTGTGTGTGTGTATATATATATATATATATATATATATATATATATATATATATATATATATATATATGATAAAAAATGTGCACTCACTTTTTTGGAGCTTCAATACAGCTCTAACTTATGCGCCTGGGTGGAACAATCCCCGCCTAAGGATAAAGTGCAGTGCTAATTCTTTTTTTTGTTCGTGGTTGTAGGAGGTATCTTCATAGAAATAAAATAGATAAAAATCGTGTATATAGTGTAGTATATTATGACTATGGAGCGAGGGTAGGTATAAATATAAAATTTGCACTCACATGTAATGGAGCCATACCTACGGCTCCATTGGCCAGTGGAGGTATCCTTAGGCTGTAATGTAAACTGCATTTTCTCTGAAATACAGTGTTTACTGCAAAAAGTCTGAAGGGAATAATTCTACTCTCCAGAACAAATGCAATAAGCCGAAGTTGTTCTTGTGACTATAGTGTCACTTCAAGCTCTACCCTTTTGTCAAAATTGCCAAGATTTGGAAAATACATAGGACAAAATAGTCCCTACTTTGTCTTATGTTTTAATTCGAAATCGATCAGAAATGAAGGAAAGAACAGATAATGAAAGAGGAAGAGCAGATAAAACACTAGAGAAAGGTAACTGTGAGGTGACCGTTACTTTAACTGTGAAACATTGTTTCATGGCATGAAAGATGATTGGTTCCTTTCAGCTTGTGTTGGAGATTATAACCTTCAAGGCCTTACTAGTTTTACTTGGATAGCTAAGGCCACATGGACACTTGATAAGGTACATTACATATTCAATTTGACAAGTGAAAAAAAAACCTTTCTGTCACTCCTAGGGTGTATGCAGTAGTCATGGCAGTAATTACAGGAGAGACAAGGAAAGGTCCTAAAAACTGGTTTAGATAGAAATCTTTGTTGAGAATGGGCGTAGTGTCTGCCTTCACGACTATGTCATGTATGTTTGCAAGCAACAGATTTTGGGTAGCGAGTCTCCACGTGCCTGCCGCCATAGGTCGCCTATACTCATGCCCTGTTTCGGCTTGTCCGGCCTTTGTTTTTTGTTTTTTTGGCCCATATTGTTGTCAGGAGCCTGGGGGTCTAGAAGAGGGTCTAATTGCTTGGGGTTGTTGTAGCTGAAAACGTAGTTATTAGGTCTTTGTGCACGGAGCTCGGCAGGCTTGCGACCTTTCAGTTCTACAGCTTGGCTCCGCCCCCGAGATTTCTCTCGTTTTCAAGTATGTCTTGGGTCTTTGTCCACAAAACATTGCATTGTTACAATAGGATACAATATGACAAAAATAAAATATACAAACTATTTATAAATATGTAACAAGGGCTTGCACTCTTGGTTAAATTCTTAATGCCCGGTGCAGGTCTGGCAAAATCATGTAGATATAGTAGAAAGGACCGCACTCCAAGGTCTTTGTGATAGTTTTCAAATAAAATGTAACTTTTATTTAATCCATATAAAAGTCAGCGTTTCAGCCCCCACATGGAGCTTTCATCAGGACAAGATATGTGGGGGCTGAAACGTTGGAGTACGGTCATTTCTACTATATATATATATATATAAATTGAATACATAACAGGTAATAAATATATTCCACCATGACAGGTGCATTCTGTGCTGAGGTATGATGCCATAGATCTCTTAAAAGATTTTAGATTGAATTAAGATTTGACGGTGTCCCTGAGGTTATTCCATATTTGCAGTGCTCTGTAGGAAAAGGAGGATCGAGCCACTTTATTTTTGTATTGTGGTATGTGAAATATCATTCTAGTACTGGATCGGAGGTTATAGGAGGTGGGAACAGCTGGGGAGAGCATTCTACTCAGGTAGGGTCTGAGCTTCCCACAAATGCTTTTATGCACAAGGATGGAAAGATGAAGAAGAGTGCGGCGGGATTCCAGCGACAGCCAGTTTAGCTCTTTTAGCATGTCACAGTGGTGTAATTACATTCTAGTACAAAGCAGCAAACGAATGGTATAACGTATTAAGTTTATTAAGGTGGGTTTGCAGTGCGGATGCATACACTACATCCCCATAGTCAATGACTGGCATTAGCATTTGTTGCACTATCTGTTTCCTTATTGTAGGGCTTAGGCAGGATTTGTTTCTGTACAGGGCCCCTAGTTTTGGGTAAAGTTTTGAAGAGATTTTTTCAATCTGAAGGCCAAAAGATAGATTGGTGTCTAGCAACATACCTAGATATTTAAAAGAGCAGACTGCGGCCAGTGTGCTATTTGAATTTGTTCTGATACACAATTGTTGATTTTGTAGTTCATGTAATTTAGGTACAGTTCCAAAGATCATTGTAACAGTTTTGTCAGTGTTTATAAAGCGTTTATCAGCTATCCACTTTTCTACCTCTGTGAATTTGTTTTGGAGCACATCCTCAAGCTGCGGTAGCTTGGGTTTACTAGCATAGATTACATTGTTGTCTGTATACATGTGTACAGTTGAAGATTTGCAGACGTTAGGCAGATCATTTGTAAATAATGTGAATAGCAGGGGGCCGAGTATGGAGCCTTGGGGAACACCACACGTGACTGCAAGAGGGAGGGAAGTGCTATCAGAAATGGCCACATATTGCAATCGGTCTGAAACACCCAATTGAAACCAGGTTAGCGGACAATCACCAATGCCTAAGTTGCAAAAGAATACCATGGTTTACTGTGTGAAAGGCCTTGGCAAAATCAAGAAAAATAGCTCCAGTTAAGTATCCTTGTTCCATGCCAATTTGGATGTCATTGCAAACTTTTAAGAGGACAGTCGAAGTTGAGTGATTTGGACGAAAGCCTGATTTGATTAGGGCTCAGATAATTTGATCGTTGATAATATTCACATAGTTGCATGTGGACGCATTTTTCCAAGATTATTGACAATACAGGGAGCAATGATATTGGGCGATAGTTAGATACTAAAGTATTGTCACCACTTTTATGGATAGGTACAACTTTTGCAGTCTTCCAAAGTTTGGGTATGTATCCTGACACCAGGGAATCATTGATAAGGGTCGTTACAGGTTTAGCAATTGCTGGCGCACTGAACTTCAGCAATAATGCTGGGATTTGATCTGGTCCACACTGCTTTTTCATTTTTACGTTATTAAGATGTTTATTAATGACACTAACAGGCACAGGTCTAAAATTAAATTTCTCTGAGGATTTTGAAGATTTGACAGGGCCTGATCTTTATTTGCAATCCGAAAATGAGTGTCATTTGTTATCTTAGCAACCAGGGTGGTAGCACATCTAACAAAATAATTATTAAAGGCATTTGCTACATCTATGGGGTGTTGCAGTGTTTGGTTGTCCATTTTGACAGTGGAGGGTTGGGAGTGGATTGTGGGGGGTTGTATGCTATTTATGGTTTTCCAGAAGTTTCTTGGGTTTAATAGGTTGTTGCTCAAATTTTCACTGAAACATTGTGCCATTTTTGTTTGTTTTGTGCATGCATTTCGCATGCAGTGTTTGTGACTAAGTGGCTACTATATAAGACTGGACATAACCCATTTGCAATACCTTGGGTTGTTTACTATTGAAAATGGTATGCCATCATGGGGATAATTCTCATTCCTGGGCTACCATACGGTCTCAAAGGCAACATAACCAATTTGTCAAGAAACAATGGGAAAAAATGAAATGGGCAAGCCTTATATTTGACCCTGTAACTTTCTTAAACACTATAAAACCAGTACATGAGGGGTACTGTTATACTCAGGAGACTTCGCTGAACACAAATATAAGTGTTTCAAAAAAGTAAAATGTATCACAAAAATGACATTGTCAGTGAAAGTGCAGTTTTTGTTTAAAAAAAAAAAAAAGCAAAAAACTAATAAAAACGCAAACATTGACCAGCGTTCATGACTAAGTGGCTACTACAAAAGACTGGACATACCCCATTTTAAATACATTGGGTTGTCTACATTTGCAAATGGTATGCCATGATGGTGTTAATCACATTCTTGGGCTACCATATGGTCTCAAAAGGCAACATAGACCCAGCAAACCAATCTGGCAAACTGAAATGGGCAAGCCCTAAATTGACCCTGTAACTTTACAAAAACACCATAAAACCTGTACATAGGGGCTATTGTTATATTCAAGACACTTCGCTGAATACAACTATGAGTTTTTCAAAACAGTAAAACGTATCACGGCAATGATATTGTCAGTGAAAGTGCCGTTTGTGTGTAAAAAATGCAAAATGCGCACCCTCCAAATAAGGTATTTTAGCCCCCATCTATACATGGGTGGGATCACTGTACTCAGGAGATGTTGCTGAATACATATTGGGGTGCTCTTTGGCAGTAACCCTTAAAGTTCTCAGTACATGTATTCTTAAATTACTATGTGTGTCAAAATAATCACCAACTATTTTTTTTTGTTTTTGTTTTAAATTTGGCATAGATTGGTGGTAAAATGGTTGCACGAAAAGAGTAAAAATAGCCCAGGTTTAATACCTTAGGTTGTCTTGTTTTAAAAAGTATATACATGTGAAGGGTTATTCAGGGATTCCTGACAGATATCAGTGTTACAATGTAACTTGCGTTAATTTTGAGAAAATGGTTTGGAAATAGCAAAGTGCTACTTGTACTTAATAGCAATAATAGCATGTGCATAATATGTCCAGCTTAGAAAAAGTAAGGACTGGGACTCAACACATTCTGGGTAAGGAGGGAGGGGGGGGTGAATTACTTAGACAGTGTCATTAGCTGTCCGCTTACGGAGCCAGGTTAGAGAGTGCATCACATATACTGAAAACTTTAGAAACTTTTAAAAAAAAAAAGCACTTAAAAAGAAACCAGGCATATATAACAGGCCTATAGAGCCAAAAATCTGGGTACTCTGGTGTGAACATTATAAGACATTATTAAGGTAATACAGGAATATACGACTGCCCATCTCAGGTTAGGGAGTCTGCCGCCCATGGCACAGTTCCTCTGGGCGCAAAGGGAGTTATTTCTGCGATGTTCCAAGATGGGCGGGCATCCATTGTTGTTGCAGGTGCTGAGAGACCCAACGACTGGAGGAAAGTTGGCACCTTGGATATGTGTGTCAGGAGGAGCGTCTTTCTGGCGTGTTCTGCCATCAAACGGTGAGGACCCCATTTATAAGGGATAGAGTTCTCTCAAAGCTTCTGGGTAATTTGGCGAAGGGTTCTGTGCCACTTAAGGGTGTGTCTTGAAAAGTCCCTGTGTAATATCAGGCTTGCTCCGTCAAAAGTGATCGTGAGAGAGCCCCTTGCGGCTCCCATAAGGACCCCCTGGTCTGAGTCCCGGACAAATTTAATTATCACGTCCCGTGGTACATCCTGGGTTGCCTTGGTGGCTATGGGGAGACAAAAGCAGGAATCAATTCCTACCTGCTTAGTTTGCTTTGGTATCAATAAAGTGGCTATGAGCCTTCTGCAGTAATGCTATAGTTCCATGTTAGCGATCGTTTCGGGTACCCCCGAAGCCGCACGTTTCTTTCCTTAGCTTTGTCTTCTATACCGGCTAGCTTGGCTGTCAGTGTAGCACATTGTTTTTGTAGGGATCCCAAGGTTGCGCCACTTTGGTGCTCCACAGATACCACACGGCCAGCAAGCGTAGTAATTTCCCCTCGGACAAGTGCCATGTTGGATTCAAACATCGCCTTGATATTCTGCATCAGCGCCTTTATGACGGCTTTTGTGGAAGGAGCTGCGTCTCCTAGCTTTGCTCGCTGCTGTGGTATAGTTTGTACCTTGGAGGGTGCAGACATGGAATCTGGTAAGCTGTCGTCGTCCGACGACTGTGAGGTGTCAACCGGCGCCACCTTGGCAAGCTTATGCCGCTAGGCCGGGTGCATAAAAGTGCAGAGATCTTTTGATCCGGAGCCGGGATCTGCTCTGTGCTTCTTCGGTTCCCCCCCCATGAACCCATTAACTAGCAGTAAGCAGTACTAACAGTAAATTCTCCAATTTCCCATAACTCCCACCCACCCCGGCTAGAAAAATATATAATTTTAAAATATTTAAATTAAATGAAATTCATTAATTAAATAAATTGAACCCTTGAGGGTTAAAAAATAAATAAAAAAAAATTAACCCGAAGGGGTTAAAAAAAAATAAAAAAAATCAGATCACAGTATAATACCAAGTTAGCGTTCATATTTGTTTGTGTGTGAAAAATGCAAAAAACCAATTTGAATGCTAATTTTGGCCAGTGTTTGTTACTAAGTGGCTACTAAAAAAGACTGGACATACCCCATTTGCAATACCTTGGGTTGTCTACTTTTGCAAATGGTATGCCAAAATGGGGGTAATTCTCATTCCTGGGCTACCATACGGTCTCAAAGGCAACATAACCAATCTGGCAAATTTCAGTGTGAAAAAAAGAAAATTCAAGCCTTCTATTTGACTCAGTAACTTTTAATAACCCCATAAAACCTGTACATGGGGGTACTGATATACTCGGTAGACTTTGCTGAGCACAAATATTAGTGTTTCAAAATAATAAAATGTATCACAACATTATCATTGGTGAAAGTACAGTTTGCGTGTGAAAAATTAAAAAAAAATGCATTTTTACTAAATATATATATATATGTGTGTGTGTGTGTGTGTGTGTGTGTGTGTCTATATGTGTATATCTATACTGCTTAAAAAAATAAAGTGAACACTTAAACAACAAAATGTAACTCCAAGTCAATCACACTTCTGTGAAATCAAACTGTCCACTTAGGAAGCAACACTGAGTGACAATCAATTTCACATGCTGTTGTGCAAATGGGATAGACAACAGGTGGAAATTATAGGCAATTGGCAAGACACCCCCAATAAAGGAGTGGTTCTGCAGGTGGTGACCACAGACCACTTCTCAGGAAGTTCCTATGCTTCCTTGCTGATGTTTTGGTCACTTTAGAATGCTGGCGGTGCTTTCACTCTAGTGGTAGCATGAGATGGAGTCTACAACCCACACAAATGGCTCAGGTAGTGCAGCTCATCCAGGATGGCACATCAGTGCGAGCTGTGGCAAGAAGGTTTGCTGTGTCTGTCAGCGTAGTGTCCAGAGCATGGAGGCGCTACCAGGAGACAGGCCAGTACATCAGGAGACGTGGAGGAGGCCATAGGAGGGCAACAACCCAGCAGCAGGACCGCTGCCTCGGCCTTTGTGCAAAGAGGAACAGGAGGAGCACTGCCAGAGCCCTGGAAAATGACCTCCAGCAGGCCACAAATGTGCATGTGTCTGCTCAAACGGTTAGAAACAGACTCCATGAGGGTGGTATGAGGGCCCGACGTCCACAGGTGGGGGTTGTGCTTACAGCCCAACACTGTGCAGGACGTTTGGCATTTGCCAGAGAACACCAAGATTGGCAAATTCGCCACTGGCGCTGTGCTCTTCACAGATGAAAGCAGGTTCACACTGAGCACATGTGACAGTCTGGAGATGCCGTGGAGATCCTCCGGTTGACTGGTTTGGTAGTGGGTCAGTAATGGTGTGGGGTGGCATTTCTTTGGGGGGCCGCACAGCCCTCCATGTGCTCGCCAAAGGTAGCCTGACTGCCATTAGGTACCGAGATGAGATCCTCAAACCCCTTGTGAGTCCATATGCTGGTGCGGTTGGCCCTGGGTTTCTCCTAATGCAAGACAGTGCTAGACCTCATGTGGCTGGAGTGTGTCAGCAGTTCCTGCAAGACGAAAGGCATTGATGCTATGGACTGGCCTGTCCATTCCCCAGACCTGAATCCAATTGACCACATCTGGGACATCATGTCTCGCTGCATCCACCAACGTCACGTTGCACCATAGACTGTCCAGGAGTTGGCAGATGCTTTAGTCCAGGTCTGGGAGGAGATCCCTCAGGAGACCATCCGCCACCTAGGAGCATGCACAGGTGTTGTAGGGAGGTCATACAGACACATGGAAGCCACACACACTACTGAACCTCATTTTGACTTGTTTTAATGACATTACAGTCAAGTTGAATAAGCCTGTAGTGTGTTTTTCCACTTTAATTTTGAGTGTGACTCCAAATCCAGACCTCCATGGGTTGAAAATTTTGTTTTCCATTTTTGAATTTTTGTGTTATTTTGTCAGCACATTCAACAATGTAAAGAACAAAGTATTTCAGAGGAATATTTAATTCATTCAGATCTAGGATGTTATTTTTGTTTTCCCTTTATTTTTTTGAGCAGTGTGTGTATATATATATATATATATATATATATACACACACATAATCCAGCGCACTCGCTTATTCACTAAACAGTTATTTCAAATCCTACAGATTGTGGTAGTTTTATTTAAAAACACCTCACCTAGGCAAAAAATAATGGGGGTTTACTTATATTATATGTTCATATATTGCATAAGCCTGCCAAAACGCCAATGTACCCCACTCTTGGCAGGTCCTACTCTAGCAGTCTAGCAGTCCCTCCTGGGACTCTCTGCAAGTCAAGGCTAAATAGGGTCCTGGAATAAGGCACCTGTGACAGGGAGGAGTGCAAAACCAAGGAGTTGGCCTGGACACCCAAATATATATTTTTTTAATGATTTTTATTTAATGTATTTTAAATTTAATATTTATGTCTATTAATATCAAAATACAGTTAGAATAAATAAAAGCCGGTATACAGTCAGTCCATAAATATTGGGACATCGACACAATTCTAATCTTTTTGGCCCTATACACCACCACAATGGATTTGAATTTAAATGAACAAGATGTGCTTTAACTGCAGACTTTAATTTGAGGGTATTTACATCCAAATCAGGTGAACGGTGTAGGAATTACAACAGTTTGTATATGTGCCACTTTTCAAGGGACCAAAAGTAATGGGACAATTGGCTGCTCAGCTGTTCCATGGCCAGGTGTCTGTTATTCCCTCATTATCCCATTTACAAGTAGCAGATAAAAGGTCCAGAGATCATTTCAAGTATGCTATTTGCATTTAGAATCTGTTGCTGTCAACTCTCAATATGAGATCCAAAGAGCTGTCACTATCAGTGAAGCAAGCCATCATTAGGCTGAAAAAACAAAACAAACCCATCACAGAGACAGCAAAAACATTAGGTGTGGCCAAATCAACTGTTTGGCGCATCCTTAAAAAGAAAGAACGCACCGGTGAGCTCAGCAACACCAAAAGACCCGGAAGACCACGGAAAACAACTGTGGTGGATGACCGAAGAATTCTTTCCATGGTGAAGAAAACACCCTTCACAACAGTTGGCCAGATCAAGAACGCTCTCCAGGAGGTAGGTGTAAGTGTGTCAAAGTCAACAATCAAGAGAAGACTTCACCAGAGTGAGTTCAGAGGGTTCACCACCAGATGTAAACCATTGGTGAGCCTCAAAAACAGGAAGGCCAGATTAGAGTTTGCCAAACAACATCTAAAAAAAGCCTTCACAGTTCTGGAACATCCTATGGACAGATGAGACCAAGATCAACTTGTACCAGAGTGATGGGAAGAGAAGAGTATGGAGAAGGAAAGGAACTGCTCACGATCCAAAGCGTACCACCTCATCAGTGAAGCGTGGTGGTGGTGAAAGTGTCATGGTGTGGGCATGTATGGCTGCCAATGGAACTGGTTCTCTTGTATTTATTGATGATGTAACTGCTGACAAAAGCAGCAGGATGAATTCTGAAGTGTTTCGGGCAATATTATCTGCTCATATTCAGCCAAATGCTTCAGAACTCATTGGATGGCGCTTCACAGTGCAGATGGACAATGACCCGAAGCATACTGCAAAAGCAACCAAAGAGTTTTTTAAAACAAAGAAGTGGAATGTTATGCAATGGCCAAGTCAATCACCTGACCTGAATCCGATTGAGCATGCATTTCGCTTGATGAAGACAAAACTGAAGGGAAAATGCCCCAAGAACAAGCAGGAACTGAAGACAGTTGCAGTAGAGGCCTGGCAGAGCATCACCAGGGATGAAACCCAGCGTCTGGTGATGTCTATGCGTTTCAGACTTCAGGCTGTAATTGACTGCAAAGGATTTGCAACCATGTATTAAAAAGTGAAAGTTTGATTTATGACTGTTAATCTGTCCCATTACTTTTGGTCCCTTAAAAAGTGTGAGGCACATATACAAACTGTGATAATTCCTACACCGTTCACCTGATTTGGATGTAAATACCCTCAAATTAAAGCTGAAAGTCTGCAGTTAAAGCACATCTGGTTTGTTTCATTTCAAATCCATTGCGTTGGTGTATAGAGCCAAAAAGATTAGAATTGTGTCGATGTCCCAATATTTATGGACCTGACATTATAATCTTTTTTACAATCTATTTATTTTATTTTATTTTTTCAATTTATTGATTTTATATATATATATATATATATATATATATATATATATATAAAATTAATGTCATTCTAAGAATATTTTAAAATTATATATATAATTAATAATATTAATAAAAAAAACACTTATTAATGATGTGTGTATGTGTATATAAAAGTACTTAGATCATGTGATCTAAGTACTTTTTATTTAATTTGAAAACTGTTTCATAACTTTTAAAAACTTTTTTACTGGCATGAGGGGGACTACCTGATAGTTGACAGAAAACAAATAATCTTAGAAATTAGTGTATTTAACATAATATGTAATAGTGGAGCTGTGTTTGTAGCGGTGTTAATCAATGACATTGGTATTGTATTGTTGTCATAGGATAGCCACTTTCTTTTAATCTGGAGATCATGGAATTTAGGCAGGGTTCCAGATTTGTTTTGTCACTCACAATTTGCCTCACTTTTACCATTTTGGCTGTGTGGGATGGAGGACACTTATTAGTATGATGAAAGCTCTTGGTATGCCATTGGCTAAATGAATATATAGCCAGAGTGACTTCACATGCAGATGGTCATCCTTAATATTCGCTGCATGTCTTCCCACATTTCCTTATGTCTGGGCACATGTTAGAAGTTGTGGGATGCTGTGCGTGAAGCCACTTGCAGATGCCTTATTTGTAGTCTTTATTGGCTAAACTAATTAGATAGGGACATTAACATATTTATTCACTGGTATGTATATTGTTAAGAATTGACAAGGGGAAATTAGAAATTATAGTGAGAAATAACAGAGCTGAACAATTAACTGAAATGGAGATTATTTATTTTTTCTTCAATCTGGCTCTTAAAAATTGCAAATGTTCAATTAATGCCCAACAATTTCCAGGTTAATGACTGTGTATGTCTGGCAGGATCACTTTAATATCCTATACCGTGTAGATCATCAATCTGCTCATAGAAAGGAATGTGCTGAAGGAATACTCTATGCACTGTAATCACTGCAGCTCAATGTATTGATTATGGGGCAAAGATTCTGCAGGTGTCATCCAGTGGCTTCTCCAGCATTCCTATTTAGGAGGGGCACATGGGGGGCCAGGGACAAATGTAGGAATTATAAAACGTGTGTGTGTGTGCACTTCCTTTTAGTCCGGCCGGGTACAGGAAACAAAAGCTCCCTGTACCCGTGGACCATAGAGGGCTCGGCCACGCTACAACAGTGGTGGGGCGAGGGGAGAAAGAAATTAGGAGGAGGTGGGGGAAGGGGAAATTAGGAGGAGGTGGGGGGAGAAATAGGAGGAGGTGGGGGGGAGAAATTAGGAGGAGAGGTGGGGGGAGAAGGAGGAGTGTGGGGAGAAATAGGAGGAGGTGGGGGGAGGAGGTGGGGGATAGGTAGGTGGGGGAGAATTAGGAGGAGGTGGGGGGAGGAAAAAGGAGGAGGGGGGAGTGGGAGAAATAGGAGGAGGTGGGGGGAGAAATTAGGTGGAGGTGGGGGAGAAATTAGGAGGAGGTGGGGGGAAAAGAGAGAGTAGGAGGGGTGGGAAATTAGGAGGAGGTGGGGGGAGGAAATTAGGAGGAGGTGGGAGAAATTAGGAGGAGGTGGGAGTGGGAGGAGGTGGGGGAGAAATTAGGAGGAGGTGGGGAGAATTAGGAGGAGGTGGGGGGAGAAATTAGGAGGAGGTGGGGAGAAGGATTTAGGAGGGAGGTGGGAAATAGGGAGGAGGTGGGGGAGGAGTGGGAGGAGGTGGGGGGAGGTGGGGGGAGAAATTAGGAGGAGGTGGGGAGGAGGTGGGGAAAGTGAGGTGGAGGTAGGGGGAGAATTAGGAGGGGGGGGAGGAAAGAAATTAGGAGGAGGGGGGAAGAAAGAAATTAGGAGGGGGGGAAGAAAGAAAGATTGGGAGGAGGGGGGTGGAGAAAGAAAGATTGGGAGGAGGGGGGGGAGAGTGACATTCATCACACACATACACACAATGCAACCCTTGCACACAGAAAAACACACAATGCATTACACACACAGACACACATACACAAGCAATGCAACTGTTACACACAATGGATCCCTTACACACACAGAAACACACAATGCATTCATTACACACACTCAATGCACCCCTTACACACATTCAATGCATCCCGTACATACACAGAAACACACCTTGCAGCCCTTACACATACAAACACAATTTCACACAATGCATTCCTTACACACATATCAGGACATCCCTACACACTCCACCCCCTGTGAACAAACTCATTGGTGGAACATGAAGGTGGACCCTGGGACCCAGACCTTGAGCTGTGTAAAGGGCCCCCTAAAAATGGAGCTGCTTCCCGTTATCCCAGACCACAGTTACAAACCGCCTCCAGAGAGCCTGTTCTACACCAGACCAGTGGAGCCAGACTGCAGCTAGAGCCCATCATCACCCTCACCTGGTTGTAAGTAGGCAATCTAATATATTATTCGTGGCAATAAGCTCTAATTTACCTCACATTAAAGAAACACTATAGTCCCCAGAACCACTGCAGCTTAATGTAGTGGTTCTGGTGTCTATAGCCTGTCCCTGCGACGGCACTGCAGCACTGGCGTTAGTTAACATGGCAAATCATATGGGTGGGGCATTGTGATGTCACATGGGGGGGCGGCAAACTTTACTTTTGCCTAGGGCGGCAAAAATCCTTGCACCGGCCCTGGGTGGAGGGGGCTGTGTGAGCTGTGGCTACACAGTGCCCCATGGTAGTTAGGGTGCTGTGCGGCCAGTACAGCTCACACAAGCAAACAGTTGATAAACTGGCCGCACGGAGGAAAAGTGGGGCGGAGCTAAGCAAAATTGGGGCAGAGCCAAACTGGCACTGGGGGCGGGGCTTAATATGGCCCTTACCCACTGCTGTTAGGAGGTGCAGCAAGATGGAATCTCTGCTTCTCCACAGGCTTCAGAGAAGGACTTCAGGGAATCCAGTCCTCCTCCATCCCACTGTCTGTAAGTAAGTGTGTGTCTGTGTGTGTTTGTGTGTGTGTGTGAGACTGTCTGTGTGTAACTGTCTGCCTGTAACTGTGTGTGTGCGTGTGACTGTCTGCCTGTAACTGTGTATGACTGTCTGCCTGTAACTGATTGTGTGACATTCTGCCTGTAACTGAGTGTGTGACATTCTGCCTGTAACTGAGTGTGTGACTGTCTGCCTGTAAATGTGTGTGTGGGGCTGCAGGGATTTTGTAGAAGGGGGCGGGGGTTTTGTATTGGGACAGGAGTCTTTATAAGGGGGATAAGCAGGGGATTTGTGGAAGGGGGTTGCGAGGGTTTTGTAGACGGGGCAGTACAGGATTTGTAGAAGGGGCAGGACAGAGGTTTTGTAGGAGGGGTGGGGCAGGACAAGGGTTTTATAGGAGGGGCTGACAGCGGATTTGCAAAGATTACAAATTGTAAAAAAAATAGAAAGAAAACCTTTAACAATTTTTACAGGTTTTTTTTTGGGGGGGGGGGAAGGGGGTGCCAAGCACAGGATCCGCCCGGGGTGCCACATGCTCTAGGTATGCCCCTGATAGTAATAATTAATTTACACTTCTGCATTATCATTGTCAATTTCTGGAAACTGGGATGGCAGTAATAGGCTGAGTCCTCCGACTCACATACTCGTTTCCCCACTACACTACGCTTAGTGCTTATAGTGAATACAGTGCCCTTTAATTAAATAAAGTACATACTTAGCAAATATAACATCTTTAAATTAGTAGGTTATTTATAACAACGAGTAGAAAAATCTCTATGAGTGAGAGAGGTGATTATCATTTAAAGTGAAGATGATAATTAGGTAATAGGTCTGTGGCATTGTGGGAACAACCAGACATGACAGTTATCAGTGTCACTAGAGTTTAAATTATCTTGATAATGCAGTGATAATTTCATTCATTACCATCTGTGGCCACATGGATGTCTATGTGATCTTTAGTAAGTCCTTAATAAAAAAGCCAAGGTAGCAATCCTAGTTTTAATTATAGAAAAAAATTTATACTCTTTAACTCTACTAGTTTCTTAAAACTTATTAAAGCAGTTTTAACATATGCATCTCTGGATATATATTGACAGTCAATAAGTGCCTATCAAGTGACAATTTCACCATATTTTTCAATTATAGGAGTTATCTCATTTGGCTATTAAAATATTGTAGCGGCTCCACATATATCAGAGGCATTTCTGGGGATGGGTGACCCTGGCTGGGGCTGAAACCTGGAAGCTGAATTTTTTTTTCGCTGGCAAATATAATGCACATTTGTACAAGAAGATACCAATATGCAACATTGTGCATTATTATTTATTTTGTTATTTTTTATATCTCCTTATAACTCAAATTTCTGCTCACTTAATGATCGAATTCCACTCCTACGACAGTTATTAAGCGAGGACTGCACTCTTTCTGGGGCAAAATTTGACAGGTCCACTTTTGAAATTCACTGGCGAAAGTTGAAATTCGCTAACGAATGATAAAATTTACCAGCGAATTTACTCAAAAAAAATGCGCCATTGAATCTAATGTACATTCAAATTTTAGAAACGTTATATTGCCAATATAAGTGTGCATTAGATTCCAGTAAATACGGTATGTTTCAAGTCTTATCAGTGAGGTTCTTTGACTCAGAAGTGGCATTTCAGAACTTCATCCATGACTGGTATCATGCTGCACCCTGTGCTAACATCTCCCAACATGGTGCAGAACTCACAAGACATCAACTGATGGAGTCTGGGAGGATATCATATCTCCATCTCCTCCCTCCATCAACAAGAGCTTTATGGTGCAAGGGGTTGCCTGCAGGCTTTCTCCAGATGTACCCTCCTTGCTGGCCCAATGCCAATTTTACTCATTATGCCCATGTAGTCGATTCTGTTATACATGTATATTGATATATTTGTGATATAGTTATTTTATATTCTGCTTATTTATACACTCACAATGACCCATGCAGGCTGATACTGATACTGACCAATGCAGACACACATTGACCCATGCAGACACACACAATGACCGATGTGGCTGCCCCCTGGGTTGGGCAATGCAGTCTGCTGCTGACCTTGGCAGGTCCCTTGCTGGACAGGCTGGTGGCTGGCACCGGCCAATAGTTAGAATGGAGGGTAGCCACAGTGGCCTTATGGGAAATACATTCCAGCAGACAACTAGACCCCAATGGGACTGAGTGGTGATGAAATGAGAGGGTAAGGAGATAGAAGGAAATGGTTAATACAATTAGGATGAAGAGATGGGGGGAAAGGCTAATGACATGTGGGGTAAGGAGATGGGAGAAAGTGATTAGTGAAATTTGGGTAAGATAGGTGGAATGGATAATGAATAATGGCTATTTGTGTATATATGTTTGGCTGTGTGTATTTAACTGCTTGTGTCCGCTTGTATGTCTGTGTGTTCATGTATGTATTTTCAGAACAATGTAAATCACGTGTGTTACTTATTTGGTTATTTTTGTATGTATGTGTATGGGTACATAACTGTATGAGTAGCTAATTATGTGTATATGAGTGTGACTTACTAGGTGTGTGCATGTAAATGGGTGACTTTGTATTTGTGAGTGTGATAGAGATTGTGGTTAATTGGCAGAAGGGGATTGTGTGTATGTGTGTGAACATCTTTAGCTAAGCTTAGGGCAGCCTAAAATATAAATATATCACTGTATGTAAGTCAAGGATGGACTGGCAACTTTTGGCATAGGGGGCAAATACGACCCAGAGGCCCCTGGTGCTGCAACTCAGTCCACAATTTGGATGCTAACTCTGGGCAACTACTGTGAAGGTAGTTCCCTGCACCCAGGGCTAGACTGGTAAAAAGGGAACCATCGAAAAAGTTTATACCAGCCTTGTAATGCATTGCAATACTGCGCAATTATACAGGTGAGAAAGAAAGGAAAACTGAAAATTAATTCTCCAATGAAGAGAAGCACAGTTAATAAACAAAAGTTGCTCTGTCACCCTCCCAACTTTTTGTTGGGATATCACTGAAATTCCAATCCAGTCAAAAGGTATACTAAGGCAAGGTAGGGGCTACTTTGTCTGACAGGTTTATTTGCTAAAGTAAGAAGTTAAAGTGAATGTCAAATTTAAAGGGACACTTAAGTCACCCAAAAACTTGCTTAATTATGCAGTTGTTTTGTGTGTAGATCATGTCCTTGCAGTCACACTGCTCAATTCTCTGCCATTTATTAAAAGTTAAATCACACAAACACACTCTCTCTCTCTCTCTTTACCTAATAATTACAAAAGTAATACAAGTGCTAAAAATGGCATTCAAAAGACCAAAAAATGGGTAAAAGATCATCTGAAACAGTAGTGGTAATCCTTTTTAAAAAACAAACAAACAAACAAAAAAACAACTTAATAGTATATAAATGTTAATATGCTGCTATACACTTTAGTGTCTACATCCAAGGGGTCAAACCCCTAACACACACCAAGATAAATATAAGTAGAAAAGTGGAGCGCAAAAATAAAATAAAAAATACTTAGATTAATTCCTTGACTTCAGGTTTCCATGAGCATGTAAAACAAGAAGAAAATGCAAAATAGCGTACTAATGTTACACATAAATCATGTATATACAGATAAAAATAATAATGTTCATAAAATCCAAAGATGAAGAATAAATGAATATACAGTTTATTTAACACATATTAAAAAGTAGTTATATAAAAAAATTGTATATATATTGCACATAGAAATGGATATCACTGCCCCTTACTAGAGATTGGTGATGAGCATACGCGGTATAAAACATCGCCATTCACAAGCGCTTTGACCTTTAGACGGTCAACTGTAGTTGGCCAGATTCCAATCTGGTCTGCTTCCTCCGGATAATGTTTCTTCGGGCAGTGTCTCCGATAAAATTGAGCTCTGTCTCTTGTGTATTTGTTGTTATTGGCACCGTCCACCTTATGACATCACTACGCATGTCTACGCGTTTCGCCTGCAGCTTAGTCAAAATTAGTTTTTACCTAGGACGGTAAAAATCCTTGTGTCGGCTGTGCTGGGCTCTGAGATCACTTTGTCCTGTCTCAGGGAGCTGGATGTCTGTATAGCCTCATCCCTCTGATGAACCTGTGAGGTGAAACGCGCATCAGGGGCGTTACTGGCGCTATCTACCAGTCACTGTACCAAGAATGACCCCTTCACTATCTAACTATTTCGAGCTATCTATCGGCACTGTTTGGCCGTTACGCTGCAGCAGTAGCCAGCTTAGGCATATGTAGCAATTTCTTTATTCTCTGCAGCAGGATTGGTGGGCGGCTCTTTTGCTTTCAGTTTCTAATGCCGTAGGAGACTGTAGGCTTTTGGTTAAGGGGGTGCCCTCGAAGGCACAAGTATTTAGGGACTTGCCAGCATAGGAGGCTTCCTAGTACATTTAGTCCAACCCCCCTTTTGTTTACCCTTAGCCTTTTGGTTATATAGCTAGTTTTTACGGATGCTAATAGTCAGCATTGACAGCCTGCATTTCTCAGTTACCAACTGCCGATATTCCCGCTTGCTCTAACCGCTAGATGCTACCTCTTACGGTTCATATTAGAGGACCGTGTCACTTTTGAGATTTTAATTTTCTGCAGTATACTGGTACTCTGTTGCTTTGTTTAGAGTCCAGACACTGCAGATCCGTTATATATAGACACTAACTTTATAAGCAGCTGTTGTGTAGCCAACTGGGACTCTGCAATTCTGTTTAGAGCCCAGACACTGTAATTTCGATACACATTATCATAAGCTGTATAATAAAGCTGCTGTTCTTGCTATAGTTCTCTAATTAGTTAGATACATATTGTAAATAGCTGTTGTTCTTGCTATAGTTCTCTACTTCGTTACAGGCAGTGCAACTGTATCCCTACTGAAATTTTGATACATATTGACACAAGCTGTATAAGTAGCTGCTGTCCTTGCTGGAGTTCTCTATTTGGTTACAGGCAGTGTAACTGTATCACTTTAGCCTTTCCATCAACTGTTTTTTACATATCAGACTTACTGCATGTATTTATGTTTGTTTACCTCTTTTTTATTATTGCTATTAAAAGTTATGTTTTATCTTTTCTCTTTAGTGATCCCCATGCCCTACCTATCTAGAGTCACCCCCTCCTACACTAGGGAATTACCACTCTGCAGGACCCTTAATCATGTAGCCTGTCTTCTCTCCTGTCTCCCTTCCTTGTTGTTTAGTTTTGTAGTGCATTTCGTTGTACTAGGGGTTAACCCCTGCTCAGGAGTAAGATTATATAACTATCTCTTTTTTTCTTTTTTGCTTTTTATCCCTGAGCACTGTGATCTGAGGAGGGAGAGTGGGGAGAGAATTGGAGCAATTCCCTCTCAGTTTCTGCGCTCACTGCACAATTCTTGAATGCGCTGACTGCAGAGGAAAAGGTTGTGACGCAGACCACTGGGTCCATTGAGTGAGCAGTCAAGAGGGCAGGCTGCTCAGTCGAGTCTCCCCGACCTGCATTGTAAAGAAAAACAAATTGTATGTAGTTTTTAGTAGTTTGTGGAACTTTTCGCTTTAAATATATTTTAGGTCGCTCACTGTGATGCCACATTCCTGTGATGTGGCCTATATATATATATATATATATGTGTGTATAATGCAAATTAGCACGGCCGGTATTTTTTCCACAAAAAAAAGTGGCAACTCTATGGGTATATCACCTGAATGAGAGCCAGCTGTTTTGTGCAGCCATCTCAGGGTTTAGTCTGCTCAATCTTTCTTTAATGTCTGGCTGGTCCTGCTTGCTCACATAGCTCCCCATGAGAAGGAGGAGTTAGGTGGAACTCCACCTAAAAGTCTTGGGTTCCTTTTGCCTCCTGGCTTGGTGTGGCCTCAACCATTTATAGCGAGTTTCCACCAGGCCCAGGAATGGCTACAGCCCGCTGGACCTCTAGTAGACTCAGCAGCCGCTCACACACAGGTTGCATGGTTGATACAACCCTGACTCCTGCTCACTTACATTCACAGCTGCACCGCCCTCACCAAATGAAACATACGCAGTACTGGTTTTATTCTGTGGTACGATGTGTGTGATTTCGTGGGTGTTGTGCAACCATTTTATAGGGCATCTAGAGAGACCCGGGTGGACATTTGCCTCCCTGCACGCAGGTCCAGTCCACCCTTGATGTAAATATGTGTTTGTGTATATGTATTTATTTGTGTTTCTGTGTCTGCATGAACAATTGTCTATGTATGCAAGTGATTGTCTAAATGTGTCCGTGTGTAGTAATATGTTTGTATGAGAAAGTTTTGCTAGCTTTATATATTTTTTAAAATAAATTCTTTATTTTTGGTGCAAGTCATGACAAGTTTGACACATAAAAGAAAATCACAGTGGTGGATATAAGTCAGCAGATAATAGTTGTTTCAGCGTAAGGTGTGGTATTACTAAACATTGCACATTTTTTGTAGATGTCTAGACAATAGTTAATAGCTATCATGTTGATAACATCAATTATTCCTAGGTAAATGCAGCATTCTTGATTTGAATGCATCTGGAGTCACATCTGTGTGTAGTAGGGGTTTGTTTACCCGGTTGGGTCATCGCGGGATACCCCCAAGTGTAGTGACTAGTCTTGTTAGAATACCTCTAACTTTTGATCAGGTCTAATGTGTTTCTCTTAATCAAAGGGACGTGTACCTGTATGCCGGAGGGATTGCCCCTTTGTGTAGGGCTATAGGTGCTATGCCGATTAGGTGTGTGAGAGAATATGGTTCTGTTAAAAACTTGTGTATGTTGGCTAGTGTAGGCATGTCTAGGAGCGTAGCTGTCTACTACTGGGGTTGTCCGCTCGTTAGGGTCAATCGTGGGTCAGTACAGGCTGGCCGCTAGTCGAGTGCTAACTTATGGTATGAGCTTGGTGGGAAACTTGTCAGTGCCTAATATGGTTTATCTGTTTTTTTGGGGTGTTGCTAGGAAATCCAGTATAAGTTGATGAGGCCTTTGCAGGTCTCTTATGCCTAAGAGTGCTAAGCTAAGAGGCTATTACCGATTGGAGACATGGTGGTTATGCTAGTGTGCTAGTAGCACAGGCGATGTCGTTAGCGCTAGGTGCTAGCTTTATATTTTTGAATAATCTCTGGCATAAAGAAAAGGAGATGGGATCATGAGGGACAAAAAGACTGAGTTTGCAGGAATTAAGAGGTGGGGTTTCCGGTGTGTCCAAGGGCAGGGTGGGAGCAATCAGCCAATTTTGCTTTGGACTCGAGCCCCATGTATATTTGGGACCTAGGAACACTCCTAAATCTAGTTACCTTTCGTGCTTGCTAGGAAAATACTGTTAGAAGGTCAAACAGATCATGAACCTGGTATACTAACAGTAACTTGGTGAGGTGAGAATAGATGAGAATTTGTTTAGTGAATTTGAAATTTTAAGGCCAAATTTACTTCACTGAAAGCATAGCATTTTCCAGTTTGGCTATTTTTGTCTTTAAATTTCACTTTTGCTTTGAATTCTCTTTGAGTTCCCAACTGTTCTCACTTTAGTGACTAGCCTTACTTGTCAGCTGTCCAGAGCTCACTGAGAGCTGCATTTATGTATTACTCTAATGACAGCTGCCCATAGATATATAGAGAAATGCAATGCTTATGTGAGTGAATAATGTGAAAGACATTTAGATAGTGGAAACACACATAGCATGGCTAAGGTCGTTATGTTTTAAAGAGCAGCGCTCTAGAATGGTTGGATGTTCAGCATGCTTTACATAGAATGAGCCTTTCGGTTATGCTCTAATTATGAAACCTAAAGAGGTCAGGACCTAAACCACAATCTGGGACTAAGCATACAACAATGTTTTGCAAAGGGCACCCACTTACTTTCAAACATTAATTGATCATATATCCCTTATATTACTTTATAAATAAAAGAAACATGTCCAAAATTGCATGCGTTTGCAGCAGACTTGTACGAGGATTTTTATCATTTGAGGCATACATTTAAGATTGTGTCATGTACGTGGCTTTCTGTGAACAAAGATAGAAAGAGGTGATATGACAGAAATCAAAACATATGTCAAAAATAGTATTTTCATTTTTTTATTTAAAGGATCACAATAGGGTCAGGAACACAAACATGTGTTCCTGACCTTATAGTGCTAAAAACCACCATCTAGCCACCCTGAGCCCCTCATGTCTCCCTAAATATAGTAAAAATCTTACTGTATTCAAGCCTGAAGCTGTAGATCTGCATGCTGTTAGACTCAGAAAAACAAGCAGTCTGCTGACGACATCAGAAGTGGTAGCCTGATCCAATCACAATGCTTCCCCATAGGATTGGCTGAGACTGACAAGGAAGCAGATCAGGGGCAGAGCCAGCATGGTTCAAACAAAGCCCTGGCCAATCAGCATCTCCTCATAGAGATGAATTGAATCAATGAATCTCTATGAGGAAAGTTCAGTGTCTGCAGTGCAGAAGGTCTTTGGTATTGTGGAAACAATGTGTCATTCACAGGGTTAATGTTTTTTGTTTTTTTTTGTGTGTGACAATTCTTATTTTCATATTCCTTCAATACAAGGTATAAAAGACAGTACGTGAGAAACAATAGATAATACTTGCCAATCCTTAAAGGGAAACTATAGTGCTAGAAAAACACTATAATTTCCCTTTAAGTTTCTCCCTCCCCCCCCCGTGGTGCTGAAGGGGTTATCATTTACCTCATTCAAACGTCTATGTCACTCGAGGCTGCTTCAGATTCCATCTCTGCTCCTCCGCTGATGTCACCCGGGAGGGGTTACCTAATGCGCATCAAGCTTTCCTGGGGGATTTTGGGTGACCTTAGATGTCCTCATGCAAAGCGTGAGGATGTCCAGCGTCAGTTAGGCAACCAAAAGTTGCCTAACCACTGTTTGGTAGACAACCACTTGAGGTGTGTTAACACTGCAAGGTAATTATTGCAGTTTATCAAAAACTGCAATAATTACAATTGCAGGTTTAAGGGGACTGGGACAATGCACCCAGACCACTTCACTGAGTTAAAGTGGTCTGGGTACCTATAGTGTCCCTTTTACTGATCTCAGAAACTCAAAATAACATAGCAGAGAAGAACAGTGAGTTTCGTGAGCACGACATTAACCCCTTAAGGACCGAGGACGGTTCAGGACCGTCATCTGCCTTTTCCCATTGCCGACCGGTGACGGTCCTGAACCGTCCTAACGGTCCTAGTTACTTACCTAATCGCCGTTGCTCCCGGTGTGGGGAGACTGCCTGCAGCCCAGATAGTCTCCCCACACCGGATTAGGACCCATGTGGCCATGTGATCGCTTAACACAGCGATCGCATGGTCACAATAGGTGTCCATGTGTCTGCCTGCAGGGGGACTGCCTGTGCTGACAGGCAGTCTCCCTGCTAGTGTAAAATGATTAAAAAAAAATAGTTAGTGTTAATAAAAAATAAAAAAATATATATATGTGTATATAAATATGTTCAAGTAGAGATTGTAGCCGTATTAGTCCAGTGATGTAGATGTAAAAAAACAGATAAAATTCTTATCTTGTAATACCTTTTTTATTGGACTAACAGAGTTTTTTAATGACAAGCTTTCGGGAAGGGAGAAAGGGAGGTTCTCCCGAAAGCTTGTCATTAAAAAACTCTGTTAGTCCAATAAAAAAGGTATTACAAGATAAGAATTTTATCTGTTTTTTTACATGTATATAAATATGATATATAGACATATATTATATATATATATATATAATATATGTCTATATATCATATATATAATGTCATACTAAGTGTATTTTTATATTAATATGTACTTATATTAATATAAAAATACACTTATAATTAAATTACACACATATATATATAATATAAATAACTATATATATTGTGTGTATATATATAATTATAAAATATAAATAATAAGTCATTTAAATTAAATAAATTTTTTTAAATAATAATAAAAATTGAATTTTTTTTATATATCTATATGAAATTTTATTCTAACTGTATTTTAAAATTAATATATATATATATATATTTATATCAAAATACACTTGAATTTGTATATATATCTATGTATATATAAATAAATAAAAATAATACAAAATATACATATGTCCATATACAAAATTACATAAATAATTATATAAATATACACGTAGACTTCAAATATATAAATATGCATATATATTTAAATTCTATGTGCGTATTTATGTAATATTTTTACATAATTAAGTAATTTTATTGATTGCAATTTGAGGGACCTGCCTGCCAACCCAGGCCAAAAGTCCAGAGAATTTAATTTGCTAGCACTGTATTTTACCCTGTAATGTTCTACGACACTCTAAAACCTGTACATGGGGGGTACTGTTTTACTCGGGAGACTTCGCTGAACACAAATATTAGTGATTCAAAACAGTAAAACATATCACAGCGATGATATTGTCAGTGAAAGTGACTTTTTTTGCATTTTCACACACAAACAGCACTTTTACTGATGATATAATTGTTGTGATACGTTTTCCAGTTTTTAAACACTAATATTTGTGTTCAGCGATGTCTCCCGAGTAAAACAGTACCCCCCATGTACAGGTTTTATTGCATTTTTGAAAGTTACAAGGTCAAATATATGGGTCAAATATTTTTACATTGAAAATGGCCAGGTTGGTTACGTTGCCTTTGAGAGCGTATGGTAGCCCAGGAATGAGAATTACCCCCATGACGGCATACCATTTGCAAAAGAAGACAACCCAAGGTATTGCAAATGGGGTATGTCCAGTCTTTTTTAGTAACCACTTAGTCACAAACACTGGCCAAAATAAGCATTCAATTTATTTTTTTTTTTTTCACACACAAACAAATATGAAAGCTTACTTTGGCCAGTGTTTTCGACTAAGTGGCTACTAAAAAAGACTGGACATACCCCATATTCAATACCCTGGGTTGTCTACTTTAAAAAAAATATGTACATGTGGGATGTTATTCAGAGATTTATGACAGATAATAGTGTTACAATGTCACTATTGATAAATTTTAAAAATGTATGTTTTGAAACCGCAATATCCTGCTTGTACCTATAGCCCTATAACATGCAAAAAAAGCAAAAAAGCACGTAAACACTAGATATTTTTAAACTCAGGACAAAATTTTGAATCTATTTAGCAGTTTTTTTCATTCGCTTTTGTAGATGAGTAAAAGATTTTTCAAGTAAAAGTCAAAAAACATGTATTTTTTTAAATTTTTCATCATATTTTTTTATTTTTTTTCAATTAAAATACATGAGATTATATAAATAATGGTATTTAAAGAAAGCCCCTTTTGTCTTGAAAAATACAATATATAATTTGTATGGGAACAGTAAATGAGAGAGCGGAAAATTACAGACAAACACCACAAAAGTGTAAAAATATGCCTGGTCGCAAATGTACAACATCGCAAAAACAGTCCAGTCCTTAAGGGATTAAACTTGTACAGTTATCACAGTAAGCTGCAGTCAGACTATTCCAATGGGTTAATGTTTTATTCCTTTCCTTAGAGTAGGACAAAGCCGTCTTGTGCAGCAGCCACTGCAGTGTGTAACTGTCATATATGATTTGGCCTCCCATGGAGCAGTGTATTGTGTATAAAAATAGATGCGCCAAAGTATAATCTCCCTGCTGTGTCATGACACGGGTAATTTCATGTTTCACTGGCTGTCACACAGTATTTTTTATATATTTTATAAGGAGAACACCTAAATGCTAGCGATTCACCACCTACAAAAATGATCGTATGCATATACACCATATCACATTCCATATACTAGGTTGCCTAATCTTCACAGTGTGTTATTTATGAGAAAGGTATCATAGAATTTCAGGCAAACAGGAAGGATATGAAGAATATCCTTATATTGGGACCTTAAGAGAGAGCTGCAGTATTTCTGTCCATAATTGTAATAATTCTGAAGTTACGGTAGATGTTAGAGAGTATGATAAATGTAAGCTGTCATGGCAACATTGTCAATTGGCCAAATGTAATATAACCAATCTTGGAATGCAAAGATCTTTTACATGACATTCTATAATATAGAAAATATCTTTATGATACACCTAGCTGGGTCCTCATTCCACATTTTCTCCAGAGTATGGGGCAAATTTAGCTATTTAATTGGCTTTAAGCAGCAGTGCCCCTATTATTTTAGTCCTGTGGTTAGTAGATACGGTAATGTTTTGGGTGCATGGCTAAACCTTAGTGGCTCTCTTCTTGACAACCATTAGAGGGTTCTTACACTACAGCAATGACCAAATTTTAATTGGTTATGTGACATTCGACGTTAAACATAATCAGATACAGATCAAAGGAAAGTATTGGATTCAGTGCTTCTCTTTGAGTAGCATTTGATTGGATGGGCACAGCACACGCTTCTTTTTTAAATCTTTATTTTAGTGAGGCATTTACGCAAAACAGTATAAAGAATGACAATGGAAAGTTGCTCGGCCCTGAACGCAGTCAGGGGGAACGAGCTTCCGTAAAAAGTAGCCTCCATTTTTCTTTTTGTAACAAGTATAACACAACATTGCAGGTATTGGGTACAATCAGTTAACAACGTATTAGGATAATATGCAGTGTATATGTGACAACGGTTATTGCTTCGTATACTTAGTGGCCTACAGCTCTACAGGCCTGCGACCCATAGGCCCGGATCTCTCATGCAGGCTCTCATGAAAATTTACGGCATGTAACATATATCAGGCTTTGTCATGGTGCAACATTACAATCTTATATGGGGTCAGTGTGTCTGGGATATGCAATGGGTTTGTAATGGTGACCTGTCCGTTTCTCTATTGATTAAGACATCATGTGTGTATGTGGTTAAGAGAAAATTGTCACGCTGTGTGAGGTCTGAGCCGGGAGGCCCGAGATGTGAATTATGCGTTCTCTGTCGTGCGTGTGCGGGTTAAGAGCCCTTGACCAAGGGGGTTGCGGGGGCGGGGGGGTGTTCGGTCCGCCATGTAGTGTGGTCTCTACGTCATCCGACCAGGCCGGCTATTTCTTAAATTAGTTTGTCCTATTAGAGGGTAGCAATAGGGCAGCAGCTAGAGATATATGACAGATATTAACTATGAACATAGAAATAAGAGTGAACTTAAATAATGTATTAACACATGTGTAGATAAGTGTTCATTCAGGGCTGTCTGCGCCCTGTGTGTTCATCGATCGTGGGACGAACGGTGGTATGGACGCAGGGTCCCTCATTGCCGCCTGTGATGCCGAGGTGGAGGGCACATCAGCTTGCGATAGTCCCAAAGTTTCCAGGAAGGTCGGTGCATCCGTCATGGATGTCAGGGTGTGTGTCGTCCCGCCTTGGGTCGTAGTCAGGGACCCATTCAGTCCCCATCTGTATTGTAGCCCCGCAGCTCGCAGTTGTGCTGTCACCGTGCTGTATGATTTGCGGTGCAGGAGAGTGGCCCTTGTTAAGTCCTGGAAAAAAGTGAGACTTGCGGTTTCAAAAGTGAAGGGGGTTTTGCCCTTCATAGCTGACATAATCTGTATCTTGTCCGGTAGTGAGGTGCAGCGGAGGATGACATCTCGTATCGCTGTGGACTTAAAGTGAGAAGGGCTTGGGAGGCGATAAACACTGTCGATAGCTACTCTCTTTGCCTTTGCATGTGGCAGGATTGCGGCCAGCAGTCTCCTGATGTAGTGGGGTAGCTCTTCAGCCGTAATCTCTGTGGGGATGCCCCTGATTTTAACATGGGTTCGCCTCTGGCGATCTTCTAGTGAGGTGAGCTTAAGCGACAGAAAGTGCTGCTGCGTGTACAGTGTCTGTATGGAACCCTGTACTTCGGAAAGGTGAGATTGTACCTCTGTTATGGCCTTTTCGTTGGTTCCAACCCTCTCCGACACTGCACGGACCTCCGTTTTGAGAATGGCCGAGTCGGCCGCGAGTAGCTTATGTATTTCGGTTAGTAGGAGTTTTAGGTCCTTTTTCGTAGTAGGAGCTGAGTCATCGGGTGGGTCTGGAGGCCCATCTCGTTGTGGTGGTGGGTGCGGTGATCCCTCGGGCCCAGTTTGGTGTGGCGCCGGGGCCTGCTCTCTTTCTTCCACGGCGGGAGGCCTAGATGGCGGTGGCTTCTGGAACATAGTTCCTATGTCCCTAGTTTCTGCCGAGGTGTGCGTCCTCTGAGAACGCCTACCCATGCTTGGCAAGCTCTGGGATGAAGCCTGTACCGTGTGGGTGTAGGGTTGTTCCGCTCTTGATGCTGCAATTTCTCCCAGGAAACTCCCCAGGCCTTGCAGCGTGTTGTAGGCCCCGGTTTTGGGTTTCCGTCGGGCTGGCTTTGGCGGTTGGAAAAAAGGCATCTATCGATGCTATACGTTCCTCTGATCACAGCTGGGATTGTGTGGAAGCCGGATTGGAATCGGTTTAGCAGATATCGTCTGGATTCGATTTGCAGTTTTGGGAGCTTCAGAAATGGCGTCTGGTCAGGACGCTTGGTAAGCCCCGCCCCCCCAGCACACGCTTCTTGTCCCTAATGCTTCTCTAAGAAATATTGTATTGGACGAGAAGCCAAGAAAGTGATGTCTGTGGGTATAGGTCACCAGAGGAGGAGCAGGCAGCACTGATTGAGTCTTTAATTTAATTTAATTTAATTTAATTGAATTTAGGGGACAGGGGGCCCTTAATCTAAATAGGAAGGAATACACTACATTCTTAGAAATACATGATTGTATTCCTAACGCTGGAGTGTTCTTTTCAATGTGTATACACAATGTGTGTTTCCTGGGTTATACAATATTTTGATAGTCCCAACAACTTTTCCCTGAAAAAAATTGAGGAGATTGCCAAGACGTAGAAAAACAGATTGTTAATCATTCAAGGAACACCCTGAACACCATCACAGCGTCATGTAATGGTTATGGTGTTCTAGTGTACCCCAGTGTTAGGGGTAGGGGTACAAGTGGTTAGTAACGGTTTTACATCTTAATTGTGGTCCACCAGACGCTGCTCCACACCTCTGCTCTACTGAAAACTCTCCGTTGAGCTAAACTAAAGAGTGCAGGTCTTAACTCATTAGCTGAGAGAGATTTGCTAACGCTCTCAGCGAATGAGTTAGCCCTGCACTGCATTGCTCAGACTCAGGTAAGAAGTCAAACAGTTACAAAGCACTTTGACTCCTTACATTAGGTAGCGCCTGACACCATAATCACTACAGAGTGTTGCAGGGGTTATGGTACTTGGAGTGATCCTTTAATAGATTACTTTGACTACTATTTGTTTAGTTACAGTACTAAAACCCAGTGCTTAAACTACATTGCATTTTAATGGTTTCTCTTGAAAATCATGTGTCTTCAATGTTATATAAATGTTTACAGTCCATATGCACTTGGTTGGGTGGACTTTCCATTAGATTATATAAGTTGTAGTAACTGGTGTCTCTTTATGACCCTAGCAGGTCAGCAGTGGGAAATGTTACTGGAAAGCTTCATTAGAATAAATCTTTACATTACTCTTTACTATTGGTAGGGATTCTGCCAGACTAAGGCAAACATAGCTCACAATGGATCTTTATTGTAGAAATGCAACTTCATAAATGAAAGCGACACTGTAGGCACCATGGCCATTTCATCTAATTCAATTGTTTACAGTTAATGGATTTCCATGGTCTTGTCTATCCCTTCAATGATAGACCATTTTGAGCAGTTTCACTGAATGAGAGTCCTTGGCAACCCACAGCCTTGTCCCTACTGGAGGAATAGCTAATCCGGAGATTCTGCACTTCCTTAGTCATGCCAGTTCATACCAGCAGTGGGTGGCTGTGATAGGTTAAAAGCAGTCAGCTGACAATTTCGGCCAATCGCTGCTGGCCTAAAATTTAAAATTTACTTTGAATTCCTTGCATGTTATAGTTTAAAGGGATTCTCTAGTGCCTGGAAAATCCCTCCTGCCCCTCAGCCCAAGTCGCTGAAGGGGTTAAATCCTCTTCAGACACTTACCTGAATCTGGCACCGATGACCCTCAACGCTGGGTCAGGCTCCGTCCACGCTCCACACCTGCCAACGTCCGCCGGCGGGAGAGACCTAATGCGCAAGCGTGGCAATGGCCGCACGTGCATTAGACCTCCCTATAGAAAAGCATTATATAATGCTTTCCTATGGGGATTCCGGCGATGGTGGAGGTCCTCATGCATAGCGTGAAGATGTCCAGCGTTGTTTAGACGACCAAAAGTCGTCTTAAGAAGCTGGAAATCCCTCTAGTGGCTGTCTGGTAGACAGCCACTAGAGTATGACTTAACCCTGCAAGGTAATTATTGCAGTTTATAAAAACTGCAATAATTACACTTGCAGGGTTAAGGGTGATGGGAGTTGGCACTCAGGCCTCTTCAATGAGCTGAAGTGGTATGGGTGCCTACAGTGTCCCTTTAATGAATAACTGTGATAGTCCATAGTTGCTGAATATTGCCTATCCTTGTTTAAAGTGTTAATACTTTAAGATTCTGTGACTTTATATGAAAATTTTTATTTTTTGTAGGTAGCATCAACTGATTGACAAGCCAATATTCCATTTATTTCACAAATACACTTTTGACACAATGAACTGCCTGAATTGTTATGAATATGGTATCCCTTCGGAATGCAATCAACATCAGTTTTACTAGAACTCTGGGACACAAGGTACTTTCTGAAATTAGTAGCAGAAATATTATTATCAGTATCTAAACGCAAGATCAAACTTTGGTTAGCAGCATGGAGTTATTGGCAGCAAACCAACCTGCAACTGACAATTGCTTAGTTTTTACTACACGTAACCTTTTCAAGAATTTATCTTGAAACTGCCCTAGAATTGTGAACAAATTTCACTTAATGGAGCATTTCAAAAATATTTTCTGAAAGCATTTTAGCTCCATTCATATGCTTGCTTAATGTGTGATTAAACAAACATATGCTTTTTTTTATAGCTGACATGGATGATGATGATGACTCGGGACTTCTTGATTTAATTGGGTAAGCTTGCATTTAAGATTTTACATTATTATTATTTTACATAATGTATTTCTGCATATTGTTAAGATAAGTTGGACAGGGCCAGATGTTCTTCTCACAAAGAAAATTCTCATGGGCTTGCCTATAAGCCCCCCTAAAAAGTCAGAATAAGTGAATTTCATACATTTATGAGATGGTCATTGCAAGAATAAAATGTGTATTCATATCTGATAACCTCATGTGCATATATGTGTATTTATGTTTGTCTGTATTATAACATGTTTTACTCTGACAACATAGTGTGTACTATGAGAGTAAATGAACTTTGTGTTTATAAACCTATGACGTATTTTAAATTCATGCAGTGTTGGGATGATTGTTATGTGTAGGGTGACAGTGTTAAGTTTAGGGTCAAGGTAAGGAGGGTTGGCTTTAGAGCAGAGGTGTTGTTTAATGCAAGGGAGGTTAGGGTGTTTAGGATAAGAGAGAGTGTCATGGTTACTTTAAACATCCTGCTTGTGGTTAGAGTGATTGGGCTTTAGTGTTAAAGGACCACTATAGTGCCAGGAAAACATACTCGTTTTCCTGGCACTATAGTGCCCTGAGGGTGCCCCCACCCTCAGGGACCCCCTCCCGCCCGGCTCTGGAAGGGGGAAAGGGTTAAAAACTTACCTTTTTCCAGCGCTGGGCGGAGAGCTCTCCTCCTCCGTTCCTCCTCCTGGACTGAATGCGCACGCGCGGCAAGAGCTGCACGCGCATTCAGCCCGTCGCATAGGAAAGCATTTACAATGCTTTCCTATGGACGCTTGCGTGCTCTCACTGTGAAAATGAGACAGCCACTAGAGGATTAGGGGGAAGGCTTAACCCATTGATAAACATAGCAGTTTCTCTGAAACTGCTATGTTTATAAAAAAAAATGGGTTAACCCTAGAAGGACCTGGCACCCAGACCACTTCATTAAGCTGAAGTGGTCTGGGTGCCTAGAGCGGTCCTTTAAGGATGGTGTATCTTATGGTTAGAACATCAATCATGGCGTTCTGGCAATCATCCTTTAAAATATTGTTCTCTTCTGCCATTAAAATAGTGAAAAAGCAGTTTTGGAAATAATTGTTCTCCTGCGTGTCCTGGCTGTGCCTCAACTAAACTGGTGTGATGTCACTTGCTAAAGCTTTAATACACATTTTAAAGGAAAATTGAGCATTACATAATACGGTTGACACAAGGCTGTTTTCAATGTTTTATTCAAAAACTTTATTTCCAGGAACGTGACAGTTCAGCTTTAAAATTAGAAGTATTTTTAAGGAAAGAAGGGTTTAGCGTTACAGAGATATTAAAGTAACACTCATATTCAGGGCCAGATTAAGAGCCCAGTGGGCCTGGTGCTGACAATTATGACGGGCCTAATTACAGAATCATATCGACCAAAAACAGTAGAAAACAGCAGCTATAAGAAAACACATACCCTAGGCTAATCTCTCTCTAATTTATGTTTTCATCTTTCAAGTAAATCCATAACCCCTAACAGCAGTGTCCAGTCAAGCAGGAAGGTAAAAGGGTGTGCCATTGACACAAATCACGGAACCTGACAAAAGGGGCGAACATGCCCATGTCTGCCCAAAGAATTAGAAGACCAGCCTGGCGTGAATGCATGTCAGGCTGCCTGCCAATCATGCAGCTGGCCAACTAAGGGCATACTATGTAGACAGCACCCTGAGCTTGGCATAAATGCATCTAATGATGCGCTCACTCAACGCCTTCTAAGGACTGTCCCCTAGCACTCGCTGGTCCACTTGTCTCCTTACCTTCTTAGTAGCACACAGAAGCTCCTGGTATATAGTCTGGGACAGAGAAAAGCTGTATGTAGTGAGTGTAGAAGAAAGGGAACATGCCACAGTGTTAGAGAGACCAAAGTCATCATTACCTTAAAGGATCACTATAGGGTCAGGAACACAAACATGAATTCATGACCCTATAGTGTTAACACCACCATCTAGCCCCCTGGGCCCCTCATGCCTTCATAAATATAGCAAAATCTTATTATATAAGCGTGAAGCTGTAACTCTGCATGCCGTTAGACTCATAAAAACAAGCAGTCTGCTGACATCATTAGAAGTGGTGGCCTGATCCAATCACAGTGCGTCCCCATAGGATTGGCTGACACTGACAAAGAGGCAGATCAGGGTCAGAGCCAGCATGATTCAAACACAGCCCTGGCCAATCAGCATCTCCTTATAGAGATGAATTGAATTAATGAATCTCTATGAGGAAAGTTCAGTGTCTGCATGCAGAGGGAGGAGACACTGAATGTTTGGATACATTTTAGGCAGCCATGACCCAGGAAGGATCTCTAACAGTCATCTAAGGAGTGGCCAGTGAAGTTATCACTAGGATGTAATGTAAAGACTGCATTTTCTCTGAAAAGACAGTGTTTACAACAAAAAGCCTGACGGTAACGATTCTACTCACCAGAACAAATTCAATAAGCTGTAGTTGTTCTGGTGACTATAGTGTCCCTTTAACTATATTCATTGTCAGCCAGTCCACACATGTTTTGTTCCCATACATCCCTCTTAAGTTTCCATACTTAAGTAAGAGTATGTGAAAAGTAGTTAGGGTTGCCACCTTTCCTGGAAAAACATACCTGCCTTACTAATTTGCATAATTAAATATGTATGGGTGACATCACATGATGTAAATCACAAGGAGTGACATAAGAGAAAATGCTGTAAAATCACCAAAAAAACTACTTAGTTTGATTCTGCTGTATAGATGGATTCCTCCTAGTGCCCCCATGTCTCCCAGTGCCCTCATGACTCAGTGCCCCCATGTGTTGATTACTCCAGGTCTCAGTGTTCCTATGTATCAGTGTCTCAGTGCCCCATGTCTCCCTGTGTCCCCATGTATCCCAGGGTCCCCATGTCACTAGGACACTAGGAAGACAGGGAGACCTGGGGACACAGGGAGACCTAGGGACACGGAGACACCAGTGACACTGGGAGACTAGGGGACTCTGGCTGGGACACATGGGGACAATGGGAAAATAGGGGACACTTGAAGACATGGGGACACAGACACCAGGGACACAAACACTAGAGACACTGGCTAGGGGACATTGAGACATGGGGACACTGGGAGACATGGGGACACTGAGACACCAGGGCCACAGACACTAGGGACACTAGCTTGGAGACATGGGGACATTGTGACACTTGAGGCACTGAAAGACATGGAGGCACTAGGAGACATGGGGACAGTGAGACACTGGGAGACTAGGGGTCACTGTGAGACTAGGGGCACTGAGACACCAGGGACACTGGCTGGGAGACATGGGGACAGTGGGAGACATGGGGACAGTGAGACACTGGCAGACTGGGAGACTAGGGGGCACTGATACACCAGGGACACTGGCTGGGAGATATGGGGACACTGTGTCCCCATGTGTCTGTGTCATAATGTCTCCCAATGTCCCTTAGTGTCTCAGTGTATGTCTCCTTGCAGCCTTCCCCCCATCCCTTACTTCCCTGAGCTGTAGGCTGTCTCTGCAGGGTGGGAGTTGCTGTCTGGACTCTCTGTAGCTGCTCCCCTGCAGATCAGTGAGTATAGATAGGCAGGAGGGATATGCTGGAGCTTCCTATCCCTGCCTGTCTCCACATACTGGCCAGTGCTGGTATTGCAGAGTAATCTCTTGTTTATACTGAGAAAAATACCAGCATTTGTATTGCCAGTCTCACTGCAATATTGGCACCAGCCAGGCAGCCTCAAATACTGGCTGTGCCAATAAAATAAAAGCCAGGTGGAATCCCTAAGAGTAGTGTGTGAAAAAATGTAATTTAAAAAAAAATATATATATATATTTTTTTTTTTTTAATCAATGGGCCTGGGCCTGGAGCTGCAGCTCCATCAGCCCCTATGTTAATCCGGCCCTGCTCATATTACATAGTTGTGTTTAGTATTAGGGTTATGAACTTTAACTGGATATAGGGTTTCAATAGGAGTTTTTTAAGTTGATGGTTTAGCCCTAGAGACATGTTGTATTTGATATTCATACTGTGCAGTCTTTCTTGCAAGTGAGGCTATGTTTGTGATGCCATTTTCTTTCTTCTTCCTGTCCTGTCCAGTCCCTCTCATTGAAATAATGGGAGTGTCACAGTGACAGTTCTGTTATACACATTGTGTCTCTACTCCTGAACCCTGCTTTACTACTATAGTAATAGGAGACATAGGTTAAGGCAGGCAGCATGGGACCTTATTGCAATCATGGCTTGCAAATATATCTTCACTCCCCATGTTCATGCATTCTCGAGCATCGAAATGAGATGAGTGACCGCTCATCTGGCTGCTAAAGCCTCCTCTCTTCCCAGTCTCTGAGAGGGGGAAGGAGAGAAGGCTGTAAAGAGGGATGGTAGGGGGAGCTTTTGTGCTATATTTGACTAACTTCCCAAAACGGAATAGTCACACGCACTAAATACAAATATGTGTATTTTATTGCAGTAAAATCAAACAGTATTATGACACTGACCTAATTTTGCAATTTAGAAACATCAACCATCAAAAATATCGTATTTTCTCCCAAAAAAAAACATATGTGCGATGTTTCATAGCTAAATATTTGATATTAAATGGTTCCCTGTTTCCCCTGAATAAAATGATATATAACCCTGCATGGGTGCATTTACTATGAAAGAGGTGTATTACGGTTGGACAGACATGTAGCGCAAATGCCAGGTTTTGTTTACATTTTGTTTTGTTCACAATGTGTACATTTGGCTCCGTCCTTAAGGGGTTAAACTGACTGTGTTTACTGTTGTGACCATTATTCCCACATGTTTTCATACACTTTGCATTCTATCTGTATTTCAATAATGTCCATTTCCCAAAATGCCAATAGATTGCTTTTAAATAATCATAACAATTTGATCATTTTTTTGTTCTGTTTTCTCAAGCATTTTGTATGTTGCAAAATAGTATAAGTGTTTGTACATGAGTTTTTCTGAAACCTGCATGTAGTTATGGAACTATTAGGCTAACTAGGCCTTTGGCAGGAGGAGGAAAACTTCAGGCCCTTCAGATGTTGCGGACTACATAGTTTTCTTACAGATGTAATGCTGGCAAAGCATCACGGGAGACGTGGTCCACAACATCTGGAGTGCCGAAGGTTGCCTATCCCTGGCCTAGGGTACAGGCTCTAAACAGATACCTGGTGGACAAAGGGTGAGCAGAACCACCTATAAGACCCATCTTAAAGGAACACAATGGGTGCTAACACAACTTAAGGGCATTTGATAGGTTTTGGACACACATTAATTTGTTCTATGTAGTTTTGCTTTAAAAAATTGCCACTTTCTGCAGTTTAACTCGGCCCCCATAGTCACACCTCCCTTTTTTACAAAACATTTTCCTGATTGGAGGATATTACATGTCAGTCTGCCAGTATCTGATCAATGTGAGCTGAACTGCTGATCTGGCTCCGCTCCACAGCCCACTGTCCACTTACTATTTGTATGGTCAGGCATAGAATATTGAAACAAAGCTTGAGTGAAAATAAGGAAATAAGAGAACTTGATTGGCTCTGGAGTGAAGTCATGTTAGCAGCTCAGCTCACATTGATCTGAGCTGTGTATGCATACCTTCCAATTCCGACATCCTGCAAATCGAGACGCCAGTGGGAGAAAGCTAAAGGGGCGGGCAAGTCACACGATAAGGGGTCAACCCATTTGTAAAGGGGTGGTCCACCCAAGTTAATGGCAGGTCAGCATGGAATGAATAGGCTGCCTGTCAATCATGCGGGCCGGCCCACTGAGGGCTGACCCTGTAGGGAACACAGGTTCAGGATTCCCTGCAGAGTCCTAGTGGCCTAGTCATAGAGCGAGTACGTCTATTGATTCACTTGTGCTGTGATTGTTGGAGTTAGTTTCCTAGTATCCCCAAAAGCTAGACACCAGGGAACTAAGGCGGGACTTTGCAACAGGACTCTAAAATCGTGACTGTTCCCACCGAACTGGGGACGTTTGGGAGGCATAGTATCTACAATGAGTCATCAGGCAAACTGGAAAATGTTTTGTGAAAAGGAAAGGTGTGGATACAGGGTTATGCTGAAAAAATTTAGCATTTGTTTTAAAACAAAGCTAAAGATATTTGAATGTAGAGAAAAAAGAATTACAGCATGAGCATGAGCCATGTACTCAACCAAAAACATTTGTATTATTTTATTTTTGTAAACTCTATAAAAAATGCAGATGTTATCACAATCATGACAACGGGTGTATGGAGTGGTGTGGAGGGACATGGCTGGCCCTAGGGTTAAAGTTATCCAAGATACAGCACTGCCTGTGTGAATTATTGCAAGACAAGGGACATCGCATAATCCTTATTTATTTATACCTCTAGTAGTGAGAACATGGAGCATACATTGAAAATTTAAATTCTGTAAATATATAGAATTCAATTGTTTTAGGTATCTATGAACAGCAGAATATACACACAAACTAGCTGTTTTGCCATAATTGATGTGCTTATCCCACATTTCAAATAAATGTTACATATTTAGTACCTAATTTTTTTATAATGAAACATGCATGGTAGTGAAGCGTAATACATGTCCAATGATGTATGTTCTGCCATTGGTTATATAATTGTGTATTCTAATGAACTAAAATTTCTCTTCAATTTCTCTCTTCAAGTGACCCACAGGCATTAAATTTCTTTCTGCATGGAGGTGGCAGTAAATCTGTAAGTTAAGCCTTTTTTTTTTCAATTTAAATCATTCATCGTTTTTTTAATAAATGTGAAACTTGTTACCAAATCAGATTTGTTTTAGCATTCTGGCACATATTAAACTTTTTTTTTTAATGTTTCTAATTTTCTATAAACAGAAAGAATACTCTACATATATTTCGATTATACAATCTCCCCCACTACTGCCCCATCACAACCCTCATGCAACCAAACCCCCTATACATTTACACTACCTACACCTCCTATCATCCCAAGGTACCCTCTACAGCCCCTACACCCTCTGAAGCCCCTACCCCCTTCTCTCCCCTGCAGCCACTACCCCCTGCTCTCCCCTGCAGCCAATATCCCCTGCTCTCCCCATCTCCTACACCCTTGCTGCCCTACCCCCTTGCTCCCTGTGCAGCAGCTACCCCCCTGCACCCTCTATTGCACCTACCACTCTGTTGCCCATGCACCCTCTGCAGCCACTGGACCCTCTACAGCCCCGACACCCACTACAGCCCCTGCCCCCAGGCATCCTCTACAGCCCTTATCCCCAGACACCCTCTACAGCCCCTATACCCCATGCACCCACTATAGCTCCTATTTCCCTCTGCACCCACTACAGCCTGTCCCTCCTCTGCACCCACTACAGCCTCTATTCCCCCCAGCACCCTCTACAACCCCGACCCCCATTCACCCTCTATAGTCCCTCCCCTCTGCAGCTCCTCCCCCCCTGCACTCTCTACAGCCCCATGTGCAGCACTGACAGTGTTGCAAAATGTGCAGCACTGACATTCAGCATCTCCACGGTCTGCATGGATACGCTGAACGCTAGTCAAAGAGAATCACTGATTCAATTCATCTCTATGAGGAGATGATGATTGTCGCAGCATTGCGTTTTGCCTTGCCTGCACAATCATCTTCCAGTGCTTTCCTATGATAAAGGTTTTGTTTGACTGAGATCATCTAAATTGATGAACTTCGCCAAGGAGGTGGAGCAGGGGCAGTGCAGCCATGAGTTTGGACGGCGCTGGAATAAAAGTGAGTAAATCACCTTTTTAATGGTTGCTTATAAACGTACAGTGTCAGGAATACACGTTTGTATTCCTAACACTATAGTGTTCCTTCAAGGTGGCTCGTAACATTTAACACTTTGTTTGTAATTTAAGACGTAAAATTTGGAGGCCTGCATACCTCATACAAACACATTGCCAAAATCCATAAATATATTGCCATGCTACACAAACACACATAAAGTAAACACAACCCTATTTACAAAACCAAAAACATGTATTCAGATATACTCTGAATCCACATATCCTGACACTACATACAAAGACATACATATATCCACTTACAGCATTGCTCACAGTGCATATACACACAGAAACATACATTTACTTTACATGTACATACAATCAAATACACTTTGCACCTACACCAGCATATATATTGGTCTGCTGGAGGCCCAGGAGCTAATTTTGCCTGGTGGCCCAGGCCACTGTCAGTCCATCCCTGTTGGTAGGTACTAACCAATGCACACTGGGAACACTCCACAAGACCGTTTTGGAGATGTTCTGACGCAGTTGTCTAGCCATCACTATTTGGCCCTTAGCAGCTTAGTCGAAGTCACTAAGATCTTTTTGCTTGCCCATTTTTCCTGCTTCCAACACATGAAAAACAAGAACCTACTATTCACATGCTGCCTAAAGTATCCAATCACTTTACAGATGCCATTGTAAAGATATAATCAATGTCATTCACTTCACTTGTCAGTGGTTTTAATATTGTATATCAGTGTATATACAAAACTGCTTATTTAAGTCAAATATGTTCTGGTACTTGAAGTGTCTCTTTCTTTACTACATTCAAGCGAAATTTTCATTTGTACTCATTCTTTTTTTCCTCATTACTTATTTCAGTTAAAAGTGGGGTATATACACTGAACACAATTATAAATACAACACTTTTGTTTTTGCCCCCATTGTTCATGAGCTGAACTCAAAGATCTAAGACTTTTTCTATGTACAGAAAAGGTCTATTTCTCTCAAATATTGTTCACAAATCTGTCTAAAATCTATGTTAGTGAGCACTTCTCCTTTGCCGAGATAATCCATCCACCTCACAGGTGTGGAATATCAAGATGCTTATTAGACAGCCTGATTATTGCAAAGGTGTGCCTTAGGCTGGCTACAATAAAAGGCCACTCTAAAATGTGCAGTTTTATCACACAGCACAATGCCACAGATGTCGCAAGTTGTGAGGGAGTGTGAAAATTGACATGCTGACTGTAGGAATGTCCACCAGAGCTGTTGCCCATGAATTGAATGTTCATTTCTCTACCATAAGCCATCTCCAAAGGCTTTTCAGAGAATTTGGCAGTACATCCAACCGGCCTCACAACCTCAGACCACGTGTAACCACACCAGCCCAGGACCTCCACATCCAGCATCTTCACCTCCAAGATCGTCTGAGACCAGCCACCCGGATAGCTGCTGCAACAATCGGCTTGCATAACCAAAGAATTTCTGCATAAACTCTCAGATACTGTCTCAGGGAAGCTCATCTGCATGCTCGTCGTCCTCATTGGGGTATCAACCTGACAGCATTTCGTAGTCGTAACCGACTTGAGTGGGAAAATGCTTACATTCGATGGCGTCTGGCACTTTGGAGAGGTGTTCTCTTCACGGATGAATCCTGGTTTTCACTGTACAGGGCAGATGGCAAACAGCGTGTATGGCGTTGTGTGGGTGAACGGTTTGCTGATGTCAACGTTGTGGATCGAGTGGCCCATGGTTGCGGTGGGGTTATGGTACGGGCAGGCGTATGTTATGGACAATGAACGCATGTGCATTTTATTGATGGCATTTTGAATACACAGAGATACCATGACAAGATCCTAAGGCATATTGTTGTGCCATTAATCCACGACCATCACCTCATTTTGCAGCATGATAATGCACAGCCCCATGTTGCAAGGATCTGTACACAAATCCACATATGTCACCCATTGAGCTTGTTTGGGATGCTCTGGATCTGTGTATACAACAGCGTTTCCCAGGTCCTGCCAATATCCAGCAACTTTGCACAACCATTGAAGTGGAGTGGACCAACATTCCACAGGCCACAATCAACAACCTGATTCGCTTTATGCAAAGGAGATGTGTTGCACTGCGTGAGGCAAATGGTGGCCACACCAGATACTGACTGATTTTCGGACCCCCCCGGCGCTCCCCAATACAGTAAAACTGCACATTTTAGAGTGGGCCTTTTATTGTGGCCAATCTATGGCACACCTGTGCAATAATCATGCTGTCTAATCAGCATCTTTATATGCCACACCTGTGAGGTGGATGGATTATCTCGGCAAAGGAGAAGTGCCACTAAAACAGACTTAGACAGATTTGTGAACAATATTTGAGAGAAATAGGCCTTTTGTGTACATAGAAAAGTCTTAGATCTTTGAGTTCAGCTCATGAAAAATGGGGGCAAAAACAAAAGTGATGCGTTTATAATTTTGTTCAGTGTATTTAATTCATTCTTATCTCGCACTTTGCAGGCTGAAGATGAATTAATGAATGCAGATTTTTCATCACCCAACTCAAATTCCATATTTGCCCATATTACTGTAAGTATCATTACAAGAAACTTTTTTATTCAATTAAAAATTATCTTTAGTAGGCATTTTAAGGCATGTCTCCTGCAAATAGCAAATGGAGCCCTGTGAATCATTGACCTCAGTCTATTAACTGCTGCTTGGGTACTGCCTGGGTATACCTTTCTCACAGTGACAGAGAGTTAGTACGCCAGGGGACTAACTTCTGGGTTAAACCATTGGTTAACCTCTGAAGGTAAGATGGCGCTTAGACACTCCTGTTGCTTAATTTTTTATGAGGGTGGGAGTTTTCCTTTAATGCCAATGGCAGAGGACCTAAAAAATATATTGTTATTCCATATAGTAACTGCATGTACTCTGTCTTAAATAAGTAAAATAAAATGTTTTTATTAATACCTCTGTTAATATGTGATATTGTGTTGTGTCCCCACCCTCACATTTTTATTCGATAGAAGGTGCTGACATTAAGCACAATTTGGTAGCAGCAAACCTATTAAATTAAATATTTAGTAGAATAATATCTGTAACTATTGTTAAGTCTTATAAGATTTCTAAAAGTCAGCCTAACAAATCTTATTAACATTATATTTTTTAGCATGCAGATCCTAAATCATCCATCAAAAGTACTCACAATCCCATGGGGGAAGGATCCAATGATGGATTACAGTTGTCAAGTAGCTTGCAGTTTCTTGAAGATGAACTTGAATCTTCATCTATGCCCGATCTCAGTGAAGACATTCTTCAAAAATCACTGGAAGAGGCCAATATTACAGAACAAATTTTGGCAGAAGAAGCATACTTGGATGCCAGTGTAGGATCTGGCCCACAGTTTTCAAATGTTTCAATTCATTCACACTCATCAGCATCTTTTACTCAGGCGACTAATGTCCCTAATTACTCAGGTCAATCATTGCATTCAGTAGGAGTGACCCATGTGCCTCTAGTACAGCAACAAGTAGGCACATCGTTTGCAAGCAATACAGTAGGTGTGCAACATGGATTTATGCAACAAGTGGGGATCATTCCTAACCAGCATATGTCTAATAGTAATCATAGTGGTTCTGGACAGATCCACGTAATTAGCTCTATTAATAACCAGTCGCCAGTTATGACTATTAATAACCTTGACGGATCACACATTATACTGAAAAGCGGACAGCAAGCATCTGCCAACGCAGGACTCATGGTTCATAGGCAGACTCCCAATGGCAATGCAATGTTTGGAAGTCCAAATGCAAGCCCAGGAGGGCAATCAGTTGCTGTTCCATTCAACAGTGGCAACTTTCACACATCTTTACCTGTCCATAATATTATTATCCATAGAGGATCAACACCAAATACCCATAAGGCCCACATTAACATTCAGCCAAAGCCTATGCAGATCGGACAACAGACTACATACAATGTGCATCAAATAGGCGTACAACAACATCATGTCCATCAAGGGGTGCCTTTCGCTTCTGGAAACCCTCCTCAAAGTTCAGTTGGCCAGCAAATGGCTGTTAATCAACAGGGCCCTCGGAACCAAGTTGGTCAACATCCTGGAGGTAGCATTGTTATTCATTCTTCTATGGGGCAATCACCTGGACATCCAAACCAGTTTGTCATTCCTACAGGCCTCTCTGTGAATTCTGGTTCAGTCCAGCACATCCAGACCATTAATAATCCACTGGTTCAGTCCCATCTCAATTCTCGTCAACTCCCGGCAGATCATTTAATGTTGAACAGAAATACAGCCAGTATGGTTAGACATAATCAACCATACTCAGGGCAAATGGTAAATAACCAAGGCACAGCTGTGCAGCTTGTGCCTGGTCAGACTTTTACTGGACCTGGAGGCCAGGTTATTTTAAACCATGGACAAATGTCACAAATATCACCTACAGTTTTACATTTGTCCCCTGGTCAAAGTAGTACTGCTCAGACTAGGTCGACCTATACATCTGTACCCCACAGTGGCACTAGCATGTCTGTCCCCAATCGTTTCACTGTTGTAAGTTCCAACACAGTACTTCAGAATATGGGACCATCTTATCAGACTTCTGCCAGAGATGAACAATTTGTCGGCGATCAACATCAAAACAGAACCCATTCTGCAATGAATGAATCTCATGTTACGGTTACCAGTGCTAAATCCACCAACGTCTTCTGTACCACTACAGGCTCCCAGCAGACATACACCTGCAGCCAGGTATTTAAAACAAAGCTATGATTATTTGTATTTAGATATGTTTTCATGTTGTTGTTTTTTTTTTGCTATACAAAATAAAAATAATACCATTAGAACATACAATTTGGATATATCAAATATTTTCTACTTGTCATAGGTTCACAATAAAGTTATGAACCATCAATCCCATGTGTCATCAATGAAAAACCAGGATGGACTGCGACAACCACATATGCCGGGTATTCTTACTAAATCTCTTTTACAGGATATACTAAATGTACTAATCTATAAAGAATTTAACCATTTCACTGTGTATTTATGTTAACTAACACACTAGTTATAAATAGTTTCTCAAGTTACAAATTTAGGTCAGGTAAAAACCAGAATGATTCAAGACACCAACTGCTCTTAATCTGTCCTGGTAACTTTGTTATATGCATCTAACTGTTTAATAAAAAATATATTCCAAAAAATATTTCAGTTAATACAGCACTCACATGCATAAAAATATGCATCAGAAAAAAAGAGAATTACTGTGTAAATATGCAAGAGTTAATTTATTGTACACTAGATACATCAAATTCATAAAAATAGAAATATACAAATTGATGATCTCTCCATGAATTCATCTATGATACATGTGACAAAATTTCATAATATATACATCCCAGACTATTTACAACTATATACAGTCCATGAACACCATATGCATGAAGCTGAAAGTTCATAAATATTCAAGTGGATCCACCACTAGATTGCTGTTCAGTTTAAAAAAGCAAAAAACTAAAATAAAGAAAAAAAGTGAAAAAGGAAAAATGACAAAAAAAATGAAAAAACTGAAAAGTTCAAAGGACTGCAAAAAGTGCACTGATTATATGATGAAAAAATGGTTGGATCTCACCACAGATTATGCATTTTTTCATCATATAATCAGCACACTTTTTGCAGTCCTTTGAACTTTTCAGTTTTTTCCTTTTTTGTTATTTTTTCCTTTTTTCTTTCCTTTTTTCTTCATTTCCCCCCCCTTTTTTTTCTTTTTTAAACTGAATAGCAATCTAGTGGTGGATCCACCTGAATATTTATGAACTTTCAGCTTCATGCATATGGTGTTCATGGACTGTATATAGTTATAAATAGTCTGGGATGTATATATTATGAAAATATGTCACATGTATCATAGATGAGATCAACAATTTGTATATTTGGCGACAGTGGTCTTTTTTTCTATTTTTATGAATTTGATGTATCTAATGTACAATAAATGAACTTTTGCATATTTACACAGTGATTCTATTTTTTTCTGATGCATATTTTTATGCATGTGAGTGTGGTATTAACTGAAATATTTTTTTGTATATATAATTGAGGTCCTTTTGGGGAATACCTGCACCATTACGTAATTTAATGCTAACACATTCAACACTGAATTTAATAAATATATACAATTATGTATTTTTTTTATCTTGCAGGACACAACTCTGGAAGTAAGCAATTACATGAGTCTCTGACTCAACAACAAGAACAACTACTAGGATCCCCACTGCAAAATATGGAGGTTAGAACTTTTGAGACTGTAATGTTTCATATGTTGATATTCATAAACACTCATCAAATCTAATTTACTAATTGTTTTTTAAGACACGGAGATAAATCATTTAAAATATTTTTAAAAAAGTAACAAAAGAAAAAAATAAATTCCTTTTTGCAGCAAATTCATAGACTTGAGTCTCTCAAGTGAGGTCTGTTGTAACCAGGAGCTGCCTGAGATCTTTCATTCAGTCTCTGGTTTGCAATTAATTTAAAGTGTGCATGAAAACATGTGCATGTATGCAATAATACCTCGGGCAAATGAATGACAAGGACTTTTTGCAGCATTTCTTCAGTTGGTAAAAAATAATGCATTATGAATTTGATGGAAGATGCCAGTCTATCCTATTAGATTGTGCAAGCAAATGTTTTATGAAGAAAACACTACATGCTCTTAAATACTATGGCATTATTTCCCATTAGAGGGGAACTGTGTTGGATAGGTTTTATTTTCATATTGTTCTGTTTGGAGAATGTTTACAGCCCAGTTGGGTACAGGAATAATTTCTGTATTTATTTCAATGCGGCATATGTAGTATGTTGCAGAGTCTCAACACTCTGTATTGGTATTGAGGGACCTAGAGTTGAAGCCGTGGCACATTTTGTAAAGTGCTGCCGAATAGGTTAGTGCTGTATGAATGCTCATAATAATAATAATACTTTTTGTCAGCAATCATGCAAAAAATCTGGCAAATCCACATTCAGTCAGTTGTGTGGTTGCAAGCCAACTGTGTGGAGTGTTCTTTTCTAAATATATAACGAAAATAATTTTAAACAACATTAACTAATTGGTTGCAAAATGCAGTTGTAGAAAAGTTGCCAAAATGGCTGACTAGAAAAAAGCAAGCAATTTAAAAAAAAGAAAAACACGGGGAACATACATTAAGAAGTGTCTGTGTAACAGTGATATAATACTCAAGAATCCTGGATGAGGCTATATGTTGAAATGTATAAATAAGGAGAATAAACTATTGGTTGATGCTTTATTCTTCTATTAACTACTTAGGTACCACATGATGGTCGATGCCGTCCTGGAGTACAGGGCTTTAACGTCCGTTGACGGCATTGACTGTCATGCATTAAAAGTACCAGCAGAGTTAAATCTTGCCGGAACCAGGGAGCACCAGGTATTAGTGGATATGTAAGGGTCCCCTCTGTCAGCTGGAACCACAGCTAAAGGCCCTAGACTGATAGATCCTAGATGAGCTATGTGCAGCACTCAAAGTAAATAACACTTGAAATCACATTAGGGGTAAGATTAGGTGCAAAGGTATACATCATTGTAATAAAGAACAATAGAATGCAAATTTGGAGTCTTTACTGTAGTAGGCCCACACACGTGGTTTGTGATATCCCCCGAAATAAAACAAATGTGACAAAAAAACGAAATAGAACTAACAAATATGACCACGGTTTGTGATAAAATGGTTAAAGTAAAAGTGTCAAAATGGTCATAGTTAACTAGCCTAGGGATACACATTTTTGTGTAGAGATTCTGGATTCTGTGACCACTATTAAAGTTGTAATTTCAGCATGACAAATTTTGTAAAGTTTACACATTAAAACCATAATTGCACTCCTTGCAATATTTAATTTATATCTTCTACAGATTAATTGAAATCATACATATTGGGCAGTACAATAAAACGAAACATAGAATGTGACGGCAGATAAGAACCATTCGACCCATCTCGTCTGCCCAATTTTCTAAATACTTTCATTAGTCCCTAGTCTTATCTTATAGTTAGGATAGCCTTATGCCTATCCCACGCATGCTTAAACTCCTTTACTGTGTTAACCTCTACCACTTCAGCTGGAAGGCTATTCCATGCATCCACTACCCTCTCAGTAAAGTAATACTTCCTGATATTATTTTTAAACCTTTGTCCCTCTAATTTAAGACTATGTCCTCTTGTTGTGGTAGTTTTTCTTCTTTTAAATATAGTCTCCTCCTTTACTGTGTTGATTCCCTTTATATATTTAAATGTTTCTATCATATCCCCCCTGTCTCGTCTTTCCTCCAAGCTATACATGTTAAGATCCTTTAACCTTTCCTGGTTAGTTTTATCCCGCAATCCATGAACCAGTTTAGTAGCCCTTCTCTGAACCCTCTCTAAGGTATCAATATCCTTCTGAAGATACGGTCTCCAGTACTGAGTACAATACTCCAAGTGAGGTTTCACCAGTGTTCTATACAATGGCATGAGCACTTCCCTCTTTCTACTGCTAATACCTCTCCCTATACAACCAAGCATTCTGCTAGCATTTCCTGCTGCTCTATTACATTGTCTGCCTACCTTTAAGTCATCGCGAATTCATAAATATACATATAAGAGAAAAAATATAAACATGGCAGCCACAATGGGCATTTTATCCATCTGCATGGAGAACAATTATATAACATGTAAATAACCTTGTAGCAAGTACAATAAAAGCTCTTACACCTCAATGATTATAGATGTTATTTGCATGATGAGATATATGGACAGTTTATTCATATTTGTTTTTCCTGTAATAGGTTGATGTGAAGCCAGGATTACTGAAGAGACCAGCATCCAGACAGCTTACAAAGGAAACTTTGTGAGTTTTTCTTGGCAGTGATTATAATAGCAAACACAAGTAGTTTTAACCATTGGGTCAGGAGACTAAAATGGGTTCTCGTGTCATACCAGTGGGTGGTATGGGTCTGAGCAGAGGAGTGTTTCACGGTTCCATTCTCTTTAATCAGTTTATTAATTACCTTGAAGTAAACAGAAAGTCACATCTTCGTATTTGCAAACTAGGGAATAATCTGTAATGTCAGTCAGCTGTTGCAAAGGCCAGTAAGGTTTGTCAGGAATAAAGAGGGGTATTAATTTGTGTTTATAAAAGTTTGACATGTATTTATGACTTATTTACTTTAAATAAATGCATCTAAGAAAGGATATGATAACATCATATAAACATATTTCGAGAGCACAGCATGGCTCTCAGGTGCTCTGTTTATTAATAGGGCAAATAACAAGAGGTCATCCACTGAGAATTTAAGAAATTAGATTTCACCACAGTCAGAGGAATTAATCTTTACAATAAGACCAATAAAAATTTAGAATTCTCTAGAAAGAATATTTTATCAGGTCTAGTAGATATTGTTAAAAAAGAAAGATCTGGATGCTTCACGGCAAATATATATGTTTACATAGCAGGGTTAATTAACCCTCTAGTGGCTGACTTCCTGACAACTGCTAGAGGCGCTTCTGCGATGCTGGATGCGAAATAGGCATCCAGCGTGCAGAACGTCCATAGGAAAGCATTGAGAAATGCTTTCCTATGGACTGTTAGAATGCGCGTGCGCGGCTCTTGCCGCCCATGCCAATTCCGCTCTACTCAGGAGCTGACGTCGGCAGGGCAGGAGAGGTCACCAGCGCCGAGGGAGCCTGGCGCTGGATTAAGCTAAGCGGCTGAAAGGGTTTTAACCTGACACTATGTCATCCTTGGGGGACCCTCACCCTCAGGGTCCCCTTCAGCCCCATGGCAGGGGGACCCTGAGGGTTAGGGTCCCCAAGGATGACATAGTGTCAGGAAAACGGGTTTGTTTTCCTTACACTATAGCGATCCTTTAATGATATTACACTTGAAGAATAAAGAATTGTTCACTGAGCTTTCTTTTTGAAGAATGGATTGCTTAGTTAAATCTTACCCATAATTTCATAATATTATAACTAAAGAATATTATAAGCATACATTTCTAACCTTCTAAATTTAAATAACTTTCTCATTGCAGAATTCTTCAGCAGTTGCGCAAGGACCAAGAGCAGTGTGTACTGCCTAATAAATCTCAATTCCAGTCATTAAATGATGCTATTCAGAGACTTCTTCCATATCACGTATTCCAAGGATCACTGCCAACTGAAGAAGACTTGAAAACAGGTATTGGTGTAGTGGCATCTAAATTTAGAGTTTTAGTGGCCAGTGAAACATTTCTTTCTTTTTAGCATACAATATTTTGTACGTGTGTTTTAATATTTCCAAACCCATTACATGATTGAAAAATAACAGACTTTTTTCAAGATATATTTAATGATTCACTTCATCACTATTTTTTTTTTTCAGTGGATGATGAGTTTGAGGCTGTGGCTACTCATCTGTTGAAAAAGACTCAGGCAATGCTTAATAAGTACCGCCTGCTGCTTTTGGAAGATGCTATGGTGCGTATTAACAAAATAACTATTGTTATGGTTTATTTTCACTTTTTTTATTTGCTGCGTTGGAAAATAGGAAATTCATAATTAGAAATAGCATGTGCTCCCATTGTTATGATTTCTTAAACATTATTATTTTATTACTATATAACAATTGTGCCCAGATATGTAGAGCTACAGTTCTCAAATTATACTGTGATATTGACAGGAGCACTGGGGTTTAGTGACTGAGACATTTTCACTGCCGCACAATGACCTTATAGTTATTGTTTGTCATCTGTTTACTAAAAATTAAATAGAAATGAAAAACAGCTTGCAATATATATGATCTTTAAAAAATTCTCCAGCTCAAGTTCTCCGACCTAAACTTTGCAGATAAATTGCACTGATAATATTTTACAATAAGGATGATAATGTCTGGATCCAGGTAAAAGTGCACTTATCCATCAAAAGAAATTATTGACATTTGGTAGCAGAGCATTGAGAAAATATATTGTGTTAAATTTTGAATGATTAAGCAGCTTTTAAGATAATGTAATCATTACTTTATATTTATATTATCTGTCTTTTAGGCAAATAATTCACAATAGTATGTGCTCTTGAGTCTATATAGTGCTCTTGACTTCTTCCTGGTTTGATTGCTCTACTTTAGAACTTATTTAACTCTGATTCAAAAGTTAGGGAATAGATCATCTAAGTGGTTTAATTGCAAGGAATCTTGGGTGCAGTCGTGATGTTTTTTTTATCAAACCATTTTCAAATATTTTTTTTTTTTTTTTTACAAAACTGGGTCTATTTCCGTAATCACAGCCTACCCCCTCTGCTGCCACCAAAATAAAGAGGAATTGCACTATTCTCCAGAGTCTAGACAGTTTTGCTGGCCCAATGCTCACAAGTTATCGTTGACAATCAAATTTGGACAGATATTGAAAAAATTTAACTTCCAATTATCTTCCCAGCAAACCTGTAGGGTGTAGCTTTGGGTGCCAAGGAAAAGCTATTCAATTCTTAAACCACTAGAAAACAGTTTGACAAAAAGCAGAAGGGCTGCAACCACAGACTCCTTGCATCACATGAACACAGAAAGCTGTAATGGTTTTGGAGCTTTGCATGCCCTTATAAACAGATCTGTTCCAAGGATTTTCAAACACAAATTATTCCAAGATAGGTAATTAGTAATGGAGTAAAAGAATAACTGAGCAGCTATTTGCTGCAAGATAAATGATTGTTTGTATTTTATGCATTTAAATGACATGTTTTAGGCATCAGGTACACTTTAACTAGGGCACACCGATAAGTAGCATTTATTTAATTCCCCTTGTAAATCTTTATTGATGATTTTGCTCTATTTCATATTAGCGGATAAATCCTTCTGCAGAGATGGTGATGTTAGATCGAATTTTTAACCAAGAAGAAAGAGCTGCTCTGACACGGGAAAAAAGAATGTCTCTTGTTGACCCAGGTGAATTAAACAGTAAATTAAAATAATGTGAGACTGCGTACTTGTTTCATTGTATGTTATATTGGTGAGTTCTTTCATATCGGTTTACTTTATTTGCAGATGGCTTCCTGACAGAGTTTTGTTGTGCCTCCAAACATCAGGTGGATTCTGTTGAGGAAAAAGAGTATTGTGATCATACTGTGGAAAGAAACAAACAATTGATTAATACCAGTTCGATAACTGATATTCAGAAAGGCAAAACAGATTTAACAGAACCCAAAAATCATGAGAAGATTTGCGTAGTGCCTGATATCAATGTAACATCTTGTAACATTAATGTTTCTTCTGTGAACAGTGTAGACCTTAATAAAGATGCTCAGAAGAAGACAGGTGATCTTCTAAGGAAGAAACAATCTAACATGTCTAGAACAAAACTTGAGGATAATACTGAGTCCAGTGTTTGTCCTTCACAACCTGGAATCATTTGTAAAACATCAAAGCAAGCAACAAACACCCAAACCTCCTGTGCAGTGGAATCGAAGGAGGATATAACAGAGGTAAAATCCCTTCGGGATAAGTCTCCATGGCCTTCTCCAGAAAGTGGAGGTGAGTCTAAGGATTCGCCTAGAAGTCCTGGTAAACGTTTCAAAGGTTTGAATGAGACTTTAAAAGCAACAGTAAAAAATGCTCTGGAACTGAAATTAGGTGAAAAGCACTTACAAAAAGAGGTCAGTAGTAGCAGTTCTGCAAAGGGTTCCCCCACCACAACAGAAGAATCCTGTGCCGGCAATGCAATTTCAGATTCAGATTCTAGAGAAGGTACAGTGGAAACTGATTCTGTTTTGGAAGCAGCTGTAAATAGCATACTAGAATGCTAGAGGACCTTTTCACATTCTTCTGCGGGAAGCATATGATACGTAGCTTGAGAGCAATAGTAAGAAGAGAAACCTAGCAAGAGGAATTTCTGCAAACAACAACCTGCTAGAGCTGAGAAGCTCTAGAAGTTGGGAGCATACCTGCCATAGACAATCAGGATGAATCTGGAGAAACAGATGTTTTTTAATTACATGTGGATTAAAACCGAGTTCATTCAATGTAATTTTTTCCTGTAAACATGCAATCTTCCCTGAAACACCATCTACAAATGTCAGCACATTGAAAAATACATGATGCCACTTTCACAATAATATGCCTTTTGGAGATAAAATGTAAACTTCTCCTTAAAATCAATTTTAGATATTTTTAAATTTTATTTATAAAACACTGATTCTAATGAGATTTTTGCTTATTAAAGGGACACTGTAGCACCATAACCACTTCAACTGATTGAAGTTCCCAGATGCCAGATCCCACAGCACTGTTACATGGTTTACCTACCATTTAGCAGAGATGTTTGGTTCTTTGCAGCCTGTCACAACGGCCACCACTGAAAGTAGGACAAAGGTGGAGTAATGCTCTGCTTCATGCCACAAATTCATACCAGGGATTGCTGACAGCAATATGCTGTTGACTGTCAGTTGACATTCTCAGCCTTTCACCTCCCACTACCCCTGGTATGGTATGAGGAAGTATCATCATGGAGAGCAGGTTGCTGGAGACCAAGCATCTCTGCTATTCGGTAAGTAAAGCATTTGATAGTGATGCAAGATCTTGTGCTGCAATCTCTAGGCTCCATAACCACTTTAATCAGTTAAAGTGATTATACTGCCTGCAGTGCCCTTTAATTCAAATACTGAGCCAAGCATGCAGAATCCATGCTAAAACATGTTAATGAAAGCAGCAGCATTTCTTAATATGGAAACATCTTTACTATGTGCAAAATGTGCTTCTAATTCATAACTGTATTTGCTAGCAATACGAGACATTTGATCAGCTTTTTATGTTTGGAGAGATTGCACCTTATACTAACATGTAATGCTATTATGAGGAAATAGTTTTGATGATCAAAGACTCCATGTGCAGTTTACACATACCATTAAATGTGCTTCTCTTGTTATCAGATGTAAACGTCAAATTCATTGCTTGATTTTCTAGTAGTGATATTGTAAGCAATACTTAGAAGAAACAAGACATAATAATGTATCTGATAAAACATATAAACTTTGCTGCACAGTCAGACTTACATGCAGGAGTGTAAAGTGCAGCAATTTGGTCGGGTCCTGATTATGAGTGGGAGCCTGCCTGGTTGAAAGCAGCAGAGAGCAATTTTCCTTCCCATATGTTGTGGAGTGAGCCAACCAACTGGTTTTTAGTGCCTTCATTTCTTCTCTCACTTCATAGATGGGCATTGTCGGTGACAGTCAGACTACACCACAACTGAGAAATAAGACCTTTAAAGAAAGCTGTGGGGTTTATTCACTAAACAGTGATTTGTAGTGATTTGAGAATTGGCTTGCACAATTCAAGTCCAAATATCTGAATAGATATTAGAAAATATCTAGTTATTTCCATAATTTTCCATTGTTCATGGTTGATGTAGTTATAGTTAGCTTTAAAAAAACAAAAACATTTTGCCTGGTATTTACTCATTAAAAAAATACATTTAATTTGACATTTTTTGTCAGATTCTAATTACATTAAATTTAGTTCTGAACTTACTCTGAACGGCATATATAAATCACTTTATTATAAAGTTAATGGCTACAGGTATTGAACAGGATATGATCTGATCTAACTGTAAATATTATTTACTTTAAAAGGACACTCCACTGCCAAACCCCCTCCCCCCAAAAAAATGATGTTTAGTATATATATTCCAAATGAAAACATGCATGCTTTTAATTATGCATTTGTTCAACTGGGGGTATATCTAACAACAGCTTGCAAAAGATGCAGTTCTTTTGTCTGCCACCTTTGCAAGCTCTCCCCTTCTAACATAGCCCAGACTCTCTGTGGGTGTCACAGACTTCACAATGCAGAACAATGAGACGTTTTTGCAAGCAGTTGCTCTAAACAATTGCTGTCTCTCGAGTTTATCTCCACTGAGTTAAACAACAGGAAGTAAAAGGACATGTCTGATTGACAGCCAGGTGGGTGTAACAATGTTAATTTATAAAAAGTGAGAATTTCTCTTAAAATGTGCACTTTTTGTAAAATGAAAAAAAGAGTAAACTCTCTCCACACATAAAGCATTTCAGCAAGCTAAAGTGCTTTGGGGTCAGGAGTGTCTCCTTAATAGCCATGCATAGTGAATTGGATATAATACATGTCTCGCTCCACCAATTTAGTTTGTTTTAAAACATATTATTCCTACTCATTAAATGTATGTATTAGAACAAGAAAGTTAAGTTGGTTGGAAGGGTAACCAGGGCAGTCTCTATTTCCTAACCTAGTAATGATAGCAATATTATTGGCAACTAATCTGTATTTAAACATAAACATTAGATTCTAGCCATTTGGGGTCTTCATATGAACCTACAGTGTAGTCTAGGTCATTTTAAGACATTTACATCCCATTGCAATTCTAAATGGCTGCTGCCTATATGATCTTCTCTTAGGACTTTTACAACCCATTTCAATTCTAAATAACTGCTGCCCTTCTGATATACTCTACATGTGACGGTTAGCATTGGATATAATAGTTATATATCAATATCTCTTTGATTCATCTCTTGAAGTAGATTTCTCAAGATTTGTACCAAAGATATACTGGTAAGCATGAGTAAGCAAAATTAGTTAAATCTCCAAAACAATTATATTACATACTCCAAAACCAAAGTAACCAGCAGTTCCTTTTTCAGTTGCTAGATTATTAATTACTGAATCAAATGTTATTCCTGAACATTAGATTGTTTTTCCATTATCAGATTGTATATATTTATTTTCTCTTCCTTACCATCACTAATGAAAGTATGTTTCTTTAAGAATAAAAGGGACAAGGAGATTAATGCATTTTTATACTCTTGATAAAGGAGAGGGAAAAAAAATCTTTCTATTATTTAATGAAAATAAAAACAATATATAAATGGTACTAATAACATTTCATATACTTAGCCATTGGTTATAGGTTGTGTTTTTATTTTTGTGTTTACCAACATCTCGTTGTAAAATGTTAACCATTTTAGTGCCAAACTTTAAAAAAGTTTCCCTTTAAATGGCATGCTTCAACTGTCCAGGTCATAGCAATGCTATAATGGTATTGTAACCATAAGGGCACAAAGTCATTACAGTACCATTTATAAAGGCAGGTGTCATTGCAGTTTGGTGTACAGAAGTAATTAACCCTGTGTTCTTAAAGTTGGCAAACATAGGGTTAAAACCAGTGTGTCTTATTTTTACTGAAACCTTTTTTAGTAATTGAGGATACCCAGCAAAGAGTTTTACATTGAAGGAAATGTACTAAGTAGTGGCAAAACTCCACAGTGAAAAGGTTCTGTACTGGAGTCTCCAACTTTCACCTGAGGTTGCTGTACTAAATTTTCTGCAATTCTATCAGCCTTACTCACTATAGTGAGAATTGCCAGGAAGCAAAGTGAATTTCTAAATTTAGGCCAAAATCGTTGAATTAGAAAAATTCTACAAGTCAGTTCAGTTTGAATTCCTGGAAATACTCACTTTAGTGAAAGAGCTGGTATGGAAAGTACTCTAACAACAGGTGGAAGACCTAATTCCTATTCCTTTGCTGTTCTATGAAAGTTTCTTTGTAAAGCTAAACAGTATGCAATATAGACACTTGGGGGATTTAAAACTACTTTGTTAATCTCTCCTTTCCATTATAGGCAATGATTAAAGTGGAACTGTTACACCTGACACCTTTACTTGACAAGATAATTTATTTAGTTTTAATTTGAATTCAATGCTGGGCTATTCTGGCACAATTAAAGCAGACCAAGTAAATTCTTTTAACCCCAACTGTCCACAGGTATGACACCATGGAAGGAATGCCCAAGTGCCATGTGCTAATGCGGTATTTCCAATGCACATGATCCTGCCTAGAGAATCACAGGAACATGACACGGCCCTGGTCACAGAATTGCTGTGGAATGGAGTGTGTTTTCTCTTGCCATCACTGCACTATTTACCCCAGAAAAAGACTTCAACCATGTTTAAAGGGACACTATAGGCACCCAGGCCACTCATCTCATTGAAGTGGTCTGGGTGGAGTGTCGCTGTCCCTTTTGTTCTGCGATGTAAAATATTACCGTTTCAGAAAAACTGCAATGTTTACATTGCAGGGTTAAGACTGCCTCTAGTGGCTGTCTACCAGACAGTCGCTAGAGGCGCTTTCTACAGGACACTGGATATCCTCATGCTTTGATGACGTCCAGAGTCATCTAAATAGCCATCGGAAAGCATTGATTCAATGCTTTCATAACGGGAAGGCCATGCATGTGGGGGCAGAGGGACACTATAGTGTTAGGAATACAGTTTTTTATTCCTAACACTATAGTTTACTTTCAAACTGATGAAGGAATGATAACTGTCACTTAAAGGCATGACAATTCCACGTTAATGATTTCAAATTTAATGTGCTAGTCAGGACAGACATGTCATCAAATTAATTTGTTGTACTTTGTATTCGTTTTTTTCATAAGTTACTTTTTATTAGTTATTTATTTGGAAGATTTCTTTCTAAATCTTTAATGTTATAACTATGGAAATTATACTATACATAACAAAACACCATTTAAATCATTTAGGAAAAGAAATCTGAGGTTTATTCTCTTCAAATAAAAATGATAATATTCAGTAACAGTACAATCATGTTTCCATGAAGATTATGTGCAAATTTCTACTGTTCCCTGAGCTTTTTCTTGCCCAAAACTTCAGAATGCAAAGCAACACTTATTCTGTTTGTTAAAATAAGTACATCCTTTTCTGATGGCACTACGCCACCTACACAGCATTTACCAAGTGAGTGCAGAGCTTAACAAGCAGTGATGGACAACTTTTCAAACGGCAGCTGCTCTATTTTCCATAATGCAAAACTATTATTCTATGGAAATGCTGAGGTAATATTTAGCCATCACTGGCTTACACGGCAGGCTTTCAGAACTGTGCAGCAAACCTAAAATAGGCAGAAAACCAGCTATAAAGCAAGCTATCTTGTCCTTTTTAATATCAACGGTAACATTACATTTTTGGTGAAATTTCCAATGAGTCCAACAACAATTTTAAAACTTTGTTATTTCCACTTCAGTTTATGATTCTTCTAACAAATTGCATGTATCATTATTTGTCCACTACATACTCACAACAAATACTATTTAGGTGTCAGAGAGTCCCTATAATAATAATGCATATACTTATATGCATGTGTCCTATGTAGCAGTCGTAATGTATGAGATAGTTTGTTTTGTGTGACTTTGATTTCGTGTCTTCAGTGCAGTTGTAAAAGTAAATCTAGGTGATATGCTCCATTAAACACTTACATTTATTTTAATCTCATAGACAACCATATATGTTCTGTCAAATTAACCGCAATTGTAAACAGGACCATTTTCTGTCAGTTTATTGCTCTTTATGTTATCTGTGCTGAGTTGTTGATATAGATCAGGCATAGGCAACATCTGCCATTCCAAATAACAAGGATGACATTTTCTACCATGTTCTGCCCACCAAAATGCAGGGCATCGTGGGAGATGCAGTTCAGTACTTGGAATATCAGATGTTCTGTATCCTTAATGCAGGCATTGCCAATTACTCCATATTACTCCATATTACAAATCATAGAATAAGATGACATTTCAGATATAGGCTAGGACTCTTAACAGTCTAGACACAACGATAGGAAAGTAAGTGCAGATAAATAGTTTTGTTATGTACGTTTGACACGAAAGGATATAATTGTTTATACATTCTTATTGCCATTCTTATTTTTTTTTTATTTGTGCCAATTTTAAGAATATGTATAAATATTTGTAGCATTTCAACATTCCCCATTGGAAGGTTAACAAAAGTAATGCCAGTTTTAAATGTATTTATTTAATGAAGTCTTGTGAAGCACTTATATCAAAGTATATTCAATGTATACCAGTACATGTGGGTTTGATGGATTTTTTTTACATATGCATTGAACAAAGTATGAAAAATTATTCTGCTGCTTTTTTGCGGGTTCAGTTACTAACTGTTGAGTTATAATGGGTCTAGCACCAAGTGAACAATTAAGGGTGAGATAGCCAGATATGAACACATCTCTTACTTTTTATGTCAACTTGGCTATCACAAGCTGCATTTTGTAATTCTTTATCAATACATCATAACTTAGTGTTTAATGAAAAAACTCCTTTCAGTAAAGCATATGGTTACTGAACAGTTAAGATAAAAAATACATTTTAAAATAAACGTACATATAAAATTTTCCGCTTTGCTGCCTTCTAATTAATTTTGTATCTCAAACATTGATGCTATCATTCAGTGAAAATCATTTAGCTGAACATGGAAGGAGAGGAGTCAGCTATTTTACTTGACATCGGTTTTAACGTTAAACATAGCCTTAAGTAGACAATTTGAACAAGTTTTATTTTTTATCTGCTGTGATCACATTAGATATTAAATGTTGTTATACTAATTATACAGATTATCAAACTATATAACATTAAAACATTAGAATACTTTTCTAGTCTGGACTTACAGCAACCATTTTATTACTTCCATTAAATTTAAGAAAGTAATATTTTTTGAATGGAAAATTAATTTGAACAAAATATCTAAATGAAGCTGCATATAATTAAAATTTTTTGTAACCCATTTTATATAATGAACTGTAAAACATATTTTTTAAAATTATCCTGTGCACATGTAGAAAGATATTACTTTCATTAATAAATATTATTTTATATAATAAAATAATGACATATCTTTGTCATTAGCATACAGGAAGTCTGCTGGATTCAACTGCTAAACTTAAGACCGGGGGCATTTAATTCAATGCATGTGTACTCATTTATCTTTTGTACAGTGATGAGGAATATTTTGGTGTTTTATAAATGATATCAATAAAACATGAAGCAAATCATGATACTTAACTTTAGTCATCCTTAAATTGAATTTTCTTACACGTGTTAAAGGGCATAGTTTGGTGTTAAACATTATAAATTATTTTCAAATTAGAACACCTGGCTAGCACAAAAAATTTGATATTAGTTACTCCTCTACATTCATATATTAATTTATGGTAGCAGCAAAGACTAGTAATGGATAAAAACGGGAAACAAAAAGGTAACCGGGACTAACAACCACATTTCTATAATCATTGTTGTTGCATTTAAAAGATCCATCAATCTTTATTTTGCTGTGTATGTGTTAATATATATATAAAAATATATTTCCTCTTGTCATGAGGTCATTAGATAAACAAGCTTTATGCGTCTTTCTTGAATATTTGATTTTGAATGTAGCGACAATAACATTGGAACCATTTCACAAACAGAGTATTGTAATCTGCGTGGTATGTTAAATTACTCCGTACACGTGTGGTGGTCACTAATTGGATGGATATCACTGTGTCTGTTGTTGTTATTATGAATTGTATAGAATCCACAATCTATTAATGTTTGTCTTGTTTTCAAATTCGGATAACAGATGAGAGTGAGTTGTTATTTGTAAAACAAAAGAACAATTCTGGGGTAATTTTCTACAAGTGGAGCAATAAGCAGAAATGTTTTTGGTTTCCATGGTAATGTGTTCCACATTCAGAACGTTGCCACACAATTGAAATATATAAATGACCCATAATTTAAAATTCACAATGTGACAGTCACTGCCTTGTATACTTTCCTGAAAACTTACCTATATTCTTTGTATTTTATTGTGTTTTCTTTTCTAATGCTTTTTTTAATGACTGCATCTGCCAACCATTCTTTTCCAATTCTATATATTTTTTTGATAATGTAATTTTTAGGAAAATATTTTATACTGCATATATTTAATATTTTGGTAAGAAAATTTAAAACTGGCAATTACTTCAGCAGTTTTAACTGGAGTGGTGACAAGCATTTGCAGTAGCAAAAGAGGCTTCAGTAGTGGCCACTTATACAACATGTTTTCCATTTACATTTTTTTTGAATAATTTTTAATTTTTTTTTGTTTTGCTGATATTCATTTGTTTGTATAGAATGTCTCACAAATTGCTTTGTATACATTTTGTAAAAATATTTATAAAATGTTTTGTAAAAAAAAAACTACTATAACAAATTGCAGTTTATTTTGTTATGTTGGGTAAATAATGTTAAATGATGGAAGCTGTAAATACAATGTTAATTTCCTGGTTAGAAAACTGTTTGGCTGTAAATTACACATTAAAATAATCATTGCAATACAACCAAAGACGTGCGAAAAAGGTGCAGCTGTGATTGTCTTGATTGAACAATAAAATAAATACCTGCAGTATTTAAAAGAGAAAGAGTTAGATTTTCAGTGTAGGATAGTGATAATTCTTTCTTTTTAATGTTGGCTATAGCCAGCAAAGAGAGAAACTGGATTAGGCACAAATTTCTCCAATGAATAGTTAGAATTGCATATATTTAGTCACTCAACAGAAGGAAGATCACTTGGAAAACCTGTGGCAATAGAAACTCCCTAGATTGAGAGGCCTTGTTAAATATTTTTAACAAAAGTGTGTGTGTGTGTGTGTGTGTGTGTGTGTGTGGTGATTGACATTACTCTAGGTGCTTCCATTTCTGTTACATGACAGATACATTGGTTTTGTGTATAAATGATTCATAGGGTGTTCATGTATTAAAAAAATACTGTTCTGGGACAAAGTTCATGAACAAAGGCATGAATATAGGATACCTGAAATACCTATAAAGGTTATTCACTAAAACCTGGATTTTCACACATTAAATCCAAAGCACAAAACTGAGGCAAAAATATTCAAGAAGATATGGAGTTAAGTAACTAATCCTGTATATGGTTTTACTCACAAATATAAATATGCCAATTTAAAAGGACACTCCAAGCAGCAAAACAACTTCATCTAAATGTCACTCTTACCTCAATGGTAAATCGCTCATGAGCGGCAAGGGCGCCACTAAAAGAAACGTACCTTTTCCAAGCCAATTTTGTGAACAGGGAGTCAGTAATTGGCTGAGAGTGTTAGCTGAATGCTCTCAGCCAATCAGAAGCTCTCTTGCCTGGCAATACATTGCACTTCCTATATCTGAAAATTCATAAGCCGGATGCCGCCAGGGGGGAGTGAACATTAATGCTAGCAGCTACTTTGGGGTTAGACTGGTTTAACCCCTTGAGGTAAGAGTGCCTCTGGGGGCCTCCTGGCACCATAAAAACTTCATTTAATTACATGTACACAAGTAAAAACATACATTTCCTGATAACAAACACCTACAAAACTTTAAAGGTATACTCCACATACCATGTAGTGGAGGCAAAGAGCAGCGCCCAGTCAGTGGCATTGCAAGGTGGAGGCCAGAGGGGGCCACAGCCCCCCATGCTGTGCCTCCCCCCTCCCCCAAATGCAGGCACTGTCTCAAGGGCAATGTGTTTTTTTTTGTTTGTTTTTTAATAATCTCTGGTGGAGAATAATAAATCCTCCACCTGGGATTATTAAAAACAAACAAACACATCGTGGTGGGGGTGGGGCCAAATGACAACAGGGGCAGGGCTAAAGGTGCACAGAAGATATCAGCTGGTGTAACTGCTGCACAGGAAAGGGGAAGCAGGAAGGAGTCCCTGCTTCCCCAACATCCAGACTCCAGGAGCTGCACTGCCTCACTCCAGCCCATAATGGACAGAGGTATGTGTGTGTGACTGTCTGACCTCAGTTTTTCACTGTCTTCTTGTGTGTGACTATAACTGTCTGTGTGTGACTGTCTGTCTCTCTGTGTTTGACTGTCTGCCTGTATGTGACTGTAACTGTGTGTGTTTGACTGTCTGCCTGTGTGTGACTGTCTGTCTCCTGTGTTTGACTGTCTGCCTGTATGTGACTGTAACTGATTGTGTTTGTGACTGTCTCTGTGTGTTTGACTGTCTGCCTGAATGTGACTGTCTGCCTCTGTGTATGTGGCTGTCTGTGTGTGACTGTAACTGTGCATTTGACTGTCTGCCTGTTTGTGACTGTAACTGTGTGTGTGTGACTGTAACTGTGTGTGTGTGACTGTCTGTATGTGAATGTAACTGTGTGTGTGTGACTGGCTCTGTGTGTGTGGCTGTCTGTGTGGGACTCTTAACTGTGTGTGTTTGGCTGTCTGCCTGTATGTGACTGTAACTGTGTGACTGTCTGTGCCCCCCTTCCGCCTCCCCCCCCCCCAAATGCGGGCACTGTCTCAAGGGCAATGTGTTTTTTTTATAATCCTTGGTGTAGAATAATAAATCCTCCACCCGGGTTTATTAAAAACAAAAACAAATTGTGGCGGGGGTGGTGCCGGCGCCAAATGTGCCCAGAAGACATTGGCAAGGGTAACTGCTGCACAGGAAGAGGAAAGCAGGAAGGAGTCCCTGCTTCCCTAACATCCTAACTCCATGAGCTTCACTGCCTCCACTCCAGCCCAGCCAGGGCATTTCTTACACCAAAACCACTATATTGTGCTGTCGTGATTATGGTGCTTGGAGTGTTCCCATAATTGCTATCGTTTGTAGATGTTTGCAAGTTACCTTTTCCATTACTCTGAACCTGCTGCAGACAGACTGACTTGGCATCCTGGGAAGAGCAATTGCACAGTCCAAGCAACAAAGTGTGTAATTTATTGCTCCACTCCTGAAAGATTTTCTCGACTTTCAGAAAGGCTTTGTATTCTAGAACAGAACTTTTCATTTCTTTTGCTTATTACCTTTGTACATCTCTTCTAAAAAGTAAAATGAGTAATAATGAGAGTGAGAGGGTAACATAATATGTTTACTGAAAGTTAGAATAATTAGAAATGAACACAGCTGCAACATTGTCATACAATGCTCTCTACTTCATATTCTTCTTCACTAAAGCTTTTTTACCGATTAGAATTATATGTTCCTCTACCCCCACCTAGTGGTATAACTCAGAAACAAGTATTGCTTTGAAAAAGAGACTGCAGATTTCTCAGCTATTCATACAGCGTGCATAGCTTTACTGGCAAATATGACTAAAAAGCATCTGATACAACCAACACACATTTTACATGATTCTGATGCTGCCAAGATGCAATGAAAATATTCTTTTCAAGAATAGTTTTCTTCAAAGTTGGAACCTGTGCTTCATAAATGACAGCAGTTCTCGCCAGCACGATTAAAAATACACCTGATATGCAGGTTCAGAGTGGTACGAACCAAATGCAAATACATTTATATCCTGATACTTAAACAAATGTTACTCTTGCAATACAGCTCAAATGTTGAAAAACTGACATCTGTTAAAATGCGTCCTGTGTTTCACTGAACACTAACCCACTAAATCCTGATGCTGACATTACAAGCTCACTCTGTGAGTTGTTAGAAGCTGTCTGTATATGGGTAATGGTAGTGAAATTAGTGTGGGTGACCTATAAGAATTACCAGTGGAAATAACAAAGCCTCTGACTTAACTCTCAACGCTTTACAACTTTTTTGTTTTAAACCCAATGAATTGGCTTTATTAAATCTCATTTATTGGGCACGTAACATACTATACTGAATATTTACAGTGGCGCAACTGCCGTGGTCGCAGCTGCGACCGAGCCCGTCACTTCAGGGGGCCGGGATGCCCGCCGCCATGTGTTGCGGCCCCGGCTGCGCCATAGATCTGCCGGGGTCGCAATTTAAGGGACCCATCAGGTGGCCCATGCTGTTAGGGCCACCCGATGGCAATGAATATCCAGGGGGCCTGGTCAGTGCTGTGGTGCTTTAACAGCATAACTGGGCCCCCTGTGATGATATCAGAGCGCAGGGAGGAAGTGACTGCAACCACCGGGAGCCGCGCAGGAGGAAGAGAGGAGGGAGTCAGAGTGGACCCCAGGGAAATCACCCTCCTGCATCTAAAGAGTGGACCCCAGGGAAATCACCCTCCTGCATCTAAAAGGTAGGAAACAGGAGGGTGACTTAAACATTTTGCATGTGTGAGTGTGTGTCTGTATGTATATGCATCTCTGTGTGTGTGTGTGTGTGTCTGTATGTATATGCATCTCCGTGTGTGTGTCTGTATGTATATGCATCTCTGTGTGTGTGTGTGTGTGTTTGTATGTATGTGTGTGTGTATGTATGTGTGTGTGTCTACATGTCTCTATGTATGTATGTGTGTCTGTGACATATGGGGTTGGGGGTCAGGGCAATTTTCACACTGGGGCTCCTGATGGCCACCTAATCAACCCCCCCCCCCCAGTGGGCGGCTGCCTCCCTGTCAGACGAAGCAAAGGAGCAGTGTTCTCCCAGCTCTGCTCCCTCGCACACCATTTGATGATGCTGGGAGCTGGAATATGACGTCATATTCCAGCTCTGGCATCAGTAGATATCCTGTGTGGTGAGAGGGAGCAGAGCAGAGAGAACACAGCTCCCTCGCCGCGTCTGACAGGGAGACCGTCGCCCGCCGCACTGAAGCCCCACTGGACCCTAGGGACAGGTCCATGCCAGCTCCCCGGGTAAGGAGGCTGGGTGGACTTTTTAAAAAATATGAATAATTTGTGAGTGTGCGTGTCTGTGAGTGTGTGTCTGAGTGTGTGTGTGTGTGTGTGTATATGTGTGTGTCTGAGTGTGCACCTGTCAGTGTGTGTGCACGCATATATATATATATATATATATATATATATATATACGAGTATATATTATTTTTTGGGGGGGGGAGGGTGAATCTTGGGTGAGTTCCCACACTTTATTCCCCAGGACTTGACCCCTGTTTAATAGTTGAAAAAATTGGAAAAAGCATTGTAAACCAAGTGGGGATTTAATATCTGGAGGCATTGAGAACACAGATCTACCCCATGCACAAGACACACATCCTACCCACGCAATACACAGGTTGCCCACACAAACAACATTACAATTGTCCTTCACACACACAGCCTACATGCAAAACTCATACAGATTTCACACATGCTTCTTTTAACACACACACACAAACACACACGAAAATGCTAGATAGTAGGTATAAAACAGATGGAGAAGTGAGAGAGAGAGAGACAGAGAGAGAGAGAGATTGGTAAGAAAAAGCAGCAAAGAGACAAAAAGCTGTATAATAGGGACGTACATCATAGTTGCAAACATTTGGAACAAATATATTCCAGGGACACTTTGTTTAAGGTTCCCAAAGAGTCACTAAGACATTTTGTATAATTCTCTGAGAATATTTGGTGCAGTTTTTTTTAAATCTGTCAGTTTTTTTTCATCTCATCCCTAACCATATTATTATACACCAGTTTTTCAGCGGCACAACAGATTTATCAATTTTTACGACACTTTTTCCCTCCCCACAGTCATATTCTTACACCATGTTCTTCTGGCTGTGCAGCCCCTTCATACAAACTTTTTCATACATCATAGAGGGAATGAAAAGGCTATGATCTTCTGTCCCAACAACATGTCTTTTCAGAAATAGAACTAATGAAGGGTGGAATCTGGTGCAAGAAATATTTTGGGCTCCCCTTTAGAGCAGTGGTTGCTAAAAGGTAGTATCTCAATGGCTATACAAATCCCAGAATGCCTTGCTAGCTGGGGATCTAACATTTTGCTGATCCTTGCAGGGTTCTATATGTGTGCAGTGTCTGTATATGTCAGTGTATGTTGTAGGTGTGTCAATGCAGACGTGTATTTGTGTGTAATTTTGGTGTTTGAATGCAGTGGTGTTTTTGTGCGTTGTTTAGTATATTTGAATGTAACAGTGTATTCATATGATATGTGCGTGTGTGACAGCAAGGGTGTACTTTTTGTGTAGTGGCATATTAGTGCAGGGTGTATTCATTTATAAACACAGATGCACACACAGATATATGTGATACACTCGAGTTACACACATACACATGCACGCAAACTTACAGATACACAGATTCTCACACAAACACAAAAATAAAGAAAGAAAACACCCTCATGTTCCCATACTATTTGGGTGAAGGAGAGTGGCATCCCTGGGGAAGGCTGAAGCTTACATAAATGTCCTGCAGCAAGTGAGTGAAGGTTGAGTCTGATGGGAGTGGGCTGCCATAAGAGAGGGTAAACTGAGGCTGATGGGAGTGGACTGCTGCTGATCCAGGTTCTCCCCTCTTCTATATCCCATCAGAAGCAGCAGCTAACAGGCAGGAGGTGAAGCTAATTAACTGAGGGTATAGACTTGAAAGAAGGGGCAGGGGCAGAGAGTAGCAGGTTGGGGAGGCTGAGTTACAACATTCTGGGCGAATAGGCAGAATAATTGTGGGCTGGGGAGGAAGGCAGACTATGAATACATTAAACCGACACTGGCATCCCCTGGCAAAATGGCTATTTCAAAAAGATACAATCTTTATGAAATACTCAAATTAGCTGTGTTGGATTACACTGAAATTCCAACACAGTCAATTTATATACTGAGACAAAGTAGGTTATACTTTGTCTCAGTATTTTTCGTACACACCTGACACTGGGTGGAGCCATCACCGTCAAGAAGTGTCAGTCCTCCAGATATCACCACTGATGGCTGCAGGTAATTGGCTCTTTCTGTGAAGCATCCCAACAGTCTTATGGGATCCTCTGTAGCCCTCACTGCTGTAGAGAGTACAGCAGTGATGTCGGTTTCTGGCAGCAGAAAAACCATCGCGGCACCCATGAAATAGAGGTTCAGATTAAAAGAACTCACATTTGCCTGTTCCACTCCCCCCAGCCACCAGACCCTCAGCTGTGATGTCACTGTCGGGGTTATTTGCAAATGATGGGAAAACCATTTGGAGAAGGGAATTGCAATTTTGTTGCAAAAGCAGAGATGGGCAGGCAGAGACAACAGGTGGATTTGTAACACAGGTAACAGGTAATCTGCTACAGGTCCCGAGACCCTTTTTTGCTGGGACAGGAGCCTAAAACATGAGACTAACCCGCCAAAATTGGAACTGCTGCCAACTACATATGTTCAATTTATGGACAGAAAGACACTGAAACTGAAAAAGAGACTGAGGGAAAGTAGGAAAAGGGGCTAGAAAAGTGTGAACTAATGCAGCAAAAGAGATGGGAAAAGAACATGAAGGGAGATATGGAATTCACAAGGAAGAAATCTGGATTTTTACCTCAGATTTTTATTACCCTTTACATTATTTATATCATTCTGTATTTGGCACATCATTATCAACAAGCTACAGCTTTGTGAGGCTCTTAATCCAGTACTGCATGGCATGTACCTTTAAATTCTTCTAGAGAAGTAGGACAGTAACCATTGCATGTTATTATAGTGGTTATGGTGGAATGAGGCTTTGGTTGCCATCCCCCTGTTTTTTTATTAAAGGGACACTATAGTCACCAAAACAACAACAGCTTATTGTATTTGTTCTAGTGAGTATAATCATTCCCTTCAGGCTTTTTGCAGTAAACACAGTAAATGCAGTGTTTACATTACAGCCTAGGGACACCTCCAGTGGCCACTCCTCAGATGGCTACTAGAGGTGCTTCCTGGGGCATTCAGTGTCCCCGCCTCTGCATGGAGGGGGAGGAATGGGGACTAGATGGTGTTTTTAACACTTTAGGATCAGGAATACATGTTTGTGTTTCTGACCCTATAGTGTTCATTTAAACAATTTTCAAGCAGTTTGGTGGTTATCTGCTTGACTGCTGACCCATTACTACTTTTCCCCAGTTGCCCCACAATAAGACACCACACACCTTTTCTGTGGATAAGGGCAATGGCCACAGCTTTATTAAATTCAACTCAATTCAAATAACCATAACCTGTCAGCTGTTGGGTGGTTAACCCAACAGACAGTTCTCCAACCTCTTTTCTCAAGAGCCTCAACAGCTGGCACTTGCCATCAGTCCTCGTGCGGTCTGTTGTCTCTCCAATTCGACTCTGTGTCTTCTTCCTTTTTTAACAGTTGTGCTGCCCAGGGATCCCGCCTAGCTGTGACAAAACAAGAAACAAACATCAAGACACTAGCCACTAACAACTTCCATAACCAGGGCCGGACTGGGAAAAAAATTCGGCCCGGGCATTTTTCAATCAGAGCGACCCCCTTAGAAGGGGGCGGGGCCAGAGAGTGTGTGTTTTGTCATCACTAATGACAAGCACGCCCCCTCTCAAAGTGAGCATGTTGGTTCAATGCCCAGAGCCCTGCTGAAGAGCTCTGGCATTAGAAAAAGGCCCTGAATTTGTTCTGCGCAGCGCAAGCAAATTTAATAACATGCTTGCGCTGTGTTTGCTTTTAAATTGTCTCTGGTGTCTCCACAAGTGGGATACCAGAGGACAAAAGGGCCAGGAAAGTGCATGGTGCATGTGTTTGGAGCCTGCTTGTGGGATTGCGTGTGTGTAGAGTGTGGTGTGGTATTGTGTAAATAGGTCAATTTAATTTGTGTTTGTGGTGTAATATGTGTGGCTAGGGGCTGTAGAGAGTGTGTGTATAGGGGGCATAGTTTTATAGGGGATGCAGCGAGTGTGTGCATACGGGCTGAAGTGTGTGTGTATAGGTGGCGTAGTGTGTGTAGGGGTTGCAGAGAGGGTGTGTTTAGAGAATGTTGTATGTGTTTGCTGACAAGGAATGTAGTGTGTGTGTGTGTGTAGGAGATCTACTGTGTAAAGGACCCAGTGTATGTGTGTGTGTGTAGAGGATTAAGAGTGCATATAGGGTAAGGGATCTAGTGTGTATCTGGAGTGTAATGTGTGTAGTGGTGCAGTGTGAGGGGTGCTGTAGTGTGTGTGTCTATATATATATACACATTTGGACTTATTGTATGTGTGAGAGGTGCAGTGTGTGTGTGAGGGTGTTTTTATCTGCTGTCAAATTCTAGGTTTCTAATTTTCTTTGTCTGTTAAAGGACCACTATAGTGCCAGGAAAACATACTCGTTTTCCTGGCACTATAGTGCCCTGAGGGTGCCCCCACCCTCAGGGACCCCCTCCCGCCCGGCTCTGGAAAGGGGTAAAACCTACCTTTTTCCAGCGCTGGGCGGAGAGCTCTCCTCCTCCTCTCCGCCTCCGTTACGCCCCGCCGGCTGAATGCGCACGCGCGGCAAGAGCTGCGCGCGCATTCAGCCGGTCTCATAGGAAAGCATTTACAATGCTTTCTTATGGACGCTGGCGTGCTCTCACTGTGATTTTCACAGTGAGAATCCATAAGCATACCTCTAGCGGCTGTCAATGAAGACAGCACCACTAGAGGATTTGGGGAAGGCTTAACATTGATAAACATAGCAGTTTCTCTGAAACTGCTATGTTTATGAAACAATGGGTTAACCCTAGAAGGACCTGGCACCCAGACCACTTCAGTAAGCTGAAGTGGTCTGGGTGCCTAGAGTGGTCCTTTAACTCACTGAGGGTTATTTTATATATATATATATGTGTGTGCTGTATATGTGTGGCAGTGTGCTGTATATGTGTGGGAGTGTGCTGTGTGTGTGAGTGAGGGTGCTGTGTGTGTCTGGGGGTGTGCTGTGTGTGTCTGGGGGTGTGCTGTGTAGGTCTGGGGGTGCTGTGTGTGTTTGGGGGTGCTGTGTGTGTCTGGGTGCACTGTGTGTGTCTGGGTGCACTGTGTGTCTAGGTGCACTGTGTGTCTGGGTGCACTGTGTGTGTGTGTTTGTGTGTGTCGGGGTGCTGTGTGTGTCTGGGTGCTGTGTGTGTCTGGGTGCTCTGTGTGTTTGGGGGTGCACTGTGTGTCTGGGGGCGCTGTGTGTGTCTGGGGGCGCTGTGTGTGTCGGGGTGCGCTGTGTGTGTTAGGGTGTTGTGTGTGTCTGGGTGCTGTGTGTGTCTGGGTGCTCTGTGTGTTTGGCGGTGCACTGTGTGTCTGCGGGCGCTGTGTGTGTCTGGGGGCGCTGTGTGTGTCTGGGGGTGCTGTGTGTGTCGGGGTGCGCTGTGTGTGTCTGCACTGTGTGTCTGGGTGCTGTGTGTGTCTGTGTGGTGCTGTGTGGGTGCTCTGTCTGGGTGCTGTGTGTGTGTGAACGTATTTTTTATTTAAATATATATTTATTAATAAAAAAAAAAAAAATGATATCACCCCCCCTCCCTTCTTACCTTTATCCTGGGAGGGGGGGAGGAGATCCGTTCTGTCATGCTTCCCTGGTGGTCCAGTGGTGAGAGTGAACTCTAACCTGCAGGTTAGAGTTCACTCTCGCGAGATCTGAGCGTTGCCGCGGTAACCGCGGCAACGCTCAGAATCCCGCGAGAGGACCCGGCGGAGCTGCTTGTTAGAGCTCCACCGGTCCTCCCTCCCTCACCCAGCCGGCGGCCGCATCTCCATTCCTGTGGGCCGGTGAGGGAGATGTTTGATCTCCCCACCGGCCCACGGAGGCACACAGTGGGGCCGGCGCTCGGATACGGCCGGGGAGATCCTGTGATCTCCCTGCCGGCCTCGGCCCCACGGCCATCGCGGCCCACCGGGCATTTGCCCGGTATGCCCGATGGCCAGTCCGGGCCTGTCCATAACCAAGGAGGGAGGGTGGGAAATTTAGCCAGGTTCCCTCTAACATCTCTGCTGACTGGTAAGTCTCCACCCCACTTCTCTTCACAACAAACAAACAAACAAACATCCCTCTTCCAAGCATCTCTTTAATATAATTATATTCCTAATTTCTGTTTAATGGGGCCATAAATAAAATAATGCATGGTAAAAAAAAAGTAAAAGTGAGTAGAAATGGAAATGAAGGGGGGCCTAGACAATTGAGCTTACAATCTAGAGGAAATGGGGTACTGGACTACACGAGGTGAAGACCAACTTGTCCAGAAGGCGAGCAAAAATCATCAGGCATGATGCCTGCATCTAATTAAACATATGTACGTTTATGTGAGCTAAATCATATTTTTAGCTGTGTGTTCCTTAGTTTTTGCTTACTTTTCACACATTAGAAAGAACTATTCAGAGTTTCCCTTTTCTCTTTATTTCATTTTTCTCTTCTTTTTTTTTTTTAATGGATTTTGTAATGGAGATATTTTATTATGTTAAAGCCAGACAAAGAGTGTTGCTCTATAAACAGATCCTGGCTTCCCCAATCAGATGGGAAAATCTAGATACAGTAGAACACACAAATCGTCTTGACTTTATGTATGTTGTATTTTTGATTTTTATCTAGTTCTTTATTATAAGTAAACATTTAGTTTTTTGTTTTTTTGCACTGGTTAACCTGTATATGAACTCACATCTGTGCAAGTTTATTATCCTGTGCTTATCTCTGCTGCTATTTCATAGTGACCTTAAAGAAATGTATATTTTTGTTTCGATAACTCATCACAAGGAAGCACAAAAGGCCTCTTTCTAAATATCAGTGCATCCTCTTAACACATCCTGTTCTAGGAGAGATGCAATTCCCATAAATGTTCAATAAAGTATTGTCTCTTAAAGGGACACACATCTACTAATGGATACTAGTAATGTGATTTAAATGACCCATACTTACCCCTATTATATGGACATCTGCAGGTCCTCCCACAAAATTGCTGCTATCTATAAATGTCCACTATGGGGAAGATTTACTAAAACATTTCTCTGAATACAAAATAAAAGTGAAACATTTTCACCATAGAACTCAAAAGAACCTATTGGAACATTTCTTTTGTTTGAAAAAATGGGTTTGTTTGAAAAAATAAAAATAAAATCACAATCCATAGCTAACGTGTTGTCAGGTTGTGACTTCAATGCGTCTGTTTATTAATGCATTACAGAAGGTTGTTAAATTATATGCTGGATTTTAGAAATCCCATTATACTTTACAAACGCCCAATATATATTTTTATAATTCTGCTATTATACTATATATATGTTCCTTCTCAATAAGTAATACATACATGTCTTTTTAGAATGATTGAACTCAGCAGCACACACTCTCTGACATCTGAGAGAACTAATATTCCTTCCTTTTTAATATTAAATCTAAATACTTTGTAGACTGACAAATATGCAAACTGTAATATAAATACTCTGAGTTGAGGAGGATTTTAAGATGAATGAACAAAAGGATGAATTGGGGACAGACAGTGACCGTGCCCCAAGGCTATAAAGCCAGACTATTTCATATGATGTGAGGAAGCACACAGAATGGAACGCCTTGTGGCTTATTTACTAAACAGTATGTTTTAATGAGAGAACTAAAATAGCCACTTTAGAAAACTGCTCCAACTCAGCCCTTTTTCTGTCGCCCACATTGAGTGCTAGCTCTCTTTTTAGTGAATAAACATCAAAATGAGCATAACAATTTACAAAAACGCATGTCTTATTCCGAATCTATTCCCCCCATGTATCATCTTTATTGAAGTTTCAATGTACAAGGCATACAAAGAACACAACATATGGATAGCCTATAAGAAAACAGCATCTCAAGTTAATTGTTCTGTGATATTTGAAGACAGGCAAGCATATTGTTTAGTAGTTTATCTCAAGTTCAAGCATTGCTTTACCACTTTGCCAACAGTAGGTGGATCTAAAAGCTAGACTTAGGCCATGTACATAAGATGGATTGTCTCCCAGGTGCTCTGAGAAAATTACATATTGAAAACGAAAATAGATTATTTGAAATAGTTAATTTGGAGGGGAGAGAAGAGGGGACCACTCTGGCTGTTAGGATGACTTCTGTGGTAGAATTGATCACAAGGTTGCCAGGTTGTTGGGAATCTTCCAGTGGCATTCAACATCATATGATCCATCTCTCGTGGATTGTAGCATATCGACGAGTGAAGCGATCAGTGGTTGTCACGGGAGTGAATTTAGGTTGTAAGCTCTGACCTCCATTACAATCAAATTAATTCCTTTTGAAATTGAAAATACCACCTATACCAGGAAGCCAGTTCATATATACACGAACATTTTCGTTTTACCAGACTGATCTGAGCGCTTTTTGGAGATGTTTTGCGCTCAGATTGGGGCTATTCGGGAATACAATTTTTGTGGGGTTCCGATGCTGTTGTTATGTATTTTTGTGATATGTGAAAATTGAATGTAAATTTTGCTATTTGAGAGATAATTGGATTAGCTTAATTGGAGCTCAATTATCTCTCAAACACAATGGCTTGTGGTAAGGAAACCCCTGTGATTTTGTATTAGAAACCCCATGCTAGGGGCACTGCATAAGAAGCCGAGTGTGGCCAAATAAAGTTCAGATTGCTGCTTTTATCCAATACGATTTGCTGTGTCCATTATACACAAAGGGAATACTTTCACTATATTCAGCACATTGGGAATAAGGACTAGTGGAGGATTGAAGGACTAACAGCAATAGACTCATGAGAGGGGATATGATAACTTTATACAAATATATTCGGGGCCAGTACAAACCTTTATCTGGAAATCTATTCATAAACAGGGCTATACATAGGACACGAGGTCACACATTTAGGCTGGAAGAAAGGAGATTTCATCTAAGGCAAAGAAAAGGTTTTTTTACAGTAAGAGCAATAAGGATATGGAATTCTCTGCCTGAAGAGGTGGTTTTGTCAGAGTCACTACAGATGTTTAAACTGCAATTGGATAAGTACTTACAAAAACATAACATACAGGGATATAATTTCTAATTTGTGGGGTAATAGCTACTTGATCCAAGGAGACATCTGACTGCTATTTTGGGGTCAAGAAAGAATTTTTTCCTAGTTTGTTGCAAAATTGGAAGCGCTTCAAACTAGGTTTTTTGCCTTCTTTTGGATCAACAGCAACAACATATGTGAGGAAGGCTGAACTTGATGGACTCAAGTCTCTTTTCAGCTATGTAACTATGTAACCCGTGACAGTGGTGGTAGCAGCAAATTCCAGGACTTAGCTATATTTAATCTTGCTGCCAGGATTAGGAACCCTGTAATAGGATGGAGGACGATGGGCGCTTTGTTGCCTCCTGTCAATGTTGGTAGCATGTCTAGCAGAAAGTATTGTGGTGCTAATGGAACTTTGATGTGTAGAACGTTCTCTAGTAATCTGCCAACATATTTCCAATAATTGTTCAGCTGTGTGGATCATTGTTCCCGGTTCTTATTGGCACCTCCAAAAGAGCTTTGAGGAGTTTGGTTATACAGGGAGTGCAGAATTATTAGGCAAATGAGTATTTTGACCACATCATCCTCTTTATGCATGTTGTCTTACTCCAAGCTGTATAGGCTCGAAAGCCTACTACCAATTAAGCATATTAGGTGATGTGCATCTCTGTAATGAGAAGGGGTGTGGTCTAATGACATCAACACCCTATATCAGGTGTGCATAATTATTAGGCAACTTCCTTTCCTTTGGCAAAATGGGTCAAAAGAAGGACTTGACAGGCTCAGAAAAGTCAAAAATAGTGAGATATCTTGCAGAGGGATGCAGCACTCTTAAAATTGCAAAGCTTCTGAAGCGTGATCATCGAACAATCAAGCGTTTCATTCAAAATAGTCAACAGGGTCGCAAGAAGCGTGTGGAAAAACCAAGGCGCAAAATAACTGCCCATGAACTGAGAAAAGTCAAGCGTGCAGCTGCCACGATGCCACTTGCCACCAGTTTGGCCATATTTCAGAGCTGCAACATCACTGAGTGCCCAAAAGCACAAGGTGTGCAATACTCAGAGACATGGCCAAGGTAAGAAAGGCTGAAAGACGACCACCACTGAACAAGACACACAAGCTGAAACGTCAAGACTGGGCCAAGAAATATCTCAAGACTGATTTTTCTAAGGTTTTATGGACTGATGAAATGAGAGTGAGTCTTGATGGGCCAGATGGATGGGCCCGTGGCTGGATTGGTAAAGGGCAGAGAGCTCCAGTCCGACTCAGACGCCAGCAAGGTGGAGGTGGAGTACTGGTTTGGGCTGGTATCATCAAAGATGAGCTTGTGGGGCCTTTTCGGGTTGAGGATGGAGTCAAGCTCAACTCCCAGTCCTACTGCCAGTTCCTGGAAGACACCTTCTTCAAGCAGTGGTACAGGAAGAAGTCTGCATCCTTCAAGAAAAACATGATTTTCATGCAGGACAATGCTCCATCACACGCGTCCAAGTACTCCACAGCGTGGCTGGCAAGAAAGGGTATAAAAGAAGAAAATCTAATGACATGGCCTCCTTGTTCACCTGATCTGAACCCCATTGAGAACCTGTGGTCCATCATCAAATGTGAGATTTACAAGGAGGGAAAACAGTACACCTCTCTGAACAGTGTCTGGGAGGCTGTGGTTGCTGCTGCACGCAATGTTGATGGTGAACAGATCAAAACACTGACAGAATCCATGGATGGCAGGCTTTTGAGTGTCCTTGCAAAGAAAGGTGGCTATATTGGTCACTGATTTGTTTTTGTTTTGTTTTTGAATGTCAGAAATGTATATTTGTGAATGTTGAGATGTTATATTGGTTTCACTGGTAATAATAAATAATTGAAATGGGTATATATTTGTTTTTTGTTAAGTTGCCTAATAATTATGCACAGTAATAGTCACCTGCACACACAGATATCCCCCTAACATAGCTAAAACTAAAAACAAACTAAAAACTACTTCCAAAAATATTCAGCTTTGATATTAATGAGTTTTTTGGGTTCATTGAGAACATGGTTGTTGTTCAATAATAAAATTAATCCTCAAAAATACAACTTGCCTAATAATTCTGCACTCCCTGTATGTGGGCCAGTATGGAAGGTACCATGTAGATTGGGGTTACCTCCAGCTCTGCAAGCGGTTCACGAAGTTTGATCATTAGTCGTATGTTCTTTACCTGGAGGTAGGTGAACATGTGAGATGGCGGTAAGTTATAGGTAGAACACAATTGTGGTAATGGAATATAATATTGCTGGGTGAGTAATTGCTGTATGTTGGTGATCCATGCTGTTATCCATGTATCTATTGGGAGATCTGGTGACAGTAAACTAAGAGAGCTTGTTGGTGCAAATAGTAATCCTGAAGTATGTGGAATTAACTTTGCAAGCCAAGTGCACCAGGTCTGTAGCGTAAAGGATGATGTTCTTAAGATAGCTGTAGGTATTGTTTTGTGATTATTTGGATGTCGCATGATTTGGCACATCGTGAAAGGTGAGATATGCTTCCTCCAGATGCACCCACATAGGCGAGAGATAAATGCTCCAGTTTGTGAGAGAATGGTTGTGTTATCATTTTAGCGTATATCCGGGACCACTGTGCGTCAGATATACAACTTGATCAGTAGCTAAAAAGTTTTTAGTAAGGTTTTGGGCAAGCAGATTGGGAGAATTCTAAATAGATTTAGTATTTGAGGCAAAATGCTTGTTTTTATACAGTGTATCCTTCCCACCCACGAGATGTTTCCAGTAGTAATTTTATTTTGACTAGCAGTTTGTTATACTTAGCCTGTATAAGGGCAGCTTTTGTGATAGCTATTTAAACCCCCAGGTATTCTAGGTGTTGTCCCCCCAATCAAACTGGTATGGGCTTTGTAGTTTTTATATGGTTAGTATGGTGAGGCATAGTGGAAGGGCTTGTGTCTTACTGGCTTTGTTTTTGTAGTATGAAATGCAACCATATTCGGTAAGTGTGTTGTTCAGCGTTGGTAAGGATTTTATGGGCTGCAACAAAGTTAATAGAATATAGTTAGGAAAAAATTATAATTTCTGTTGGCCTATGCGTGTATCTATGCCTGGAATGGTGTCATCTGATTTGACCTTATAAAGGTACTCCTCACTTACCGACTGGGTTCTGTTACTATGACCCGGTCATTAAACGAATTGGTCGGTAAGTGAGGAGTTAAGGGATTCCCTGCTCTGGTGCACTTGTCTACACTTGGGCAAATTTCCCCAAGCGTAGACGAACGCACCAGAGCAGGGAATCCCTCTAACCTATGTTCCGGCAAATTTACCCGAACATAGATTTAAGGGATTCCCTGCTCTGGTGCGCATGTTTGTGTTCAGGGACATTTCCCCAAACATAGATGAACGCACAAGAGCCGGGAATCCCTCTAATCTATACTCAGCGACATTTTCCTGAACATAGATTAGAGGGATTCCCTGCTCTGTTGCGTTCGTCTATGTTCGGGGAAATTTCCCAGAACATAGACGAATGCAGCAGATCAGGGAATCCCTCTAATTCCCACGACAGCTCGTCGTAAAACAGGTAGGTCACAAAACGAAGACCACCTGTATACTAAGAGCTTTAGGGCTAGCAGAAAGATGAGGGGGTCGAGTGGGCACCCTTGTCTCCTCTCATTAGTAATCTGCCGAGGTGTTGAGAGAAATCTGGAGTTTAAGATTTCTGATGGTAAGACGTATAATCTCATTATGGCTTTGAGAAAGGATAGTGGAAAATGTTTTTTTTTAACGTGTGTTGCATATATATAGCCAGTTTAGCCTTTTTGGCCTCTAAGGTGATGAAGATGCTAGGTTTGTTATTTCTTTTGATAATCTCTTAAAGGATAAGACCTATAATCTAAGACTTATGTGTGTGCCAGGTGGTTGGATTTTAGGTTGTTTTATATGAGCTGAGGGAAAGTACTCTGTTATTTGTGCCACTATTCTCTCTTTTATGTGAGGATCTTTAAGCAGGAAGTTCTTCAATGTCCATTGTCCCTAACCTGTAGCTGGGTAGTGTGTTGTGAATGAGGAGATGGTTGGAGCATGGTCTGCCCTTGTGATGGATCCTATTTTAGAGTGTACCTGTGATTAAAGTGTGAGAGAATCTACCAAACAAAGGTCCATGCGTGAGTATTTGTGGTGTGCTGCAGAGATATAGGAAGAATCAATTTCCTTAGGGTCATATATCACCTCAACATGTCATATAGCCAAAATTTGGAACGTAATTTTTAATGATTTATTGAACTTGATGGCTTGTCTCGTGTGTGGACGGTTCTGATAATTTTTGGCATCTAAATGTTGGTCAGAAGTGCAATTGATATCTCCCAGTTTCAGAAATCATCCCTTTTTGATATAGTGTGATTTCTGAAAACTACTAGATAGGAAGGACATCTGGTGTTCATTTGTAAGGTTTTGGAATTTAAGGAGTCTACTATTATGAGCAGGCGCACGGCCGGGTTATTGTATTGATCACCTCATGAGAAACTCCAGTTTTGTGAAATAGTATATAGCACCCTTTGTTTGGTTAGGAAAGTATGCATGGAACCCTACTGGTTACTACGGTGAGGAGAATTTTGATTGGTTGATCTTGCAAAAATGCATTTCTTGACAACGTATGATAGCTGCCTGTAACTTGGTTGCATCCCATATGAGTTGTTTCCACTTGTATGGGCTATTGAACCCTATAGCGTTCATCAAGTAGATAGTAAATGATTGGGTTATCAGGGATGACTGGTATTTGAACGGAATTATGAATTGGTTCCCAGATGCAAGTATCCAGTGCTGTACTCGGACACAAGGGCCGCCATCCGGGCATGACAACCATGACGGTTGTCATAGGCCCAGCTGTCCTGGCGGGCCCGGGCTGCTTTGGCAGTCCCGGTTGCCATATTCCCTATGTGCACATATATATAGCGATTCTTGTATGCGATTCTTCTATGTATTTATATATATATATGCATTGCGGGCCCCCTGTACATTGCAGAGGGGGCTCAGCACACTCTGTGTACCCTTTCCAGCTCCTCTTTTTTTAACTTTTGTGAACCCTTCGGTCATCTGAGCGTTTCCATGGATTACTATGTCAATGCTCCATACAGCATGCACACTGGTCTTGTGAGAGTTAGACTGAGATGCCTGGAAAGGGAACACAAAGTGTGCTGAGCCCCCTCAGCAATGTACAGCGGCTGGCTCCCTCCACCATGCCACCGGACCACCAGGGAATGTGATCTTCCCCTCCCAGGCCAGGTAAAAAGCTGGGAGAGGGGAAATAAAATAAAATATACACACATAAATGTAAACTCCCACCCCCTATTTTATACACACACTACATCCTTATACAAGCACACACTCTGCACTCACTACACACACACAACATTCAGTATACACACTCTGCACTCACTACAAACACACTACTTTCACAACACACATTCTGCAGTAAACTCAGAACAGGCCCTGTGGGTTGACTCGGGTGTGGGCCCCAGAACTTGGGCTGTATTAGGGGCCTCAAAATTTCTGATGGCAGCCCTGCATGGGCATACCCATCCAGGAGCCACCCATCTCTCCATATCCTCTGGTCCCACAGTCTCCTCAGGAAGGGAGGGAAAAAACAGAGGGGGACAGAACAAATCATTAAGAACATTTCTAGAAAAGAAAACAAATATTTTGAACAACACAAATCAAACCCCTATAAGTATAAAAGAGGGCAGCAACCGAAATAGTTGGCAATGATGGTACATATGATTGTCTCATGGGGCGAAGTTCGGTTGGCCTTCAATTATTAAAGGACCACTATAGTGCCAGGAAAACATACTCGTTTTCCTGGCACTATAGTGCCCTGAGAGTGCCCCCACCCTCAGGGTCCCCCTCCTGCTGGGCTCTAGGGGGTGGAAGGGGTTAGACTTACCTCTTTCTCCAGCGCCGGGCAGGGAGCTCTCCTCCTCCTCTCCCCCTTCTCGGCTGAATGCGCATGCGCGCTCATTCAGCCAGTCTCATAGGAAAGCATTCACAATGCTTTCCTATGGACGCTGGCATCTTCTCACTGTGGTTTTCACAGTGAGAAGCATGCAAGCGCCTCTAGCGGCTGTCAATGAGACAGCCACTAGAGGCTGAATTAACCCTATTATAAACATAGCAGTTTCTCTGAAACTGCTATGTTTATAGAAGAAAGGGTTAATCCCAGCTGGACCAGGCACACAGACCACCTCATTAAGCTGAAGTGGTCTGGGTGCCTATAGTGGTCCTTTAACCTGAAAAAAGTAGCTGATAAACAACCATAACAAAACTAAATGATAAGGAATGTTATGTAACAACTACAATTGCTTGTGTAAGGAAACATTATAATAGCAAACAGTCACTAGTACAATTTTATTAATTAAAAGAAAATTTTAGTTATCTTTTCTTTGTCTCTTTTTTTTTTTTTTTTAACATAAAATTATTATATTGCATGAAAAGGATATGTTATCCAATAAACATTCCCTGGTGAGAGCTCTAGGATAACCAAACAGAATGGAAACCACGACAGGGTAAAAAGGAAACACAGCGAGGGGGTTTAACTAGCCTATTCTGCACTGTTATTGGTGGGCAGGGATCATATGATTCCTAAACGTACGCGCGCTGATGACGTTGCGACGCACACACGTCCGTTTTACTCCTAACCCCGCCGGAGCCTTGGCTATATAGGGCTGCAGTATTCCAACTGCTGGTGCCCATAGAAACACGCGCTTGCTGTGGATGGACGCTCCAGCGGATCGGGCTGTGATCCGCCGCGTCAGAGGTAAGACAAAGGACTTAGTGGAGTGACCGCTCCGATCGGGTGAGGTCACGTGTATGGAGCCGTGACACCATTGCTCCATACTAGTAGCTTGGTGTTGTAACCCCAGTTATAGTTCGTTTTATTGTTTCTCTTCTCAAAATCTGTGTGGTGGGGCCTAATTTGCTTGTTTTAGCCATTGTGTCTGCACAAAGATCACCTTCTTTGAGGTGTAGTAGTGCAGCCTAACTATAACATCTTGTGGCATGTCAGGAGGCAACAAATGTGATCTGGCCATTCAGTGAGCTCTATCTATCCTCCACTTTGCATTTTCATGTCCTTGTATTATGGTTTTAAGTACTGACAGGAGGAAGGCCAGTAATTCCGCCCAGGGGACTTTTTCTGGTATCCCTCAAACTCTCAGATTGTTCTTCCTTGATCCATCTTCAGCATCTGCTACCTACTGTATAAGTGTATAATGGCTGGATTCTAGAGAATTAACCTTCTCTACTACTTCATTATGAACTTTGCATAACTCACCACATTTACCTTCCCAGGTATCTGTTCTTATTCCTTTTCTGTTGCTAGAAGAGCTTCGCATAATTTGTAGAGGATCTTCGACTCCGAAGCAGTGTCGGATAATGGCGATGGGCCTCTTCAGGGGCACTGTCTTGGGTTGAAGAGGTGCTTCAGCCTCCGAGGACTTGGGATGCTTATTTGGGCTCATCACTGGAACCGGTAGGTATATACTCGCTATGCGATTTAGGTTTTTGATGGGAGCTCAGCCAAGCAAGGACATGCCCTCTATCTTAATTTATTTTGATATAACATCCAACTTGGTTATACCAAATCTTCTAATAATATTTTATAAATTGACAGCAATTATCGTTTTTCGTTTTTTGTATACTGGGATACTGACATACAGCAATTTTGGTCACCAAAAATCTAAAACAAAAATACTTTGCTCTAGAAGAGAAAGGAAACTGTATCAAGCAGCGTAAGTGACAGTGTAAATGGAGACTTCTAGAGTAGAAGTTACAAAAGAGATAGAACACAAAACCAATGAGGAATAATGGTCTGAAATGTGTTAGGCAACTCTTTACTGGCTATCCTTGTGTGTTTACCTTCTGGAATTTGGTAAAGCCACTTTTATATTGTTTCGGAGAACATTTTATGATGAGTGATTGTCAAGTGAGCTCTTTTGAAGCTCTTGTTTTGGATGCTATTGTAGGCATTTTGTCTATCTGGGAGTGAAACTCAAATTTTTGTGACTCTGCACTCATTATTGGTCACTTTCCTGTTGATATCTGGACCCCCTTAATTTGGCATCACATTTAATTTGGCATCACACTATAAGAATTAAATTGTATTTTGGTTGTAGTTTGACATACATACAGTAATTTCAAAAAATAGTTTTTCATGTTTATAGTAAAGTAACCAGATTACATTTAAATAGTTTAAGTTTAGTTTAATATAATCTATCAGAATGTGACAAATAAAGTCATGTAAACAAAACAATTTGTGAAATACAAGTAACTGTATGAAATCTGTAATCGATATTATGCTAAAAGTAGCCTTTAATATTAAAATGAAACACGCCAAAAGTGTCTTAATACGATCCCGTCTATTCAAATCGTTTTAGAAAATCTATCAGTCTTCTTCCCAAAATTCACTTTAAAAGGAATTATGTTAATATAGACTTTATTATTTTTATTGCAAAAAGGAAAATGATCTGGCCACTGTCTTTCAAATGTCTTTTGGCATTGATTTCTACAATGAGACAATACACATTATATAACTGCACCAAAAGCTGTAAGGAGGCTGCTACAGGGACTCATAGAGAGAACTAAAAGTGTGCAATGAAGAGACATTAATTTGGGATTTCACAGCAAAATGGGTATTTGTAGCAGAAAGTTCAGGAAAGCAGTCAGGGAGGTTTTTATAGACACTCAAACATATGGCAATGAAGAATGTATTCCCTCATATGGGATAACACTAGACCTCCGTGAACCTGTGCGTTTTTTGCCAGAATTATTCAGCGGCATCAAATTCCATGGAATATCCCTCACACCAAGTAGCAGTTATCCAACTTTTTTTATTCTAGTATTTTACACAAAAATCTGTTAATTATTACTTAATGGAAATTAACACTTCACGTCGGATTTTGAATAAAAAATAAATTTTAATTCCTTCTCTATATTTGTTTCTGGCACAAGTGAACTTCTGCTATCAGATATAACAGCATGCACCAAATTACATTTGCTGATGTACCATGATGGCATGTCCTAGGAATGAAATTAAAGGACCCTCTTCATTTGTTTCCCATTTTGAACAAGTGGATCCAGCTGCCCCTCCGAAGGCTAGGGGATGGGATTAACTGCAGCCATAGAAAGGTTTCACGCTTGTGTTATGATGCCTTGAAATGAAAATTCCCAAGCTGAGCACAAATTGATTCACTCTGCTGGATTTTGAATATGAGTATTCAATATCTTAAATAAAACCCATTTCTTATTTTTTTCATTTAATGTTCAAATAGCAACATTTTCTGAGCTGGCGAGATATCTCTATTGGTTAATGCACATTTAAATTGCCAGGTTGTAGGTTTGAAATAAAAACAAAAAAAAAGTATATTTTAGTAAAATACTAATATTCAAAGAATGGAACAGTTGCATTGAAAAGAATTTGCAACGTTTAACAATTATTTAAAGATACATACACAATACACTCATAAGACCTCAAAGAGCGTATTTTGTATAATTTAATAATTTTTCACAGACATATTTTGTATTTAAAGCAACACGCTAATGTTAAAAATAAAAATATAATTGTTCTGATGATATAGAGATGAGCAGTCCTGAGAAGCTGCCAGATTTGAACTTCAAAAGATTCTGAATTAAATGTACTATGAACAGATTAAATTATGCGCGAACCGCGAAGAGTACATGGTGGCTTAATGCTGCATTGGGCGCACACACTGCAGTCTATATGAGACCTTTTTGTACTTAATTATTTTAATCAAATGTGGTTTATTGTGTTAATAAATTGGATGTGAATAGTTTGGGTATTCCGAGAAATAATTTGGAACGTTGGTGACTACCTGTAAGGTCACAGAATAGCTCCAACTTTAATGCAGTTCAAATTATTATAATTTTGCACAATGTTGCACCAAAAGCCTTTCTCCTCAGCCATGCCCCTCATGCCAGACAGACAGACAGACTTCCTTTTAAGTATATGTACACAGCTCAGTCCCCGACAGCACTGAGTGTACTTTTTTCATTCACAACCTGGCTGCAGACAATCAGAGCAGTGGCGGATCCAGGGGGGCGCAATGGGGCAATTGCCCCCCCCCCGAGAGCCAATGCTCTCTCCTGCAGGGCCAGTGCTGTCCAATGCTCCGTTCTCGCGAGAGTGAACTCTAGCCTCAGGAGGTGCAGGCTAGAGTTCACTCCCCACTAGAACCACCAGGGATTACAAGCAATATCCCCCCTCCCTGGGCAAAGGTAAGAAGGGATGGGGGATTATAAATAATATTTTATTAATTAAAAAAAACAAAAACAATTTGTTTTACACTGCCCCCACAGCCCCCCATACACACTACCCCACTAAACACACTGCCCCACAGCCCCCCATACACACTGCCCCACTAAACACACTGCCCCCCATCCCCCATACACACTGCCCCACCAAACACACTTTCCCCAGAGCCCCCATACACACTGCCCCCACAGCCCCTATACACACTGCCCCACCAAACACACCCCCACAGCCCCCCCATACACACTGCCCCACCAAACACACTTCCCCACAGACCCCCATGCACACTGCCCCCACAGCCCCCCATACACACTGCTCCACCAAACACACTTCCCTACAGCCCCCATCTGTCCCCACAGCCCCCATACACACAAACACTGCACCCCCATACACACACTTCCCCAACTGCACTCCCATACACACATTGCCCCCACTACACCTTCATACACACACTGGCCCCATACACACAGTGCTTCCACTGCACCCCACATATACACACTGCACTCCCATGAACACACTACACCCCTCACACAAACACACACTGCCCCTCCTTCACACAGTGCTCCCACTGCACCCCTATAGACACACTGGCCCACATGCACTGCCTCCCGTACACACACACACACACACACACACAAACACACACACACACTCTGTACCCCTCACACACTGTCTCCCATACCCACCCTGCATCCTTCACACACTCCCATATATACACACAGACACACACACACACACTGCCTACTCTCACACACACACACTACGAGAGGCTCTATCCCGATCCTGGCAGACCCCAGGTAAATTGTCAAATTGTTAAACTGTTTGACTATTTACTTTGGGAGGGCGCCACGGCACTCCTGGCACCATTATTATTGTGCCTGGATTGTTTCTTTAAATAATCTATGAGTGTCCCTCCCGAGATAAGACTCTGGATCCGCCAGTGAATCAGAGAAACTATAATCAGGTAGTGATATCCTTACTCTATGTCTCCCCAAGTGTCGTCTCCTTCTAATGCACATTACTTTGTACATCAGGTCAGTAATGTCAGTGGATGAGCTGTATGCATACATTGTAATAAGGTAGACATTATTTTTTTAGTGAGGGAACGTGTCCAAGGAGGCAGGCTTATGGTGCAGCATTCTGCAAATCATTTGTCCATGCTCAAATATATAAAGATATTAATGAGGCTAACACGTATCACATACATCAAAGTTGTATTAGTGCCAGGAGTTAATATTTAAAGGGAATGTTGTTTTGGTACCCTTTAAATATGCAGTCACAATAAATGGCAACTTTTGGCCTGGGTAAATTTCATACCAGATCTGCATGCCAGACGATGTCCCCTGACAGTCCTGGCCACTCTCCTGCGATCCGGCGATCCCCATGCAATGACAATGGCGCAGAACGCTCCAGCTTTTCATCCCTTTATCCTAGTCATGACCCACGTCTTGTGTGGGCACCCTGCCAGAACTCTTTGTCCATATACAGTGGATTGTGTTTGTTTTTGTGCACAATGTGACAGAGGGCCTATACTAAGCCTTTGTGACCTCTTTTCATTACCATGTTATGGTTATCGCTAGCCTGAGAGTGCATTTCTATTTTCTTGCTATTTTTGGTAACTGACTTGGCTTTGTTTAAGAGTTTATTCTATTTTTTGATATTCCTAACCCTTAGCGCTGTTATATTCATTTACACATCTGTCTCCAACCCTGTATCTGACTATTCTCTATACCTTATATTATATACGTTACATCGGGCCACTCTAAGGCCTGGTAAAATGTCTTTATTTTGTATAAGATTATACTTGCCTTACTATTTGCGAGTTAGGGCATTTGAATGAACGGCCTGTTTATGAGCATGCAACTCACAGGGACATCAAACATATTCATTGTAGTCTGGCAACCTGGTCAGGCTAAGAGACTGCAGTACACTGGAGAAATATGCAGTGGGCAAGTCGAGGATGGGAGACCATTGACAGCAAAGGCTACCAGTCAATTCACAAACCCACACGGTACAGGGCTAGTAAAATCCCAGCACAATTCCTGCCTGCTGCATCACTCTTGCTCAAACATACATCCCAACACACTTCTTATCATTTTAGTTTTCAAAAGAATTGTGTGAGACTGCAACGTAAAACCCCTTTTACCAGCCCTCTAATCCTAGTGGCCCTGGGGGCAATTGTTCCTCTGCTCTTCTTGCCAGACCTTCCATTCATGGCAAGGCCAGATTTTGGTCTATGCTGTTTTAATTCTTTATGGAACACTTATAAATGTAGAACTGGTCATCACCTAATTCTAGCTATAGAATAATAAAGGATTATTATTTGAGCATTATTGTGGAACATACCACATTAATATTCACTTGATCACTTATCATAAGACATCAGGAGATGGAGAACAGTGTGAGGGAGCCCATGGACAGCGATTATCCTTTATCCTTTGAGATAGAAATGAGTGCTGGGAACTTGTACAAACCATCACTAGGTTATTGAAATAAAGAATGTGTAAAAACAGTATCTTCAAAGTGATAATATATTTAAGAACATGTCTTTACACTACAGTTTAACCCCTTAAGGAAACATGTCGGAAATATTCCGTCATGATTCCCTTTTATTCCAAAAGTTGTGTCCTTAAGGGGATAAAGACACAGAACACAAAACAAGTTGATACATTGATACATTGTCTCCTTGAAGTTTTCCTCTTTCATATGCAGCATTTTTACTTCCAATATGTTCATTTTCCCTTCAAACTTGAGCCTGTTAAGCCTCACAAATGTTATTCACGAAGCACATTTAAGGTCAAAGCATTATATTTTATATACATTTCAACAATATGACTTTGGCTTTAGCTCCTACAGTCAAGGCTGTTTTTCACTGTTCTAATGATATAAAAATGTTTTCTACTATAAAGTTACCAGACATTACTCGAAGTATGATATTTGAAACTGTTCAATATTTCTACATTTTAAATCTCCTGATATACAAATGGTACCCATCTGAATTTGCTGTATTTAAATATAAAGCTGAATTGTTACAAATTCATACATGGAGGTGTTTTTGACATAAACCTCTGTTATGTATATTCAGGAGCACTCATAATTTTGGCAGAAGTAGTTTGGAAAGATTGTAGCTTGTACAATATTTATTTTGTCTTGCCAACAGATTCATCACCACACAAAATAATACAGATGCAATTTATAATTGTGGTGATGTTGCATAATTTAAACATTATTATGGGATCTGAGACAGTACTGTGATCAAACCAAGATATTGTAAATCCAGATGCCGAAAGAGATTAGAACATTTATAGAAATATGCTTTCTGTATGCAGAGACCCATAACATCTTAATGTTACTACTTTGTATATGTGTGTGTGTGTGTGTGTTAAAATGATATTCCATGTTCTACAGCTAACTATTGTCTTTGTATTGTGTATGGTGCAATACGATTCCCTCACCCAGTCATCTTTTGTTCTATCATTTAAAACTTCAATGGTTTGCAAAGATATATAGCCCCACAGTTGTATTTGTGAAATCATAGGTGGACTTCAAAGCTTCATGTCCCACTACTCCCTGCATCATATGGGTTGTGGGATAGTGTATTTATTAAAAAGTGTCAGGATATCCTTGAGCCTCTATTAAAGGGACACTATAGTCACCAAAACAACCACTGAAGCAACTTAGCTTAACAAAGCAGTTTTTGGTATATAGATCATGCCTCTGAAGTTTCACTGCTCAATTCTCTGCCAGTTAGGAGTTAAATCACTTTTGTTTCTGTTTATGCAGTTCTAGCCACACCTTCCCTGGATGTGACTGGCACAGCCTGCATAAAAACAAGATGGTTTTATTTTCAATCAGATGTAACTAACTTTATTTTTATTTTTTATCTCCTGCTCTGTAAATTGAGCTTTAATTACACACAGGAGGCTCCTGTAGGGTTTAGCCAACTATAAGCAGAGCAGGAGATAAGACATTCCAAATTAAACATAATTTGCAATAAAGAAAGTGTGAACATTAGATGACTCTTTACAGGACGTTCTTAGCAAGGCTGTGCAAGTCACATGCAGGGAGCTGTGTTTAGAGCCACATAAACAAAGTGATTTAACTCCTAAATGGCAAAGAATTGAGCAGGGAGACAGGGGCATTATGCATACACTAAAACTGCTTCATTAAGCTAAAGTTGTTTTGGTGACTATAGTGTCTCTTTAACCCCTTAAGTACACATGACATGTGTGACATGTCATGATTCCCTTTTATTCCAGAAGTTTGGTCCTTAAGGGGTTAAGCAATGGCATGCTGTGCTGTGCTTGCCCCAGGAGTCCAAGTACTGTTGCCTTTTAAAATGCCAATCCCTCTTCATTAGAGTTCCACTTGGATGCCCTGTCCCTCTGACAAGCCACCCCTCCTACCAATAAAGTAGCTCTGTGATACCCCAGCTTCAACCTCCAATATTGACGAAAGGGAGTATGTTACTGATTAATAATTAATAATGAATTATCATGCATTTAGTAATAATTAATATATATTTTTTTTCAAATAAAATTGACATACTTGTTTTGTGGTGACAGGACAAATCAAATGATACATCTTATAGAAATATCTTTGGCTCATGCTTTGATAAATATTTTTGCAGCTAGCTTACAAGAAAACAGTAGCCTACCACAAAAACCCTCTGGTCTGGCAACATAGATGCAGTGCAATATAACTTTAACCCAATGGTCTATCCTTGCTTTTCTAGTATAATGTGATGGTTGGAAATTCAATACCTTTAGGTCACAAGGCCAATAACACTCAACTAGCAGAGTTTCTGCCTTAATCCCTTCAAACCACTAATTAAAAACAGGAGCATTAACAAATTCCCCTCATGTAGCTTCAAATTTGTGGTGAAAAAAATATATTAAGAGTTTTGGAATCTGTTTGCAAAATGTAATTTTTTCTGAGTCTTAAACTTGAGAAATGTATAAAATTTTGGTTGTGTGGACAATATAATAAGTTTCAGTGGAAAATATATCTTACATTGTATTAAGAATCCAAGCTCCAGAGGTAATAAATCACAATTAAATATTTCAAAATATGTCCAAAATGCAGTGCTGATAACTGCCACTAGGTGGTGGGAGAGCATTAAAAATATTTAATGAATAATAATTTTAAGTTTTCACTCTTTTGTGCAGACATCATATTTTTAGGAAACTATATTTTCCCCTTCCTCGTTTTGCTGTACCAGGATTCATTTTCTGACCCATACGCCTCCGTAAGCTTTTTTAAAAGTACGATTCTATCAGGAAAAGGATTTCATTAAAGAAATCTAAACATTTCTAGTGACTGGCAACTTTTAGCCCAGAAGGCTAGTGCAACCCAGAGACCCGTTGTCACGGCCCCCTGCTTGCCCGCGAGGTGCGGTCGCACCCAACCGGTGCGACCATGCAGAGGAACTGAGCCTACCTGCTCAGCGGCGAGTCGGGAACCTTAATCAATATGGTACCAACCACGCGGTCGCGACCATATATAGCTCTGCCCCCCAGGCCCGCGCGACCGTGCGTGTGACATCATGACGCCGATGCACACTCACGTTCTGGGGTCAGAGATCAACCTCTGACCAATCACAGCCAAAGGAGGGATATTTAAATCTCTGAAGTTCCCTGGTTCATTGCCCTGTCGTGGTTTCCGTTCCTGGTTCTTGAGAGCGCGTTTTCCTGTCCTGATTTTGATATTCCCTATATTTTGACCTTGGCTATTCCTGACTATTCTGATTTCTGGTTTCCCTGGCTTGGCTTTTTAAACGATATTGTGTACTTCTGGCTTCCTTGACCTTGGCTATCCCTTGACCATTCTCTGTCTTTAACATATTAGTCCGGCCATTTTAAGGACCGGTTTACGTTCTATCCTTTTCTATTCTGTCTATGTAGCTGTTACATAGTTCTGCGTGCTGGACCACACTAGCAGTCGTGACACCCATCCAATGTTTGTCCAGGAAAACAAAAGTATGGATGTTGAAAAATTAACTAAATTATTAGAGTGGATAAAGTGGGTGACTTGTAGAGTGGATAAAGTTAAATGCATGTATCACGTCTATTCCTTTTCATTCTTACACAGATTACTAATTCCAGAAAAAGAAGAGCTAATTAGATATGAATTGATACAATATAAATAGGATAACACATTGCATTGTAGCCAAAGACACGTGATAAGGGCTTTGCAATAATATACTACAATTATAGAGGTTAAAAGCCAAACATCTTTCAAGGAACTCTATAGAGTTAGGAATGCAAACCTGTAGAGATAGGGCACACCCAGGGAGCCACAAAAAATTTGTTAATGTTTTACTTGTTTCCAATGCCAAGCTTTCTTTAATGCTGCTGCCCGCTCCGCCTCCACAACGTCATCATGAAGGTGTTGCTTCTTCAGCAATCGTCCAATCCAATGCACATGCGCATGTCCAATCAAATATTTATTGTGGGAAAACATTGAATGCTTTCCTTTGAGCCACATTTGATGATGTCTGTGTGTCTATAAGGCATCTAGTGTATGTGTTGAGGTACCAGAGTGTTTATAGGGGACTTAGTGTGTATCAGAAATGCAGTGTAGGTAGTGCACAGTGTGTCTACAGGGGATCTAGTGCATGTGTGTAGGGTATCCACTGTGTGTAAGAGGTGCAGTGTGTGTGTGTGAATTTGTTATTTGGGATACTGCCTGATTTGGGGTGAAGGGGAGGAATATTCTGCACCTAGCCATACTTTAGATCAGAGCCTCCTGGGTCCCCCTTCTCCTACTGTAAGGTGCTCTGAACCAATGATGGAGATGTTTTATCTCCCTAGCTGCTGTGAAGGCACACAGCAAGGTCTGCGCTTGGATAGCACTAACCCAGTAGGAAGTGGCAGGGAGATCTTCTACTCTGTCGACCTCGTCCCATGGTCATCATGGCAAACTGGCATTTGCCGATTTGCTTGATGGCCACTCTGGGCCTGAAATGTCAGAAAAATCTAGGCACATTAACTAGTTTATAGTTCTCAGTCACTGTCTCACTGAACACTGCCTAATAACTTTAGCAATGGTAAAAATAACTGTAACTAGTAGTTATAAAACTGCCCCCTCTTCCAGCAATGTCAAATTAAAACTTTTATCCAAGATTCTTCCAAGTTGTATGTGTGGCGCTGGCACGCACATTCACATTGGCAATACTGTAAATAAGACTATGGTTAACCTGAAATTGCAGAGTCTTAAGGTGTAGCAAGAAAAATCATAGATCTGCATGAGAGTCTTCTGATTGGTGTCAGCATTGCAGTAGTTATCATAATATACTCTTAAAATAAAATGAGCACATTGGCCAAAGTTCTGTCTCCAGCACTGATCTCCACTACCAGATTAAGTTCTTCGGATGCAGCTTCTCATAATAAAGTGCCTCCTTTGTATTTTTTGGATCTCTGGCACTTATTTAAAGAGATAGAACTGACGGGCACTTGAGCAGAATCCAACACTGAAGACTTTGTGGTTAATGGGTTGCTCAAAGCATTTTGTTCACAGCTGCCAAACTTACTCAGAAGCTGAAAAATAATCCAATCTTTCACTGTTTAAAAATGCCTCATCACCATCTTCCTTACAGCAGGCGCCTATGGAGCCATGCCATGCTCCCCTTGGCCAAACAAACGTGAAAGTACAAAGTAATAAAAAAGCACAATATGTCTTAGACAGCACATCTCTTGCACACATTGCTCAAGTCAGTACTATAGCGAAATATAGCAAATATATAACCTAACCTAATAAAAAATGTATAGCAAATATATAAAATGAATAAAATATAACTAATAATATGTACTTATCCTGGCATACTCAATACATACATGACATCAGCCTATTTATCAACATAAAAAACAATAATTGGAACTGTTGGTTTCTTATTTTCTTAAAAGATAAAAAATGTGGAGATAGATCTAAAATGTAATTCTGTCTGAATTAGTTTGATACAAAGTTAAAGGAATTTCAGCAAACCCTTCCATATAAAGCACCTCAGACAAAAAACTAATCATTACTTGACTCCCAGATAGAATGTATAATGTTAATACAGATAGAAGATGGAGTGACATGTTACCAGTTTTATGCTCCCCGTTGTCTATGATGTTTTAGTTCCTCCGTACAATAAAGTTTATCTGTACTATTGTCACAATATCACATATCTTTTTTAAAACCTCATCTGTTTCCAAAATCTGCGTTTTAAAGAAACCCTACCATCAGCGGCTGTCCAGTTAACACTCCCTAATATTGCTGCACATACAGAAAGGAGGCCAAGAGGAAGAGGTGCCAGAAACATGAGCCCCAACTTCAGGGTTAAAAGTTTGTAAAATGGTTGCTCGGACACTCCTGTCCCGACAACAACTTAAATGAGATTAAATTGATTTGGGATGAGAGTGTTCCTTTAAAAAAAGCCAACATGTAATACCCCATATAGAGTGCTTTAATAGGGCTTTAATATAATCAGTTAATCCATACACATACGTGCAGTAAAACACATACTTGTGCAACATGTATAGTGGCACAGATCTGAAGACATGTTTCTAGAGCGACACACTCTTACAAAGTCAGATATTGAAAAACTCATGAACACATGGAGTCACAGTTAAACAGTCACAGACGAGCGCACATATAAGCATAAAGATATGCATATAGCTTGTACAGAAGCCAAAATTCCCGGAAGCTTTCTCCACTGAGTAAAGACTTATGGTTCAGGGCTTAGCTCATGGGCAGACACTCTCAATGTGCTGGGCACGGCACTCCTGGCACCATAATAAGTACAGTGCCATTTTTACGGTGTATAACCTGGCACATGTGCATGTAAGTGTGTTAATGCAGGAACGTATGTTTGCGTACAGCATGTATATTAATGCAGTGGTGTATCTGGTCCAGAATGTAAGTGTCAATGTAGGGATGAATTTTTGTGTAGCGTCATAATTTGTGAATGTCACTGTATATTAGTGTCAAAGAAGAGATACTACATTGGTGGATTCAGCAGTGTCCATCCTATACACAGAGCGCCCCTTGGTGGAAGGCCGGAGCATATGTGCAGGACCTGAGTGCAGGGTATTTTGTTTTTGTTGGACTGTATATTAGTGTGTCAGTGTATGCAAATGAGGTGTAAAAATGGGGGAGGGGGTATAAAAGGAAAAAAAAGGGAGAGGGGATGGGGTGCATGTGGTTACACATATTCAAGACACAATACATAAGCCATGATCGAGCTATCTAACACATCGGGTACTAATCTGAGAGATGTATGAGGCACATTGTGGGGTGTTATATACACGCAGTTGCACATTAAGTGGTTTTAGTACAGTCTTCCCAGGTTACACCTACCCAAGAAACCCTTTTTCTTTCCATGACTTTCATATTATGTCAAAGGCTGCAGCGTGTTTGGTGGATAAGATAGACATTTTTTCGTATAAATAGTATTGTTTAAGTTTATCTAGTAATTGTGGTGTAGGTGGGCATTTAGGCTGCTTCCAGTGTGTGGCTATTTGGTTCCTAGCTGCTAGAATGGTGAGCAGAAACGGTTGTCTGCGTTTGGCAGGTATGTTCCTGGGTAGCATCAGGAACAGTTCTGATTGTATGTTTAAGGGTGGTAGGTCAGGGTCTACTGGTAGTAAAATATTGTTTACCGCTTTCCATAGTGGTTGGAGGTCTTTCCAACTCCACCATATGTGCGTCATGTGGCCCTCTGTTTCCACGCTTCTCCAGCGGGTGGAAACCATAATGTAACAAAACTTGAGACATATAGGTCCATTTCAGTCTATCAAAGGCCTTCTCGTGTCTAAGGTGAGGAGGAGGCCTCCGCTACGTTCTGAGTTCATATGGGATAAAATGTTTAGTAGCTTTCTGGTGTTGTCAGATCCTTGTCTGTGTTTAACGAAACCAGATTGGTCATTTTGTGGGAGGATTGTAGACAAACGGTTTGCCAGAAGTTTTGCGTAAAGCTTTACGTTGCCGTTTAGCAGCGAGATGGGTCTGAAATTCTGACATTGGGTGAGATCTTTCCCTGGTTTGGGAAGTGTGGAAATGTGAGCTGTCAGCATGTCACTCAGCATTTGACCCTTCGAATAGCAGGTGTTGAATAGTGCCATCAGGTGTGGGGCAAGGGGATCTACATATGTTTGGTAATATTTGTTTGCGTAGCCATCAGGACCCGGTGCCTTATGTATGGGCAACTGGCGTATGGCTTGTTTAATTTCCACCTCCTCAAACGGTGTGGATATATATTATTATTATTATATGTCGGTTTGGGTAGGTGGGTCCCTTGTTTTTTGCAGGTCACACACGTTTAATGCACCATTTGGTTGTGTGACCTCTGTATAACAATTCGGATGCTGCCCACTGTTAGGGCGCGTCCTTAAATGCTAAATTGGCATGGTCATGGTACAACACTTACGATTCGGGATTTATTCAGGTCACCCAGGCAACCTCATTTCTACACTTTTTTTGGTCACAACAGTGACATGGACCATTCAGAGTCTAGGTTACCATATTTAATCCTATTTTGACCTTCGTTCCGTGCCCTGTTTCGTTTCCTACATTAGTTCCTGATTAGTGTGTTTCTTGAGTTTTCTGTTTATGTTCTGGTTTTGACCTCGGCTAGTTTATAGGAATTTTGAGTACATCTGTTATCCTGACCTGGCTTGTTATACGTTCTCTGACTATCTGTTATTTTGACCAGGCTTGTTATACATTCTCTGACTATCTGTTATCCTAACCAGGCTTGTTATACATTATCTGACTATCTGTTATCCTAACCAGGCTTGTTATACATTATCTGACTATCTGTTATCCTAACCAGGCTTGTTATACATTATCTGACTATCTGTTATCCTAACCAGGCTTGTTATACATTATCTGACTATCTGTTATCTTGACCTGGCTCCTTATACGTTCTTTGACTATCTGAATCCGTACCAGGCTTATTATACGTTCTCTGACTATTTGTTATCCTGACCCGGCTTGTTAGAAGTTCTCTGACTGACCATCTGTTATCCTGACCAGGCTTCTTATACATTCTCTGACTATCTGTTATCTTGACCTGGCTTGCTATACGTTCTCTGACTGTCTGTATTCCTGACCCAGCTTGTTATACATTCTCTGACTGTCTGTATTCCTGACCCAGCTTGTTATATGTTCTCTGACTATCTGTATTCCTGACCCGGCTTGTTATACGTTCTCTGACTGTCTGTGTTCCTGACCCGGCTTGTTATACGTTCTCTGGCTATCTGTATTCCTGACCCAGCTTGTTATACGTTCTCTGACTGTCTGTATTCCTGACCCGGCTTGTTATACGTTCTCTGACTATCTGTCATCCTGACCTGGCTTGTTATACGTTCTCTGACTATCTGTTATCCTGACCAGGCTTGTTATATGTTCTCTGACTATCTGTCATCCTGACCTGGCTTGTTATACGTTCTCTGACTATCTGTATTCCTGACCAGGCTTGTTATACGTTCTCTGACTATCTGTTATCCTGACAAGGCTTGTTATACGTTCTCTGGCTATCTGTTATCCTGACCCGGCTTGTTATACATTCTCTGACTATCTGTTATGCTGACCAGGCTTGTTATACATTCTCTGAGTATCTGTTATCCTGACCCGGCTTGTTATACGTTCTCTGGCTATCTGTTATTTTGACCAGGCTTGTTATACATTCTCTGACTATCTGTTATCCTAACCAGGCTTGTTATACATTATCTGACTATCTGTTATCCTAACCAGGCTTGTTATACATTATCTGACTATCTGTTATCCTAACCAGGCTTGTTATACATTATCTGACTATCTGTTATCTTGACCTGGCTCCTTATACGTTCTCTGACTATCTGAATCCGTACCAGGCTTATTATACGTTCTCTGACTATTTGTTATCCTGACCCGGCTTGTTAGAAGTTCTCTGACTGACTATCTGTTATCCTGACCAGGCTTCTTATACATTCTCTGACTATCTGTTATCTTGACCTGGCTTGCTATACGTTCTCTGACTGTCTGTATTCCTGACCCAGCTTGTTATACATTCTCTGACTGTCTGTATTCCTGACCCAGCTTGTTATATGTTCTCTGACTATCTGTATTCCTGACCCGGCTTGTTATACGTTCTCTGACTGTCTGTGTTCCTGACCCGGCTTGTTATACGTTCTCTGGCTATCTGTATTCCTGACCCAGCTTGTTATACGTTCTCTGACTGTCTGTATTCCTGACCCGGCTTGTTATACGTTCTCTGACTATCTGTCATCCTGACCTGGCTTGTTATACGTTCTCTGACTATCTGTTATCCTGACCAGGCTTGTTATATGTTCTCTGACTATCTGTCATCCTGACCTGGCTTGTTATATGTTCTCTGACTATCTGTATTCCTGACCAGGCTTGTTATACGTTCTCTGACTATCTGTTATCCTGACAAGGCTTGTTATACGTTCTCTGGCTATCTGTTATCCTGACCCGGCTTGTTATACATTCTCTAACTATCTGTTATGTTGACCAGGCTTGTTATACATTCTCTGAGTATCTGTTATCCTGACCCGGCTTGTTATACGTTCTCTGGCTATCTGTTATCCTGACCTGACTTGTTATATGTTCTCTGACTATCTGTTATCCTGACCCGGCTTGTTATATGTTCTCTGACTATGTGTTATCCTGACCCGGCTTGTTATACATTCTCTGGCTATCTGTTATCCTAACCTGACTTGTTATATGTTCTCTGACTATCTGTTATCCTGACCCGGCTTGTTATACATTCTCTGACTCTCTGTTATCCTGACCCGGCTTGTTATCAGATAATGTAATATATATATGTGTGAAAAATAATGTATAGTCTTAGATTTAATAAAAAACACTGTCATATTAACCATCTAAATACTACATTACTAAGTATACAACTGGTTTTATCAGAGTCCATACAGATGTTTAAACAGCAATCTGATGAATACTTCCAAAAACATAACATGCAGGGATATAATGTTTAATTAGTGGGGTAATAGCTGCTTGATCCAAAGAGACATCTGACTGCTATTTTAAGGGTCAAAAAGGATTTTTTTTCTTAGTTTATTGCAAAATTGGAAATGCTTCATACTGGGTTTTTTGCCTTCTTTTGGATCAACAGCAAAAACATATGTGAGGAAGGCTAAACTTGATGGACGCAAGTATCTTTTCAGCTAAAATACTAGGGATGTGCATGGGCAAATAATTCGGTTTGGCACTCCCGAAATTTGGGACTTCGGCACTTCAGTTCGGTTCCGGAAATTCAGGAATTGCCGAAGTCCTGAATTTCCCGAACCGAACTGAAGTGCCGAAGTCCCAAATTTCCGAATTGCTAAAGTCCCAAATTTCGGGAGTGCCGAACCGAATTATTTGCCCATGCACATCCCTAGTATTTTATAGTTACGGTAAGAGTTACTGATTTTATCTTACTAAATAATATCTGTAAAAATAGAATTACATAAGTGTAGCTAGTTACATAGCTGAAAAGATACTTGCGTCCATCAAGTTTAGCCTTCCTCACATATGTTTTTGCTGTTGATCCAAAAGAAGGCAAAAAACCCAGTATGAAGCGTTTCCAATTTTGCAATAAACTAAGAAATCCTTTTTGACCCTTAAAATAGCAGTCAGATGTCTCTTTGGATCAAGCAGCTATTACCCCACTAATTAAACATTATATCCCTGCCAATTCGGGACTTCGGCACTTCCGGAATTTGGAACTTCTTTAACCCTAACCCTAACCTCACCCCTAAACCTAACCCTAACCCTACCTCTACCCCTAACCCTAACCTCACCCCTAAACCTAACCCTACCCCTAATCCTACCCCTAACCCTAACCTCACCCCTAAACCTAACTCTACCCCTAATCCTATCCCTACCATGTTAGGGCTAGGGGTATCATTAGGGGTAGGGTTAGAGGAAGGTTGGGGTAAAGGTTAGGGTTAGGGTCATCATTACCTTAATATTCCATCCCTCTCCTGTTTTGCCACTTTTCAGAAAGCCACTTCCAAAATTCGGCACTTCAGCAATTCGGCAATTCGGCACTTCGGCAATTCGGCACTTCACCAATTCAGACATTCGGAAGCATTCGAATGTCCAAATTCGAATTTAAATTCGGACCAAAATGAATTGCACATGTCTATAAAATACTACTACTACTGATTTTTATTAGCTGCCCTCCCTCCCACCAAAGAGTACTAACCCCTAAAGGTAAGAAACAAAATGCATATCTATAATGGCATGTGTCAAGAGAATAGAGAACCTGGGGAGAAGGGTATAATTCTGATTATTGTTTATAAAGTGCAAGCCGTTTCCATGGTACTGTCTAGTAAGTTCACCAGTAAATTTAACAATATGACTGTGAAAGCGCATGGGAACAAACAAATAATCCACCCAAACCCTCTCCCCACCTTGAAATAAAAACATTATGAGGGGAAAGGGTTTGGCCACAGCTTTAGTTAACATTTCAGCACAATTACCATTAACTTCCACTGCCGGCTGAAAGGCAGATATTATTCATCAGAGTTTGGTTCCATAGAATGTGATGGCACATAAGAACCATTTGGCCCATCTAGTCTGCCCAGTTTTCTAAATACTTTCAGTCCCTAGCCTTATCTTTTAGTTATGATAGCCTACCCCATGCATGCTTAAACTCCTTTACTGCATTAGCAAGACAGAAACATTCAGAAATGTTCAAGAGCATTGGGGGATGTTTCTTATCCCTAATTTAATGGTACTAATTTTCTCTACCTCAAAGGGATGAGTCAACCCTGGAGGGGAATTGAACCTGTGACCCCCCTCGAGGGCTTTATTGATCTGACAAAGCATCAGCCCACTGAGCTATCTCACCATTTAGTTCCTGCATGATTACCTGGCAGGAGCCCCATCTAACGATGTTTGGTCTCTAATTACCTTTTTAATCCAGGCACTGGCCCGAGTACCTTCTGCGGCTGTGACAATAACTGCAAAAGAACACACAAACTCTATCACTATTGTATGGAGTAATATAGGGAGCCAGTGCAAGGACTGACTATGGTATAGGGTAATATAGGGAGCCAGTGCGAGGACTGACTGTGGTATGGGGTAATATAGGGAGCCAGTGCGAGGACTGACTGTGGTATGGGGTAATATAGGGGGCCAGTGCGAGGACTGACTGTGGTATGGGGTAATATAGGGAGCCAGTGCGAGGACTGACTGTGGTATGGGGTAATATACGGGGGCCAGTGTGAGGACTGACTGTGGTATGGGGTAATATAGGGGGCCAGTGCAAGGACTGACTGTGGTATGGGGTAATATAGGGGGTCAGTGTGAGGACTGACTGTGGTATGGGGTAATATAGGGAGCCAGTGCGAGGACTGACTGTGGTATGGGGTAATATAGGGAGCCAGTGCGAGGACTGACTGTGGTATGGGGTAATATAGGAAGCCAGTGCGAGGACTGACTGTGGTATGGGGTAATATAGGGAGCCAGTGCGAGGACTGACTGTGCTATGGTGTAATATAGGGAGCCAGTGCGAGGACTGACTGTGGTATGGGGTAATATACGGGGACCAGTGTGAGGACTGACTGTGGTATGGGGTAATATAGGGAGCCAGTGCGAGGACTGACTGTGGTATGGGGTAATATAGGGAGCCAGTGCGAGGACTGACTGTGGTATGGGGTAATATAGGAAGCCAGTGCGAGGACTGACTGTGGTATGGGGTAATATAGGGAGCCAGTGCGAGGACTGACTGTGGTATGGGGTAATATAGGGAGCCAGTGCGAGGACTGACTGTGGTATGGGGTAATATAGGGAGCCAGTGCGAGGACTGGCTGTGGTATGGGGTAATATACGGGGGCCAGTGTGAGGACTGGCTGTGGTATGGGGTAATATAGGGGGCCAGTGTGAGGACTGACTGTGGTATGGGATAATATAGGGAGCCAGTGCGAAGACTGACTATGTCACAGGGTAATATACAAACACTACAACCAAAGAAAAGAAGGAGAAAATAGAAAAAAAGGAGAAGAAAGAGCATAAATAAACTAGGAGTTAGAAGAAGGAGGAGAATAAGGAGAAGGGAGGGTGGACAGAAGATTCTCACCCTGCTGCACTGAGCTAAAAAGGAAGAGGGGTGGTAAGTTGCAATAATTCATACTTTCTTTGAAACATAATTAACCAATCCATAAATGCCTTGCAAGACTGCCCTTGTACATCCTAAACGGTACCCTGTGCTGTCCTAAGTTTGACTTACAAGAGGTAGTGAACCTTGCTTAAACAAGCATACAATCAAAAGTAAACAAGGTAAAGTTACACAAAAGTTAGTGTTAGGGTCATTCCAGTAAAAATTAAACATGGATTGCATATGTATTAACAGCATAGTCTGTAAACAGTATATGTTTAACTTTTTTATAACTTTTGCACATGAATGCCAGGTCCCAAGTTTTTCCAGCAGAACATTGTCATGAGCAACTCTGCCTCCACCAGCATGCCTTCTTCCGATAGTGGATGGTGCTGCCAACTCTTCCCTAGGTAAATAGTGACGACACATGCACCCAGCAACCAATCCAGAAAAAAACCAACATGATTTATCAGACCAGGCAAACTTCTTCCATTGCTCCATGCTCCTCTTCTGATGCTCACGTCCTCATTGAAGCGATTTTCAGCAGTTGACAGGGGTCATCATGGGCACCATGATCGATATGCGGCTGCACATATGCAACAAACTGTAATGCACTGTGTTCTGACTCCTTTCTTTAATGGACAGCATTACATTTTTAGCAATTTGAGATACAGTAGCTCTTCTGTGTGATTGGACCAGAAAATTTAGCCTTCTCTCCCCATGAGCATTGATTAATGAAGCTTGGGCACCCATGACCATGCTTATGCTGGTTCACTTTTTGTTCTTCCTTGCACCACTTTTGGTAGGTCCTAACCACTGCAAACCCGGGAACACTGTACAAGACTTGTCGTTTTGGAGGTGCTCTGACCCAGTTGTCTAACCATCACTACTTGGCCCTTGTCAAAGTCATTCAGATTCTTTTTGCTTGCCCTTTTTTCCTGCTTCCAAAACATAAAATTCAAAAGCGGAGTGTTCACTTGCTGCCTAATATATCCTTGACTGGTACCATTGTAACAATATAATCAATATTTTTAAATTCACTTGTCAGTGGTTTTAATGTTGTGGCCCGTGACTCCTGGATCGGCTTTGCCACTAGGGGTGAGGAAACAGAGGACATGTAAGCAAACACGGCGCCGAAGAACCCGCCGGACACGACCCAGCAACCACCCTGAATCACAGTCCCAACTGGGAAAAGCACCCAAACGCAACTTACCATCACGGGAGACCACAACCCTACGAGAAATCAAACAACCACCTACAGGACCTCGGGCAGCGCCTGGTGAGCTAAGGGGTACCTCATGCACGAAACACCACAGGTCTCCCTCTAGAGGACTTAATAACCATTTTGATGCAATGCCCAGACAGGAAGTAGGGCGAAGAACCTCCGAGCAGGGGACAGCTTGCCTACCAGATACCAACCACCCGCTAAATCAAGGGACGACCCGACAATAATTAACTCTAAACTAATGCTAGAATGATGTACTTTCTGATTGTCTTCAGCGTTCTCTCCTTTTTCTTTTTGTGGCATGAGTCCTGACGCTAACGAACGTATCTACTTGCCCTCACATGTTTTACCACTAGCAGTAATGGGTGTGGAGTCCCAGTGATATTCACTCAGCAGACACTAGCTTATGCAATTCGATCAGAATACGTTTTCAGCCTATGTAATTTCCTTGCATTCTGTTATATATCAATCTGTCTTACACATAGAGAGGCATCCCATGCCGCCAGGCTTATCTTCCCTGTAGCAAGCACTTGCTCTCTATTAGACTGTAATTTTACATCCTGCATACTTAGAAAGTCCCGGTCAACATATGTACTGAGCGTCTAGATAGGAACACTTAAACGATATATGCTTATCTATAAAAACTGTGCTGTCTTCTCACATGCTTACCAACTGTTAACGAATGCTTTATTAGATACTTGTCAATACTATTGGGGCATGACGAGCCCACTTGTTATATTTCCATGCACTTCAAAAATAAAGAATTAAAAAAAAAAATAGTGTTCAGAAAGTACATATAGCAATTTCTCACAAACAGAAATAAGTAGTGAAGGGGAGCAGGTGCTAGAGAGACACACAGAGTGCAGGAAAAAGTAGGAAAAAAAGCCCATAAAAGGTCAGTATTACGTAGACCCTGATTGGGAGGAGTGTGAAGAAGAAGAATGTGATTGAGAAAGGGTAATAAAGAATAGTGCTCTTTAGATTTAGTGGCAAGCAAGTCATTGGTCATCTTATTTAGAAGAGTTTCATTGAGTGTGAAACCTGAAACTAGATTGGAGAGGGTCAAGCAGGGAGTTCAATTCTTGGATGGTATGGTCTATTAAAGAAAGGAAGACAATAGCAGAGGAAGGGATCATCTTGCCATTCTGAATGTTGTGTTCTGCAACTCACATGATGCCAAGCGACCTGAAATGCTGCAAGATGAAGTGAGATTTCTTAGAAATTTAGCATGGAACACCAGCTTCCCGACATCTTTAAAAACTATATCTTCAATTCAAGCCAATGTCAAACCACTTAATGATATCATAATACATTGCAGATTGACTATTTTGGTTATATCTTAAAACTGATTCTCCCAAATTCTGTTATAGGCTATGTATTCTTGGTAATATATCTGGCAGGCACGTCTGTTTTGGGGAACATAACAAAAGAAGCACGTGCAAGACATATATTTATTATACGGATATCTTGTGACTAAGCATCTGCTATCTGAACTTCGGAACTCGATTTACAAGATCATTACTTAGGGTGATGGAGTTGCGGCACTTTGTCAAATTATTAATTAATTTACTAAATCCTCTAACAGAAATATTTATGGCACTTTGCACCAATATTTGACAAATGCAAAGGTCTTGAGGATTATAATTAAGTTAGGTTTCCACATATGTGAAATTTTACACCGAATATAGACATATTATACATATGTTTTAACATGCCGTTGGGCCTGCTTCCTCGTTCCAGCTCGGGTCAAGCAAAGTTAAACTGGAAAAGGTAATTTGTAAGGTTTCACAAGAGCTTTCCAACCAGCTGTCATTCTTTTCTTGTATTCTTTTGTTTTGTATAATTGTCGTTTCTATCCCAGCGCTCAGTATTTAAAAAAATTAAAAGTACCATTTACCATACAAATTACTAGTAAAAAAACTTTTAAATTAGCAATATCTTCAAAGAAAGTGTTTGTATTTTCCCCCTATACCTAGCCCTGCAGGGTTAGTGCAAATGTGGTATTGTTTCAAGCACAGACTCAACTGAGTTTTATATAAATATTGGCAGAAAAGTTCTACTTTAGTCAATATACCCTATATGCAGGCCCAACCAAATGTGGTTAATTTGTGACATCTGAATGATATATTTTATATAATTTCCCAGTTGTCCTTTATTTTTTTTATTTCTCTGTTATTTTTATGCTTGCCCTGTTTTTCCTCTTTTATCTTTTCCCCAATTTCTTTTTGTCAAGTTCTTTACCCCAATTTACCTCTCCCCTACATGTCCTTCCCTTCATTAATCATTCTCCTCTCAATCTTTTTTTCTCACTTATGTTTCCTTCTATTCCAAATTATTTCTCTCCTTTCAGACTTAACTGCCTGCAATTTGTTCTTCTCACCCAGTATCTCGACCTTCCCAATATTTCTATGCTGCACTCAAAGTCTAAATTACTACAAAGGATCTCCTATTCAACTCAATATCTCAACACCCCACATGCCTCCTGCTCCACTTAATGTCATATTCTTCTTCAAGTACCTCCCCTTAATGTGTTCTCCAATTTTTCTCATTCTCCTCCAATGTATCATCCACCCTCAGTGCATTAAAGAAGCTCTCTTCTTGGTTTTCTTTTCTGTGAGAAAGAGTCATCCTTGATGATACATGAAGGGAATCGGGTCTGAGCATTTGCCTACTTTTTGGATCTCTGCTATCTAGCCCTGTGTGGTGACTTGAATATATGATCAAGAACAGATGATCTCCTTCCTGAGGCCGTGTGTTGTGTAACTGAGAAGAACCTAAATCTCACACCTTTTCCCAAGCCACAGAGAGAGACAGGGGCTTTTTAATTCTCCAAATTTCCATAACAGGCCAGTGGCCCAGGGCAATGCAGTGAGAACAGCTTTTATTGGCTTTAATTCTAGTCTGCACTTAGCTGACCTCCAGTGCTGGGCCACACTCATCTGCTGGGTTCTATCACTCTAAATAACTATGAAGGTTTTTTGAATTCTAGAACCATTTCTTCTCGAGGTGTAACATATGTGGAACCTTTTATGCGTATGTTGCTGAGAAAACAGCGGATAAACACTAGCAACATCATACAACAATGAATAAATAAAACCATCAACATGATGTGATAACTTACTACCACTTCCAGAGAAACCCATTAGTTAAGTGCAAGATTTTCTGTGCAATGAGGTAAATCCCACATCTGAACCTTGTACGATTAACCGGTCTTGGAAAGTATGCAAATGACCTAAAGCAGGAACACCAGGAGTACAATAAATCCTGTCTCCCTTATTATAAATTGGGTGTTATGGGAGATGCTGAATTTTCTTTTAAGAAATTCAGGTCTGAAAGTGATTTCTCCACTGATAAGGTTCAAAGTCTCGCTAGATGCTACTCGGTTATCGTTGCCAACAGCAAAAAGGGAAAAGCTGTTTTTTAAGCAAAATGCCTTAATGTCCATACACATCCAAGACAAATAAGAAAAGAAGAAAAATGAAAGAATCATGGCTCAAACGCAAGTATTTCAATAAAAGCCAAGTGCTCACAAAGAAATATTCACTTTTTTATGTGATATATATTCATTGCAGTATTTAAAAACAAAATAGCATAAGAGCCAGAAGTACATTTGATGAAATATTATTAATCATACTGAAGCAAAAAATGCTTAATTTACATTGTTCTTGTTATTTATTTACACATATAATAAATCTACTTATTGCTTACAATGCTACTTTTTAGATCCTATTTATTTAATATGTAAAATCAGAGTCATCAGTATGAGAAAGAATTTAAATAATACCCCTTGGATTTTTAGGATTGCTATTGTGTTTGCCTATATGGGACTTTCCTTCTACTTCATAGCTGCTTCTGAATATCAGCACAATTTTAAGAAAAGTTGTATTAATAAACTATGGAAATACGTGTTTTATGAACAGGGATTTTATATGCTAATAAGGATTGTTGGTGTTTGTTGATGGATATACTGTGTCACTTGTACATAATCCCTGTTTGATTACATATTCCTCTGCAACTCATTGCACAATATTGCATCCATCAGAGCTGACATGAATATACATTTACTTTATAGTTGGTGAAAATGTAGCTGTGTCAGAACAAATGATGTACACACAGACATGAAGAAATAAATAAATACATACGCAGAGATATATAAAATATAAATTTTACATTTTTGTAAATATTATAACAAGATTTTTCGATAGTGTACTTAAATAGAAAGGAAGAAGGTAAACAAAGACATAAGTATAGAGAATAGTAATAACAACCTCTAGTTAAAGAAAAGCAAATCCATCAGTGAAAATAAAATAAACTTCTTAAATAAGATGTCAAAATTTGGGAGAGACATTTGAGTAAAGCAAGTAGATATTACAGAAAGGGTAAAAAAGATATTGAAATAATACTAAAATTGTGTTGGAGTAAAAGGCAAGTAAATGGGGTGAGGAGGTGTTGGTAAGGGGTCCTAAGTTAGGACTTGTCAAGGCAAATATTGGTTATTAAAGGGACACTGTCGTCACTATAACCATTTCAACTCTTTGAATTGGTTATAGTTTCTTGAGTCCCCAGGCACTGTCCCTCCATTCAGTTTAAAACCATTTTAGAGGAGTTTAACACTAAATAAGAGTCCTTGACCATCCACAGTCAGGCCCCTTCTGGCAGTGTTGCTAGGGCAGAGATTACACACTTCCTTGTTGTCATAAACATCATACTATGAGTTGGACTTCTGATAGGCTAAAAGCAGTCAGCTGACACACTCAACCAATCACACCTGCCCATTGCTTCTCAGGCTAATACTTCTCATTAGCCAAAGCAGCACAGAGGGGATGGCCTATTGGGGACTCACCTTTAGCATTAAAACATTAAAAACCATTTACTGCTGAATGAAATGATAGCACCAGGGAACTCCAGACACTCAGTGGTGGAACTACCGTGCCGGCTGCACCGGGGCCCAGAGCGCTAGTTGGGCCCAGCGCTGGGAGTTCTGCCACTGATTCTGCTGAGCCTAACTTGCTGCCTGGTTATTGGCCCCCTACAGAGTCTGGTGCCCAGAGCACTCAGGGGCCCCAGCCCAGCGTGATTAGTATCGCTTAACAGGGGCCTGGTCGTGGGCCTGCAGTGTCCCTTTAAGGCATTAGCATGTTCATTCACACAAGCCCTGCAAACAGGATTAACCTAGAAGAGTGAGTGTTTGCTCTATTTGCTGAATAATTTATGTGAAAATTGCCATTTAGTGAGCAAAGTAAACCCTAACCCTGATCTGCTTTCAAGATGTCTCAGATGAATCTAATAAAACCAATTTCTGCGTCAGCAACATTGGCCTCACAAGGGGAGTGTGGGGGGTGCAGACCGCACCAGGGTGAATCTCGGGGGTGGGGGTGACACCACCGACACCATGCAGGGCTGACACATCCATAAGGCGTCAAAGAGGCAGCCTTAGGGAACACCTACCTGGGGGCTGCTAGATTGGAGTAACCGGCAGAAGGTGGGCGCACAGTTTCCTGTACTTGGCCGGACTGAAAGGAAGTGCTTACTGAGAGACCACTTCCTGTCAGTCCGGCCAGGTACAGGAAACTAAAGCTCCTGTACCGCGGTCTGCTCCGCCCAGCCATGCTAACAGAAAGGTAGGAGACACACTGGGGATGGGGGCAAGAAACACTATGGGACAGGGGAGGAGGAAAGAACTCTATGGGACAGGGGAGGAGGGGCAGTAAGGAATATGATGGGACAGGGGTGGGGGGAAGGAAAGAATACTATGGGACAGGGGAGGAAGGGGGAGGAAAGAAAACTATGGGACAGGGGAGGAGGGGGAGGAATAAATACTATGGGACCTGGGAGGGGAGGAGGGAAGAAAGAACACTATGGGACAGGGGAGAAAGAACACTATGGGACACGGGAGGGGAGGAAGAACACTATGGG